CAATGGGGCTACGGTTATCTAAATTAAGCGTATAATATATAAAATTAAAGCACCATTTATCTAATTTCTAAAGATTCAATACTTGCATCAATTAGATTTTTATTGAGCAAGTTATGGTCAATTTACTACTGATTATTCAGTGGAAATCGAAATGCGTGTGTTAAATAAATTAAATTAGTTATATTCAGCAACAACCTCTTTTCATAATATATATATATATATATATATATAACATAAAAAGATATTAACAAAAGAGATAGAACAATTACAATTAAAACTACATATCAACACTTGTTTTCTTTTAAGAATAATAATAATAGTTCTACATATTATAAATGATTTAGTAAAACTACATGGTTTGACAACAAACGTTAGATGATATTTGTGATACAAATAAAATTTGTTATATTCAGAAATAACCTATTTTCTATATATGTATGTAACATAAAAAAATATCAACAAAAAAAGATAAAACAACTATAATTAAAACTACATATAAATATTTGTTTTCCTTTATCATCACTAAAATTGAATTTATTTTATGTGTGTGATGATAAAATGAATAGTTCGGCCGCAAGTTTATAGTTATCCAAATTCATCGTATAACATATCAAATTAAAGGTCTATCTTTTTAGTTTCCAAAGATTCAAACCGCTCATCAATTGAATTTTTATTAAGTTATGACCAATTTACTACTGATTGTTCAATGAAAATAGAGAAACATGGGAAACTGAAATGTATGTGATGATAGGAATGGTTCAGAAGTGAGGCTAGAGTTATCCCAATTAAGCGTATAATGTACCAAAATAAAACCGTATCTATATAGTTTCTAAAGATTCAAACATCTCATCAATTAGAGTTTTATTGAGCAAGTTATGGTTAATTTACTACTAACTATTCAGTGGAAACCGAAATGTGTGTGATAATAAAAAGAATGATTCGGCAATGGGGTTATGGTTATCCAAATTAAGCATATAATATATCAAATTAAAGCCCTATTTGTTTAGTTTTCAAAGATTTAAACTGCTCATCAATTGAATTTTTATTGAGCAAGTTATGGCTAATTTACTATTGACTATTCAATGTAAGTCGAGAAACAGGGGAAACCAAAATGTGTGATGATAAAAGGAATGGTTTGGTAGTGGGGCTATAGTTATCCAAATTAAGCGTATAATATATCAATTTAAAGCTTTGCCTGTCTAGTTTCTAAAGATACAAACCTCCCATCAATTTGATTTTTTATTGAGCAAGTTATGATCAATTTACTACTGACTGTTAAGTAAAAGCCGAAATGTGTGATATGATGAAAGGAATGGTTCGGCGGTGGGGCTATAGTTATCCAAATTAAGCGTATAATATATCAAATTAAAGCACTGTCTATCTAGTTTTTAAAGATTCAATCCTCCCATCAATTGGATTTTTATTGAGCAAGTTATGGTCAATTTACTACTGATTATTTAGTAGAAACTGAAATACGTGTGATAATAAAATAAATGGTTTACTTGACCCAAATTTAAGGGATTATCATATTAAGACTAGTAAGATATATTTCAAATAACACCTATTAATTGGAAAATGGAATCAGTCAAAATTAATTTATTTAACATATATACTTGCATATCAACAGGACATAAACAACTAATCATTCATATAACAAATTAAAATACATGAATGTTTTTACATAAAATATATTTAACACAAATGAACTCTTTCTACTAATATAGATTTGATACATACTCAAAGTTCGATTGACAATAAGATCATCCTCGATTTGATCTTCTAAAGCACATGAACATTTACTTCAAAACAAACATAACAAAATTTAATCTATTTTTATGTTAAGATTGTTAAGGAACAATTATTCATTCGTATAACAATTATTACTTGAAAACGAAATCAATAAAAGTTAATTAATCTTTATATTGAAATTGTTAAGGAATACACTTACCGTTCAGCATGACTAACACAATTAATTGTTCAAATAGATTGACCAAACAAAAACAATTATTCAACCACATAATAACCGTTAAAATAGTTAGAAGATATACTTACAATTTCTTATTAAAATAGTTAGAAAATATACTCACAGTTTAGAAGAACGAATAAAAATAACAACTCATTTGATAATGTCAATCAGACATCCTTCCTTTATTCTATGCTAATTTATGAATCTTTGACCTATAAACAACAACAAAAACATTAATAAATAAAAAATAATCGACTAACAAAATCTTGAAGAACAGACGTATTATTGACACAAATTAACAAGACTTATAAATAATTGACAAAAGACCAGACATATTGTTGACATCAACTAACATATTGCGATAATACACAACTGAACATATGCCCTTTTTACAACCCCTTATTCAGACATTTCGAATGCCAACACAATTAAATACGAATTGAATACGAAGAAAGGTTTGCAATGTCAATATAATGCACCTATATAATTACTAATAAACATGTTTGTTTTTACTACCAATGCAATGCACCTATGTAATCAAATCTTTACGTCTATTTATTTAGACTTTGGAATACCAATGTAGTAATTAATATTGTCTACATCATTACCAATAAAATTTAACCACATGGTAATCACAAATCCAATGTGTCATTATAGTTGAACCTTTAGAATGTCAATGCAATGCACCTATGTAATTAGTATTATTATTAATTATTAATATAACCATGCAATGCACTTATGTAATCCAATATTTATGTCTATTTATTTAGACTTTGGAATATCAATATAGCAATTAATGGCTTCGTTTGGTTGGTTTTTGGGAATACTACTTTCAGTATTCCCAAAAAAGTTAAACAGTAAAATACCTAAAAACTCACAATATTATTCAACTTTTTTTAAACCCATTAAATTTGTTAATTTAATTAAATACCCCTAAATATTTTTTTAAAAATTGTAAAAACACCCTAACAATCCACATTTACCAGATTCTGGCCACTACTGCCGGAAAATGGCCAAAATCTGGTAGGATGGCGCACTACCGGCTGAATCTGGCTGGTAGTGTGCCGATCTAGCCTTTTTCGACCAGATCCACGGTGGATCTGGCTGGAAAAGGCCAGATCTAAGGCCAAAGATCTGGCCGTTGACGGCAGATCTTTGGCCGTAACTAATCGGTAACAACGGCTAACAAACAGTCGTCGTTGACCATCAACGACGATCGTTTGTTGGTTGTCATTGACGAGCAAATACGGCTAGATCTAGTCGTCAATGGCCAGATCTAGCCGTAGATCTGGCATTTGCTGGCTAGATCCACTGTGGATCTGGCTGAAAAAGGCCATAGCAGCGCACGATCGGCAAGATCCAGTCGGTCATACGCCGATACGGCGACTCTGACCACCCTCTGGCTGTGGTGGCCGACTGTCCGTATTTGAGGGTGGGTTGGGGGTGTTTTTGTTAACTTTTAATGTTTTATTATAGGGGGTGTTTTGTAAAAAACAAACATAGGGGGTATTTTTAATTTGTAAATCCTACATCGTAATACCAGCCCAATTCAATTTTTTTTTAACTTTTAAAAAAAAAACTTTTCTCAAAAACACAATTGTGAACCAAACGAAGCCAATATTGTCTACATCATTACCAATAAAATTCAATCACATAGTAATTACAAATCGAAATTGTTATTATAGTTAGACTTTTAGAATGCTAATACAATACACCTGTATTATTATTATTATTAATAATAATTATTAATACATATTCTTTTTTTAATTAATTAATAATTATAGATGAAGTAATAAATACTAGTCAAATGTGTCAAGATAGTACAATTTGATTAGTTTGTTAATCTAATGTGTTAGAAAAATTTTCTTCATTTGAAAATTGTAGAAAATTTTCCTAACCATTTGAGAAGTCATCAATAAAGTTCAAATTGCTATATACTCTAATTCAAATAATTTCATCTATCTTTAAATGAATTGTGATTGATAGTTATTAAATGTAATAATTATTTGGCATGTATGTATTGTTTTGCGTAAAACCACTGTGGTTCCTAAACTTTCTCACTCTTCTAAATGATTTATTCAAAAAACATTTTGAACCAATCATGAAATTTTTTATCTCAGAGATTATTTTATTGGAAAGTTACAACCATCGATGCTTTACAAAGAAGAGAAATCAATTTAGCTTTTGCTTGATTACTTAGTTATAGCCTGCCTTATGATATGTTTTCTCCTTTAGAAAACTAGAACCGTATAAAGTTTAAAGATTTTAAAGCCTCGTTCATTAAAAGTGTATTCTCATATAAATGTTGTATTAAAAAGAATTGACAATTCGTATTAGGCTACATTTTACCAAGTTATAAGGCATCTTCATAAAGCTTATGAAATCATTATTCTAGTTTGGCCTAGGGAGGAAGTCAGTCAACACAAATGGTCTTTCCAAAGATAAAATTGGTATTTTCCGTAATTCCTTTGGACATCAGGAGATCAAACTTCCTTTCATGTTATTGTTGATATTAAAATTGTTAAGATGTGGGAACGACATTACAAACTAAAGATTTATCTATATTTTAGTCAGATTTAAGTATATATATATATATATTCTAAGATAAAGAAATTACCATAAAATTAAAACATCAGAGCTGAATGCCACCCAAAAGAGTTGATTTATGATGCACAAAGCGAGACTTTTAAATAGTTTAATTTTGTTGAAAGTGGCATCTTATCATGAAAAAGAAGATTGAATAATTCTTGATAAAGCTTTGGAAAAGTAAAAGTTGTTGAGTCAATTTAATTTAACCCATGTAAAGCTGCCATGTGTTTTTTTTTTTTAAATATTCTATAGATTTTAAATAACAATTTGAACCATATTCAACAGGGCAAGGCCACTTGTTCAATACACATGCACACTCTCAGGAATATACATGTTCATACAGCACATAATTAATAATTTTACACCTATTTTAAATATAAACAAATATTGTTGGATAAATATTCAAAACTATATTCAGCTCCATATTCTTAGGGTGTAAGTAATTTAATTTAAACGTTACGCGCATATTCTTAATTTTACGCGTATCAAAAGCCAAAAATTTCTTGTCACTAGATTCTCTCTGGAGGTTCTCAAAATAATCAATCAAACGTAGAGGACAAATCCGTTATTTCACATATGCCTCCATCCCACTTTACTTTTCCGGCGTTTCTTCTTTCTGTTTTATTTTGTATCAACCTTTAAACCTCATTTCGAAACTCCTTCCCCCCTTCGTTTTCCGGATTCAAGATTTAAAGGATTTTTTTTTTTTTCTTTCAAATCGTCGTCGATCTCACTCCGCGACGACTGACTGAGGGTCTTTTTTTAACATAACTAGGGTTTAAAACCCTCAGATTCGATGGCTAGGGTTCGCATGAATTGGGAGAGACTGGTGCGAGCCACCTTGAGCAGAGAGCAGCTGAGAAATGCTGGTCAAGGACCTGAGCGAATTGGAAGTGGCATCGCTGGTGCGGTCCCGGCATCCCTTGGTCGCTCCTCCAACATCGACGCAATTCTACAGGCCGCAGACGAGATTCAAGATGAGGACCCAAACGTTGCCAGAATATGTACGTATTTTTAGGTTTAGGGTTTTTATTTCCAAGTGTTAATATAATTAGGGTGTTTTGTGAAATTTGTTTTTGTTTGGGAGTATATGGTGAGTAGATTAGTTGATAGGTTACATGGATGGATTGGTGTCGTCATTGCCTTATGGAGCTGTTTTTAGCTAGTTGAGTTATGAAATATAGAGTTATGAGTATTTAAATTAGTATTTAGGTGATGAAAATTCCATAATGACTCGGTATTTTGCGACAAAGTTAGGTCAGTGATGCTCTTGGATTGATGTTGACTGAATTTAAGCTTATATCCTGTTATGCTTCATGTTTAAGAATGACTCGTCGGAGGTAGCAAGAAATAGTTTGAGATGCAATGTGCACTGTTGTGTCTACCTGGATCAGAATTGGATATTAATATAGGGGTATGAGTGTCAGACATAATTTAGGAGAAATGCTTGCCCTGGTTGGTGCAGGAGAAATGCTTGCCCAGGTTGCTGTAGGATTTAAGTCGGTTTAAATTCAATGTAGCTACCACTGGTTTTAATTAATGATGCATATGTCATTTGAATTTGATGATAGATTGAAAACAGTCTGCTTTATTCAAGCTGAATGTAGGTGTAGACATCTTAGTTCAATCTGTTAAAGTTTTTGTTGTATGTTATGTTGCTTGATATACGTATCCATGGACATGTCAATACGAGTATGTATTCATTCCTTGAACCTTCTAATTTGATTCATAATGAGTTTGCTTGCACCTGTAATCATAATGGATCTTGGATGTATTATTACATGATTATTTTTCTTCTAATCTTTTATTTTAATAAGTGAGAAAATGTTTGTGCAATAGAAAATAACTTGCTTAACTTGGAATAGCAGACCATACATCTAGTTCTATGAAATTTAATTCCAAACTCAGCATTTGAATCACTAAAATCAGCATGAAGCATATGAAAGATAGCTCTGAGCAGAGATTTCACACATTTCCTTTTTGGAGTTCACACTTGTTATACTTTTAGTCTTAAAATGTGATGACTTATATATACAAGTCCTTTTGTTGCAATCTTAGTGTGTGAACAGGCATATTCTATGGCTCAAAACTTGGACCCAAACAGTGATGGTAGAGGTGTTCTTCAGTTCAAGACTGGTTTGATGTCTATAATTCAGGTATTACATAATTTTTGCTGTATCATACTGATTGAAATAGAACTTTATGGTTTTGTCATTTTGAATCTTATCGTGTGCAGTATATATTTTGATGCATTGCTTTTTGAATACCAAGTTTGCTTATTAGGATTTGTCTGTTTGCTGTAGCAAAAACTTGCCAAAAAGGATCTCCATCAACTAGATCGTAGTCATGATACTGAACGGCTTTGGGAGTTTTATCAAAAATATAAGAGACGACATAGAGTGGATGATATCAGAAGCCAAGAACAAAATTTGCGGGAGTCTGGAATTTTTTCTACAAGCATGGGAGAGTATGGCCAACTTATGCTGCTATGTTAATTTCCTTTTGGTTTACTTTTTCATTCCTGCCAGGCCGTAGATTTGGCATCATTCAATCCTGTAACTAGGAGTGGGTTTCTCACTTTCCCTTTTTCAATGAAACTTGGTTATGCATTTTGAAACTAAGACCACAAGTACTTTTATTCGACATATGGTGTTTTTGAGGTCATCCTGTACTAGCATTAGGTGCTTGTATCTTGATTAAATATCGGTATATCTCAGAGCTCAAGCTATGTAAGCAAATGATAAACTCAACCAAACGGGAGGGTTTTGATTCATATCCTTGTATCAAAATAAATGTATAAGTATTTGGAATGTTTAGTTAGGACCCAATCTACATAAGCTGTTACTTTTGTGCCCTTCATTTTGGAATGATATACATCTATATATTCACCATAATGCGGTCTTTTCCTTCAGTGGAACAGAAATGAGAAAGGTGATTGCTACATTGAGGGCCTTGGTTGAAGTTTTGGAGGCTCTTAGCAAAGATGCAGATCCTTATGGGGTTGGAAGACAGATTATGGAGGAGGTACTTATCTGCTAACTATCCTGAATGTGACATTCTGTAATATCTGATATTGATGACTTAATTGTATCTAATAGATATTATTTGCATTTGTTATCACTGATCTCTAATATGTTTGTTCATAATTTGCTACGCTCATATCATTGTATGCCAAATTGATGCATTACTCTTTTGGTTTACATTCACTAAGTATCAACTGAACAGTGGCACAAATCTAGAATTTTTTCTTTAAAGAAAATTGTTACTGACTATTTTGGGCATTCTTTTCTTGTCTGCTGCCTATCTTGAATGAGTTGTTTGGGAATATATTATATCAACAACTTAATTGTATCTCGTAGATATTATTTGCGTTTGTTATTACTGATCTTTAATATTTTGTTTTCATAAGTTACTATGTTCAGATTATGGTATTCTAAATAGAATGCTTTGCTCTTTCAGTTTACATTCCTTTAATATCAGCTGAACTGTGGTTCAAATCACCTAGAATGTTTTTTTTTTTTTTAAAGAAAATTGTTACCAGCTATTTTGGGCATTCTTTTTTTAGTTTATAAGTATTTTTTTGTTTTACAATAAAACTAGATCTAAGAACTAAGAAAATATATGTTTTCTCATTATCAGTAAAGGTGTGGATTGCAATAATTTTTGTTCTTGTGTTCTTCAGTTACAAAGAATCAAAAAGGATGAGGCAACCTTGTCTGGGGAGCTCACACCCTACAATATTGTTCCTTTAGAAGCACCATCATTTACCAATGCTATTGGAATTTTCCCCGAGGTAAGTCCAGTTCAGGTTGAGAGTATTGCCTTCTCTTTGTCATCATGCTCTTTAGCAGTGCTGTTGCATAATTTAGCCAACTTTTACCTCTTCTTTGTTTAATAATTGATTACGTGAAAAGTTTCTAGTTAGATATTTATTGCTGCATTAACTACGATACCAATATGTTTTACTCCAAAAGCTGTATTAAGTATGATACCAGTATGTTTTACACTGAATTGCACAGCTTCTTCAGGTAGCATATTTAGAAAACTTTATGACTCAATCTTTAAGTTGGGATATATGTGCAGGTTAGGGGTGTAATATCTGCAATAAGATATACAGAACAGTTTCCTAGACTTCCTGCCAATCTGGAAATTTCTGGACAGCGGGATGCAGATATGTTTGATCTTCTGGAGTATGTGTTTGGTTTTCAGGTTTGACCTTCACTCTTGTTTCTCTTTTGTCAGTTATGTATATTTAACAGTGGGTAAAGATACACTTATCACAGAATTTAGTTCTTTTTCCTCTTCATATTGTAGTAAATTTAGTTTTTTGAAAAAATTAAACTCTTAGTTGTTATGTTATGGATACAATTAGCGTATGGAATATATAAGAAAGGTGGAGATTTGTCTGCGATTGATCTGTGTCCGAGCAAAACTTGTTTGGAGGGAAATATGTCCTTTAGTGTAATGCTCCTGTTAAACTAGAGTGATTACATTAATTACAGGTGCAATTATGAGGAGGGCTGAGGAAGATAGGTGTACATATTACTTCTTTATTTGCATCTTGATGCTAGAGATATTTAAATGTTGGCAGAGAGGAGGGAGGGGAAACAAAAGGAGTGGATGAGGAGTTTTACAAAATATGCAGTTTTAGCACCATAATTTTCAAAGACAATGAATGTTGTGACTATCTTCCTTGTGAAAGGAAATTCGGTTGATTATTGACCCAGTTTAGAGCCTCAATTATTGGTGACTTTTGGTGACTGACCATTGACCTTAGACCTCAGTAGTCTAGTGGTACTACTCCTGTGCCCACAGGGAATCGGTTTGTCTTTTCCAAAATCATACTTGAAAGTTGAAATGTGATATTGTTTGTCTGCTGCTAATGTAGTCTTAGGTACTTCTAATTTTTTCTTGCTGGAAAATTTCCTGGTTATTCACTTTGATTTTCTTCTTATGCAGAAAGACAACACAAGGAACCAGCGTGAGAATCTTGTTCTCTCAGTAGCAAATGCACAGGCTCGACTTGGCATACCTGTTGATCCCGAGCCGGTGAGTGTTTGGATTATCTAACTCCTTAATGGTTGTATTTGTTTATAGTTATTGGCTTTGTTGTACCCTTTATTTAGATTACATATATTCAGCTTTGTTATTATACTAAATCTGAATTAGTTTATAATTGTTGTTAAGTTACTTTTTAAACATTAATAAGGTTTTAAAAAATTGATCAATTTATGATTTTGTTTTTATTTATTTTAATTTTTGGTGTGAGTAGATCAATTTTTGTTCTGTACTTCTTATGGACCAAAGTTAGAACTTCTGATTGGCTATATAAGCTTCCACAAATGTTATAGAAATTCATATAGTAATCTGTGAATATAGTGCTTATATTATCTGTAAATGTTTGCTTGTCTTCACCAATGGGATTAAAGCTTGAACCTCGCTGATTTGGTTTAAAAGTTGTAAAAATACTATTTTTCTCTTACAGAAAGTTCTAGAAACTCTTATTAGTTCTCTTCTGAGTCAGGTATCTAAAAGCATTGATAGAAAGGGGTATTTCAGGATGAGGTTGAATGCATATATATCGTTTGTTTGCATGTGATCCATTGTAGTGGTTTTGCGTTATTTAGAATACCTGATTCATTACGCTCAGTTTTTGTGTGTTTGTTTTTAAATTCACTTCTTTTGGGTGGTGGGTGACTTCTGGTGTTTTGGTTGCATTTAGTTTCTAATTGTGCATAACAGGTGGGTTTCTTAAGGATGTAGAGTTGACAAACAATTCTATAAAAAAGTTACAGATAATCTCTTTTTTTCTTGTTTTTATGACATGTACAGAAAATTGATGAGAAAGCAATCAATGAAGTTTTCTTAAAGGTGCTAGATAACTATATCAAGTGGTGCAAATATTTACGGATACGCCTTGCATGGAACAGGTCACTTACAACGTGCCCTTATTGAAACACTTGTTTACCTTGTACACGAGCACTTGAAACTTACATATTTTTTCTACAGTATGCAAGCAATCAATAGGGACAGGAAGCTTTTTCTGGTCTCTTTGTACTTTCTTGTATGGGGAGAAGCTGCAAATGTCCGTTTTCTTCCTGAGTGTCTTTGCTACATATTTCACCATGTAAGCATCCAGCCATCATAAATGTTTAAATTTAGTTGGCAGTTGTATCTTTCTGCTTGCTGTGTTCAGACATGATATTTTATATTTTTAAGAGGCCATGCTTTCTAGACAACTGCCTCCCCACTGCTTAACAGCATTTAAAATATTCCTTTCTGCTGAATCTTGCATGTGGAGGCTGTATTGATAGTATGCCATGATCCAGTTCTTTGTTGGTGTTTCTGTTTTGTGTCAAGTACAAGCAACAATTTGCTATAAAATAGTTTATTATTTGATGTGTAGTTTTTAGTCATGGATAATAATGATATCAATTATGGTCTTGCAGATGGCAAAAGAGTTGGATGCTGTATTGGACCATGGAGAAGCTAATACTGCTCCCAGTTGTATGACCGAAAATGGTTCTGTGTCCTTCCTTGAGAAAATTATTTGTCCTATTTATGAGACAATGGCAGCGGTCAGTTTTCTTTCTTTCTTTTTGTTTTATAATTTTAAATCTCACTCTCATTCCTATGTCTGCAAATAATCAGAATTCATTTCTATGTTTGAACTGTTAAAGTAATTTCTGGATTAAAGATGTAATTTTCTTTTGATGCTTGCTTATCATCTGGGATGCCTGTTCATAACTGCTGATCTGGGGCTCATTAAGTGAATTCTGGTTTGGATATTTTTAGTTTATGTATTCCTGTTAAAACAATTAGATATCATACAATATTACTCTTGCAGATTGGTGATATTTTCTTTTTGACAATTAAATGGCTGGCTATTGATTATTAATTTCAGCTAATCTTAGAGATGGGGTTATGTTTCTATCTATCACCCCTTGCAAATAGGCCTCAATCTTGTAATGTGGTAGTATTTTGAACTTGTGAAATGGGGTTCAATTCATCTTGGACTTTTATTTCCTTTCCTATTTCCGACATGCCTAGCTACCTCTTTTAATTCAACCCTTGGATCTCCCAGAACCAAGTCCCTCTCTCTCTAATAAGTAATGAGGTTCTTCATGAGATTTAATATCTCAAGGCCTTGTTTAAATTAAAAAATAAAAAAAATCCTGTTATCACAAAGTATTTACCTAATATGTCAAATTTGTCTTTCCATTAAAATGGTCTTCGGTCCATTCTATGTAGCGTATTTATACCAGTCCTTATTGATAGCAACATGATCTTGATTGCCATCAAGTGATTGCTATCTTCATCTGCAATCCAGTGAAAATTATTATGTTGTTCTTCTGTATCTTTGATATAAGCATGCCCATTAACCAGAAATTATTTTAGGGAATTTACTTGTCTAAAACAATTGACATTATAGAACGTGTTAAATTCCTTACCTGTTTATGAAAGTCATACACTGTTTTTAATCAGTTCTATCTGATATTCGTTCTGATCTATTCTTGTTTTTGACTATGTATTGGTGTTGTGGATGCAAACAGGAAGCTGCTAGAAACAACAATGGAAAAGCATCACATTCTGCATGGCGGAATTATGATGACTTTAATGAATATTTTTGGTATGCTTCTTACAAAGTTTTATAATTTTCATGTTTAATGTATAGTCTTCAATATGGTTGTTTCATTTGCAATATATGTAGGTCACCTGCTTGCTTTGAACTGAGATGGCCCATGAGGACAGACTCGCCATTTCTGCTGAAGCCTAGAAAGGGGAAAAGGGTTAGTTTTTCTGATGACTTCTGGCAAAATATTAGCTTTCTCTTAAGTTATTTTTAATTTTTAAATATTATGCAAGACACATGGAATCTTCTCTCTCTCTCTCTCTCTTTTAATTTTAAAATGAGGATAGTATGATGTTTAACCTGGCTGTTACACGCTTGACTGGCCAAACATTTAAAAACTTGAATCTTGATTTTTGTGGACGGCAAACTTAGGTGGTTATGACTTCCTGTTTTCATAGAGTAGGCATTTTTGTTGTCCCCACCCCGCTCCCCCCCCCCCCCCCCCCCCCCCCCAAAAAAAAAAAAAAAGTTATCACACAGTAGTTTTTTTATTTTACCATGTTTAATTTATGTGGGTTTTTTTATGAGAGTTATATCTCTGTTTTTCATATATAAGTGGACTGTTGTTGATGCATATATGCCAGTGGAATCATAATTGGGTAGAGCTTGAATTGAAGTTTCATTTATGAGTTGGGTTAATGATTATTTTCTCTCCAAGGATACCTTAAAGAACAATATGTCAATATCACTCTTGTGGTACTCAGTATAATCATTCCTTCCTTGCCATTAGTGGTCATTCGTTAAATTTAATTAAGAAATAGCTTTTTCATCCTTTAGGTTTAACAGAAATACATTACGGCTCAATAGTTTATGAAAGTGACACTTTTATCCTTAAATTTAAAAATTAGTAGTCAAGTCAATTTGTGACATTATAATCTCTTATGAAAAGGGTTTATTTTATTAACACCCTTGTGAGATCGCTTAGTATTAAATTCACCCGCTTCGTTAAGAAAATATAAAAAACATCCTTGTTGTTAATGATATGTTAAGGTTCTATCCAATTTTAAATTCAGAAGTCTTTTTTACCCCTCCCATTGCTTACCTACTTAAAAACTATTTTTTTATTCCTCATTATTTTTTAAAAATCATTAAAATGCTAGAATAGTTTTCACATAATTTATTATTCATTTATAAATTTTATTTTAGTTATTTTGGAGGAAAACACTTATTACCAAAATACCGTTAACTTGATTTTGTCTTATTAATAATTATTTTAAGGTTGATTATAATTTTTCAGCCTATGTTTATCTCATAATATAAATGTCAAAACATTTGACTTCAAAAAATTTGTTTTAAATAAACGTTTGTCTTTACTCGTTTTATTAAATTTTTATCTTAACAAAATTCATTTTTTAATTGAATTTTTTTTTTTATTAAATGTTTGTCTAGATTTGTTATGTAAATGTGTAACCTTGACAAGTAAAATTGTAAGTTCAATGTTGATATTGTAGATTTGGATATTTGAGTGAAGGATTTAAGAAATTGGTTTAAGTTGGTAAGTGATGGGAAGAGGCAAAACAGACTTTGAAATTTAAAATTGCATGGAACCCTAATATATCACTAACAACTGGGGTGTTTTTAGTACTTCCTGAATAAAGGGGATGAGTTTAATATTAAGCGATCTCACAAGGGTGTAAATTGAATAAACCCCTTATGAAAATATGCACTACCCTTGTATTGTCTTGTTGCATTAAGTATAATAATTACTTGGATGTTTAAGTGGGGTAATTACTATTTTTCCCTTAATGGTTCCTTAAATAACAACTTTCCCTTGTGATGTTTAATATAACAACTTTCCCAATGCAGTTAGTGTCCATCAGTTGGTTCCATCCAGATTCACAGGATAATACCATTTTGCTTTTATTGTTTCTAAAAGCAATATTTTATCTAGTTTCACGAGATTTCTTTTCTTTCTCCGTGTAAGTTTTTCTTTAAATTTAAATTAATTTTTTAAATTTATTTATTAATTAAAAGAATATATATATATACAAGTTTTCTTTAAATTATAAAATATTTAATATAACAAGTGATATGAAAGAATAAAGCAATTATTTATTAATTAAGTTATTTTATTTTATAATATGTGAGTCCTGTAATTTTCTTTTAAAAAGAGTATTTTTCTTTTTCTTCAAAAAAAAGTTATTTTTTTTTATAAGTTTTATTTAAATTTAAATATCAAATAAAAACTAACAATTTTATCTTACTTTAAAAATAATTATTTATAATTACTTTTTGTTTTATTTTAAATATCAAATAAATTATTTTGCTTATTATAATGTGACAATATAAGCGTGTACAGTAATTTTGGAAGAGATTATGATTTCAATAAGCAGACTTGATGAACAGTTGTTAAATCTAGGATAAAAGTGTCGCTTTTAAAAACTATTGGGCTTAGATGTATTTACGTCAAATCTGAACGATGAAAAAGTTATTCCTCTGTCAAAGTTAACAGATGGACACTAATGGTGAGGGGGAAATTGTTATATTGAATATTTCATGGGGGAAATTGTTATTTAAGGAAGCCTCAGGAGGGAAATGGTCATTAACTCTTATGAGTTTCTAGTATTGATGTGAAGTGTTTTTTTTGGGTTAATTTTTTAAATTTTGGTTCAATCATTTATATGGAGACAGTTGTTTTTGACAATGTGTTTATCTTCTTATGGGCATTGGCAGACCGGGAAAAGTACTTTTGTTGAGCATCGCACATTTCTTCACTTGTATCGAAGTTTTCATCGTCTGTGGATCTTTCTGCTTCTGATGTTTCAGGTTAATTTTTGTCCTCCCACATATTACTGCTGTATTGTTTTGAGGTAACTTATTTACTTTATACGGAATGTGTCTTCCACTTTGCGTTTTTGGTTTGGCCTACAGGCTTTGTCAATAATAGCCTTCAAAGATGGGCATATCAATTTAGATACCTTTAAGACTGTACTTAGCATTGGACCAACATTTACCATCATGAACTTCATAGAGAGTAAGTTTTCTATTTCTTGAGGATAGCTTTTTAGTTATTACTTTAGCATAAAATTGCAGAGCTTAGTTTTGATTATATTTTCATTGTCCACTCAATAATGTAATAATTTTCCCCTTATGTAGGTTGTCTAGATGTGTTGCTTATGTTTGGGGCTTACACCACGGCAAGAGGCATGGCTATCTCAAGGGTAGTCATTAGGTTCTTCTGGTGTGGCTTGGCTGCTGCGTTCATAACTTATGTTTACTTGTGAGTCTTATTGTGTTTTCCTATATCTTGTATTTGTTTTTTAACTCTATCTATGTCTTTACATTCAAATTACATATGTTTATGAATTTCACAAAATATTGCAGGAAGGTTCTGGAGGAACAAAACCAGCGGAACTCAAATTCGTATTATTTTCGAATATATGTACTTGTATTGGGTGTTTATGCTGCCGTGCGTGTGGTCTTTGCATTGTTGCTTAAATGTCCAGCTTGTCACACACTGTCTGCAATGTCTGATCAATCGTTTTTTCAATTTTTCAAGTGGATTTATCAGGTATTGTTTTGTTTAATTTTTCTTAAAAATAAATATTGGTCGAATAATTTGTAGATGGTGATAAACAATTCATTTTTTCAATATATCTTGCATATTTCAGGAGCGATACTATGTTGGTAGAGGTCTTTATGAGAGGATTAGTGACTACTGCAGGTTTGTTATATTGTGGAATTAAAAAAAAAAAAAAATAATAATAAAAGAACTTTTTTTGTATGTTAGTTTGTGATCGTAAAGTGTTCTTAACCATTGTTACTAGTGTGCCTTATCTGTGGATGTGGTTAGAGATGCAAGTGTTTTGTATGTTTTCTCTGCATTGTCTGCAGCTAGAGAATTTCATGGCTGCATCTCAGAATAACTTGTGACGTGTTGTTTTGGGTCTTCATATATATGAATTATTTGTTCACGATTATCCATATTAGTGTTTATTTTGATGAAAATAGTATGTGCTTGGAGACATACGATTGGTTGCCAGTGGTTTTGTTTTTAATCGGAAATAGTAGAATTTTATTTAACAAATTGAGGTGTACAAAAAGTGCATTCGTAATCTGTTCAAATTCATTTGGAATTTGCAACATGAACCCTGAATTTACTTTTAAATTTTCTCTTATAGTATTTCATTTCTAGATCTGATAATATGGAGTATAATATGTTGTATACTTGTTAGGATATTAAATATGTAACCATATAATCTGACCTTACTACAGTTGAATTTTGAAAAGGCTTCTATTTATTGATTTTTCGTTCTGTTTCAAATACTGCAGGTATGTGCTGTTTTGGTTGGTGATCTTTGTTTGCAAGTTCTTATTTGCATACTTTCTTGAGGCAAGGATTACTCTGTGATGTTCATTTACATTTTTAACTGTTAGAATAGGTTACTTGCCGATTTGTCGTTTGAAAATATGCCGATAGTTTTTACATATCTGAATATTATTAACATTTGCTATTATCCTGTTGCAGATCAGACCTCTTGTTAAACCCACGAGGATTATCGTTGACCTGCCATCTCTTCAGTATTCATGGCATGATTTGATCTCAAAGAGTAAGCCTTGCTATCCATCTATCGATTTTATGTTGTTGTTTATCTTTTGATAGGTTGTTTGGTTGTTCAATACCATTTGATTAATCAATTTCGAACTATATTTAGAATTTTTTGTACTGTACATAAGAAACCTTGACTTGTACATATGATATATGAAGAGTGCCCAATTTTCCTGGAATCTTGAGATATGCAGCCGCAATAAAGTCACCTCTTCTTAGGTCTCATTTTCAAAAGTGATAGCTTTTGGGAGTTTTTGACATTGATTATTTGAAACTCAAAAATAAAATAAAATAAAATAAAATCCCAGGATTATGAAACCAGCAAAATGTTATGGTACTAGGGTTAATTTGAAGAAATGACGTGAAAGCAATCAGATTGAAGAAAAACAGCTCAAAGTCAGCTCTTGAAATCTAAGTACAATAGACTAATGAAGAGGATAATGATAGGGGTGTCAGTAAAGCCGAGCCGTTCGCGAGTCGGCTCGGCTCGAGTAAGACTCGAATTAGGTACCGAGTTGAGTTCGAGTCTACCCCGGCTTGGCTCGATTCGGCTTGTGAGTCAATAGTGGCTCATTTAGGGTTTTTCTAAAAAAAATATGAGTTTTAGGTCTGTCTTGTAATTTGACATGCAAAAGGTTTAAAAAATTGTAAATTAACCCTTAACCCCAATTAACCCAAATCGCATAAACGATTTCCCCAAAATCATAAACTCTATTTTCACATTACTAATTATCAAGAAACCCCGATTTCCCCAAAATCACACCCAGCCACCCACAAACACAAGAACTATCCAATCGTCGACAACTGCAAACACAAAAACCCTTTTTTTTTTTTTTTTTTTTTTGTCTCGGATTGTATAATTTGTTGTGTAATACATTGTTTATATTGATTTGGATGCAAATTTACCAAAAATTGGATATGATTTGTGTAAAACAAGATCTGCAGGTTATATAAAAAAAAGGTCAAACGAGCCGTAATCAAGGCATAATCGAGCCAATTCGAGCTTGAGTTAATCGAGTCATAATCGAACTTTTCGAGTTGAGTTAAACGAGCTCGAGTTGAGTCACGAGCCGACTCGATTATAAACGAGTCGAGTCATGAGTCGAATTTTCTTGACTCTGCTAACTCGTGACTCGACTCGAACTTGTCTAATGCTTAACCGAGTCAAGCTCGTTTAGAGTGATACTCGGCTAGGGTCGTTTACACCCCTAAATAATGATACCTTAAACATTTAAGTGTAAAAGACAAACCTTGTTGTTAACATTTTTTGCAGGTTGAGAGCTTGATATATCAATGTAATGTGTGAGTTAAGAGTCTTTATTTATTTGTTTTTATTTTAGGAAATAATAAACTTTGTACTAAAGCTTAATTTTTTAAAGTATGCAAAGAAACGTCTATGGACTAGGTGTTTATGAAGAATAAACAAACAAGGGGAAACATCTCTATATATAATAAAACCTCCCTTGTACAAAAGCCAAAAAACTATTAAAATCTACCCAAAACTCCTTCCCTAGTAAGATGAATAAGGAAAAAAGGTGACATTTAATCTTCTTGGCAATTGAAGCTCAGAGAAATAGTAAACTCTAGCCCACAAGTCTCCACTGTTTTCTTCACTTTCTCACCAAAAAACCAATGATTTATTTCAAGCAAATCACCTAAAAAGTAGCTGAAACAACACACACAAGGAGTTATATGTTGTTGTATCAGGTGACTTAAGGTTATTTCGGATGTTCTGTACCTCCTCCTGCGTCACATCTCAATATTTCAAAATTTTGTTTGGAGTTGGTGGAAGTTATAGTTAGTGTCACACTTCAACGTTCCTTTATTACATATTTGAGCTTTTCTTTGAATTTTATGTCTCTTTCAAATTATTGTTATTATCATTATTATTATTGTACTGTCATAATCATTTCTTCTTCTTCTACTACTACTACTACTACTACTACTACTACTACTACTACTACTACTACTTCTTCTTCTTGTTCTTGGTTCCTTTTTCTTGAAGAAAAGTTGGTATTTATTATTGATTGTGTGTGATTTTGCAGATAATAACAATGTTTTGACTGTAGCTAGTCTATGGGCTCCTGTTATTGCGGTGAGTACATTCAATTTTGTTCTGATTATGCCTATAGGAATGACTTTAGATTAGCTTTTCAGCTGATATTTATCATGTAATATCCATTTGAAGTTCTAAAACAAGTGCATGGAATGGAGGGTATTGATGTACTGATTGGATACATGGTTGCTTAGTTCAGATGTCTAACACGGAACCTATCTTTATTTTTGGCTTTGTTACCTTGATTGGAACAAAAGACAATATGTCTATGCAAATATTAAACGTCAGTCAGTATTCTTACATTACTTTGCAACTTCGAAGTTTCCTTACATTTTGTATTATTCTATAGATCTATCTCATGGATATTCACATATGGTACACTGTCTTGTCTGCAATTATTGGTGGTGTAATGGGTGCACGGGCTCGATTAGGCGAGGTATTGATATCCTTCATACTGTTCATGAGTATCTTATATGAGTTTTGTACAATCCATTTTATTTTGTTTTCTTTACTAATTATTCTTTCTCCTGATATCTGAGTGAAAATCTCCCTTCATCAGTATCCTTGTCATGCCAATTGCTTAATGTTGATTTATGACAGATACGTTCAATTGAAATGGTGCACAAACGTTTTGAGAGCTTTCCAGAAGCCTTTGTCAAGAACCTTGTTTCTCCACAGGCAAAAAGGTATTTGGATTGTGATGCTTACAGGTCTTAATTTTATCTAATATTCCTGTAGAAGTATTAATCCATTTTAAAGTTTTATCCAAATGCCTACCCTACTTATTTCCTAAGTCAAATTGTAATCTCATTTAAAATGTTAGCACCCATAACTTTTCAATTGGTGGAGGCTTTGATGAAATAAATAGTGGCTTAGCAAGCATATGCCAGAATGGGATTAATTTAGTTGGACTTGGAAAGTGGGGACATGGCTTTGTTTAATTGAGTGTCCTAAGTATACTTATCCGAGATCCTATTTCTTTCCAATGAAAATGTTTATGGACTGTTTTCTTATTTCAATCCGCTTGATAGCTGTTGATAATTGGGTGGGGCCTGTGAAGTTAACTGAGTAATTTGTGATGTTGAAATTTATGGTATTGTATGTATGCTTTTTCTTGTACATCTCATTTGTATTGCTTTTTCTTGTACATCTCATTTGTATTGCTTTTTCTATTATATCTTGCAAGTAACTTCTCTACCATTGTACTCTTCCAGGATGACATTTGACGAACAAGCACCTCAGGTGTGTGATTTATTTTAAGTTGCTCCCTCTAACTTAATCTTCAATGATGTCTATATTTGTTGCAGTGTTGAAACCAACACATAAACTCTGTTATACACTAACTTCCTAGTTCCCGGTAACAGGAAATGGTAATGTTATACGTGATGTTTCACTTTAGTTGAATTTATCTAAATTTATGTACTCGTTAATTTATACCTGGGAGGTTTCACGTTGACTTGTGTTTTCATTACGGCTTCCAACTGCATTTAGGAACAGCCAAGGATTATATGAGCCTTGTACAAATTCTTAAAGACAAAATAGCTAAGTTACTTCAGTAAACACATAATGTTTTTGAATAATTTAAGTCTGGTTTCTTATGTCAGGACATAGGAGATTTATCATTTTAAGGTTTTATTTATATGTGTGTACTCATATGCGTGCTTGTGGGTGCAAGTATGGGTTTGTGTTTTATCTTCTTCTTTTTTGGGTGCCTGGCTGCGTTTCACTGTGTTTGTGCGTTTGTGTGTAGGTTGCTGCCTTTTTTTAATTCACTATTTGTGTAACAAATGTTACACAAATCTGCCTGTTTTTTTTTTGGGACAGGAGATATTTCAACTTGATAAATACGTAATACTATGAACAATATTTGATTTGGATGATTAACTTGTGGTCGGTCCTTTGTGTGGTTCGTGCAGGTTGCTCAAGAATTGAACAGGGAATATGCATCTATTTTTTCTCCATTTTGGAATGAGATTATCAAAAGTTTGCGTGAGGAAGATTTTATTAGTAATAGGTAATGTTGGAGCCTGCTTTATTGTGTTTCTTTCATGGTTTTAAAAGCTGTGGGTGGTATTCGCAGACTGTCATATGTTTTTTCTGCCATTTCAGGGAGATGGACTTGCTTTCCATCCCTAGCAATGCAGGAAGTCTACGATTAGTTCAATGGCCTTTGTTTCTTCTCAGCAGTAAGGTTAAACCTCTCAAACATTAACTGGAACTTGTTCGAGCCTACAATATTACGCAGTGCACAGCACTAAAAATTTCACATTTTTGTTGGACAATATGATTTTCCAGATATTTTTAGCAATCGATTTGGCTTTGGACTGCAAAGATACGCCGGCTGATCTTTGGAATAGAATATGTAGGGATGAATACATGGCATATGCTGTTCAGGAGTGCTACTACAGTGTTGAAAAGATTTTACATTCGTTGGTTGATGGTGAAGGGAGACTTTGGTATGAATTGTTCAGGCAGCTGTTATTGTTTTGGTTTTGACCGTAAAAGATTTAGCGTAGTTTCTTAATATGTCATGAATTTCTAATCATTGGTTTTTTTCTTATCCACAAAAAAATCTCTTTGATGAGGGCTGACACATGACTTTTTTTCGTTGTAACAGGGTTGAAAGGATTTTCCGAGAAATTAATAACAGTATATCGGATGGTTCACTTTTTACAACCTTGACTCTGAAGAAGATTCCACTTGTGTTGACAAGATTTTCTGCTTTGTTTGGGCTTCTGGTATATGTTTTATGAAATTCAGTCGTCATTTATTTTATTGGAAAATAAATTTGAAATTAATACTGTATAATATCTGAGCTTTCTTTCATTTTCTGCTGCATATTTTCAATTGAAAGAATTGAAGCTTATAAATTTGTGGGTAATCCTTTTACCCATCTTTTCTAATTTCCTGCTAAGTGTTTCCTTAGTTAGGGTGAACTCATCTTCCTTTATTTTCCTTTTTGCAAAATGATGTGTATTAAGAATTCAGAAACAAGCTAAACACATTGGCAGCAGTTTTCCAATTAAGTGCTCAGAAAATAGAAAATTTATAAAGGAATTGGAAAGAGTTGCTTTCATTTTTTTTCTTTGGTGAAGTTCCTTTCTTAGAAACAAAATATACTTTTGAGTTATTTGATATTCTTATTAATTCTTTGTAAGGGCTTTTAACTTATTTTTATAAATTTTTCTGAGAATTTTTATAATGCATTACAATAATTAATATTAATTACATTTTTTTTTTTTATTATCAATGTTTTCATAACATGATACCAAACCGATTATCAACTCTTGAGATTCAAAATTCAATTTTGTATTTCCAAATTTGGAAGCTAATTTTTCAAAAGAAGACCAAAATATGTCCTTAGTTTATCATGCATATATTTATGTGAATAACGTTTTGGAATATTTCTTGTGAATATAAGCTAATTGGTTGAGTAGTTATCTCTGTTATTATTTTACCATTAGGAAAGTCATAAAACTAGTTTTTGTCACTGTTTTGTATGCATTTGTTTTCCCCTTCTTTGATATTGTTGTGGATATACAATCCATTGATTTACCTGTCTCATTATTATTTTCTAATGTAGTTTAACAGTTTTTGATAAAAATTAGAATATTGATTTCTCTGTTATTGGATTTTTTTTAAAAACTTCTATTCAATGTTTCTGTCTCCATTATATGGTAAATGTATGGATAACTTACTTGCATGTTGCTTTTCCCTTATGCTAAATGATGTATGGATAATTTAGTTGGTCTATATATCATAGTTATCATACTGTTATTGACAAATTGTGTGATACACCCTTGATCATTATTTACAATTGAGTTTTTTTTATTTACCCCCCTGGGAATGGTTAAGTCTCAAACGCTCCCATGGTTTTGGAAATATTAGAAGAGACCCCTGGCTGTGAATATGTGATAGTGTCGCTGTGCCACTGCACCTTGCAGAGTGATGTTGCGGCACCACCACCTCTAATTATTTTTTTTTTATTTTTTACTTTTTTTGGTGACAAGTTTCTCCATGGGTTCAAGCAATCTGGGTTGGTTTATGGGTTTTTTTAGCTATCAATTTGATTTGTGTTTGGGTTTTAGATTTGGGGTTGATTTATGCTGATTGAGCTTTGATTTGGTTTGTGTAAGGATTTTGATTTGTTCTTTTAGGTTAAAATATTTTATGTCAGGATATTGTGTGTTTTATATATATGCTGTTGTTGTAGCTTCATATTCATAATAAAAACTGAACTGTGTCAGAGGAATGAAAATCCGGATCTTGCAAACGGTGCTGCAAAAGCTTTATTTGACATATACGAGGTTGTTACACATGACCTGCTGTCATCTGATTTAAGGTTTGTGGCTGGCTATGTGTGTTTGTCGAACATTTTTTTGAGTACTAGTTCAGTTTAATGTTTATCTTTTTACTTCTTCTCTTCAGGGAGCAGCTTGACACATGGAACATTTTGGCTAGAGCAAGAAATGAACGTCGCTTGTTTTCTAGTATAGAATGGCCTAGAGACCCGGAAATTGTAAGCATATTCAAATTTGCCCCCAATAAACTGCTTTCTAGAAAAATATTTTGGCTTGGTTTTTTGTGTTTGCATTTACATTATCCACTTTATTCTGTTTATTATCACAGAAGGAGCAGGTGAAGCGATTGTATCTTCTTCTTACTGTAAAGGATTCTGCTGCTAATATTCCAAAGAATCTTGAAGCAAGAAGAAGATTAGAATTTTTCGCCAATTCTTTATTTATGGACATGCCACCAGCAACGCCAGTTTCTGAAATGATACCATTCTGGTATATACAAATTTTTATATCATATACATGAATTAATAATTTTAGTGAGAAATGCATCTTATTCGTCTGTATTTATGTTTTACTTGTTTGTTTGTTTGTTTTGTTCGAGAATAGTGTCTTCACCCCATACTACAGTGAGACTGTACTTTACAGTATCTCTGATCTACAGAAAGAAAATGAGGATGGAATATCAATTCTTTTCTATCTTCAGAAAATATTTCCAGGTATTTTTTTGACTTCCTCCTCTTCAAGGTTCCTTTTTCTTTTTCTTTTACTAGCATGTTTTGTAGTGCTAGATTCTAGTTTTCAATATTCAATATCCTATAAAAAAATTTCAATATTCAGCAGTAGTACAAGTTTGTATAACTGTTTGTTTTTTATTCTTAAAATCAATAATAGTTTTGTTTTCCTTGTCATGAATGTTTATAAATTGCGTTGTTTGAAGGATTATGTTCTCAACATTATATGTGGATTACCTACATCTTGTGTCTGTTAGAATGCCAACATGCTGCTACTCAAACTGTGCCTAATTCTTCATCTTTGGATAGCGTCCAGGAATTGCATTATTCTAGATTAGTTAAAATATAGCAAGTTTTTCCACCATTCACTTGACAGATTATGTGCTATCGAGTCTGTAATTTGTATCTTGAAGCATCTGTGATGAGTCTATATGCTTTTGAGGTGACTATTACAGATGTTTGCCTTTGTCTGTAAAGGTTTGGGTTTCTTTTCTTCAGTTTTTATTTTATTTTATTTATTTATTTTTTTGTTAGGAAAGAAAAAAAATCCCCTTGTCTTCCACTTTCTTGATAAATTTTCCTTCAAGGCGTATATTATTTATTGGTTAAGATGTGATCATTGGTCTTTTAATCTCATTTAGGTGGTGCTATTTTATATTTTATGCGGTTATTTCTTTTAAAAACTTGGTTGTGGATTTTTTTTTTCTATTTTAGATGAATGGGAGAATTTCTTGGAACGCATTGGTCAAAGCGAGTCTGGTGGAGAGGTAGATCTTCAAGAAAATTCAAGTGATTCTTTGGAACTTCGATTTTGGGTATCTTATCGAGGGCAAACTTTGGCCAGGACTGGTTAGAATTCTCTTGTTACTAGTCTCATATTTTACTTCTTTGTAAAGTTTTTGACAAAATCTAGTTCTCTCTTGTGTGAAAAGTGATGGTTTTTTTCTTCCTATTATTGTTCTGGGGTTGTTTTCCCATTATTTGATGTAACTGTGTAGACATTATTTGAATTTCAAAATTTTGATAGTTGATTCATTGTTGTATTGTCTGGTTGTCTTAATGAAATGTGCATTTTTGTCAAAAATATTTTTTGTTTCGGAGATTATATGGTTCTCATATTATGTTGGTAAGCACAAAATGAAACTATATATATTATGTGCAGTTGGTTGGTTTCTATTATGAAAGTAATTGGTTATTATGGAAATGCAGTGCGTGGTATGATGTATTACAGAAGAGCTTTAATGCTACAGAGTTATTTGGAAAGGAGATCACTGGGAGGTATTTGCTGCAACATATGTAACACTGGCCTATTCTTGTCTAAGTGAGAGGCATGGATACACTTACACAGTTTCTTTTTTTGTTAATAGTGGATTATACTCAAAATAGCTTGCCTCTGACCCAAGGTTTTGAGTTATCACGTGAGTCACGGGCTCAAGCAGATTTGAAGTTTACTTATGTTGTCTCATGCCAAATTTATGGGCAACAAAAGCAGCGAAAGGCACCAGAAGCTGCTGATATTTCTCTTCTCTTGCAGAGGTGTGAATTTCATTTTGAGTATTTATCTTCTCAGTCAACATTTCTTGTTCCTTTTGTAGCCTGACTCTTTTGTTATGTTGAGGTAGAATATATAAACATATATGTAAACTGATAAAACCCCAGGATTAACAAGCAACAAGCAACCAATAATTCAGACAATGCACCAGTTCTCAAGTGTTTTCACAAGACAAGTTGGGATGGATTTAATCAGATTGATATTAAGAACTGAAAATGGTAAATAACAGAGTAGTATTCCAGGAATGAAACGAAAGAAATTACAGCAGATAAATCCCAGCAGTTCGAGGAGCTGGGGACCTCCCTGATTCACACTTTTACAAAATCCTCCTTTTCAACCAAAGGCTCTCCCTTTTATACATGAATCAGCTAACAACTTTTATTCCCTCTAACTAATTGCTTCACATGTCACCTGCCTCCTGCTTCTCTCCACTCAAGCAGTTTTCTTCAATTTTGTTAGTCTCTCTCCATTGATACATGCTTCTCCAATTCCAACCAAATCTGTTGGTGGCTTTTTACCCTTGTGCCCTCTGTGCTGGTAAACCTTCTTGATGGGTGGTCTATCAATACACCCCCCACCCCCCCTCTTTTTCCCTTGAAGAGCCACCTTGTCTTCAAGGTGAAAGTGAGGAAATTGAAGAGTGATAGTGTCGGCTAATTCCCAGGTTGCTTCAAATGGGGCTAAATCCTTCCACTTGATAAGGACTTCTTGAGAGCCATTCACTAGAGTGCGGACAACCAGGACAGATTTCGGCTGAACTTGTAGCTCCATGTCCTCTGTGAGGCCGGGTGGTAGAGGTTGGATAGGAACTGAGCTGTGCAAACTACGCTTGAGCTGAGAGACGTGAAAAAGGGGATGAATTTTGACTGTTGAAGGCAGCTCCAGCTTATATGCAACCTGTCCAATTTTTTCCAAAATGGAAAATGGTCCATAAGAACGAGGACTCAACTTTTCATTGAGTTTGAAGTCAAGGACCTGAAGCGGTAAGGCTGAAGCTTCAAAAACACCTGGTCTCCTGGCTAAAAGTTAACATCCCGACGATGGGCATGTGCCTGTGATTTCATATGGTTTTGGGCATTACTCAGGTTATTTTTCAGTGTGTCCAACATGGCATTACGATCAGCCATTTGTTGATTGACTTCTTCAACCAATGAAGGGTAGTCGGTGAAGCGGAGAAGAGTGGGCGGGTCGCGGCCGTATAGTGCTCTGAAAGTGGTCATCTTGGCGGCACTATGACAAGTAGAATTATACCAAAATTCGGCCCAGGCTACCGACCGTGGCCATTGCTTAGGCTGGTTGTTGCAAAAACAACAGAGATAGGCTTCTAAACAACGGTTAACTACCTCCGTTTGGCNGAAATGCAGTGCGTGGTATGATGTATTACAGAAGAGCTTTAATGCTACAGAGTTATTTGGAAAGGAGATCACTGGGAGGTATTTGCTGCAACATATGTAACACTGGCCTATTCTTGTCTAAGTGAGAGGCATGGATACACTTACACAGTTTCTTTTTTTGTTAATAGTGGATTATACTCAAAATAGCTTGCCTCTGACCCAAGGTTTTGAGTTATCACGTGAGTCACGGGCTCAAGCAGATTTGAAGTTTACTTATGTTGTCTCATGCCAAATTTATGGGCAACAAAAGCAGCGAAAGGCACCAGAAGCTGCTGATATTTCTCTTCTCTTGCAGAGGTGTGAATTTCATTTTGAGTATTTATCTTCTCAGTCAACATTTCTTGTTCCTTTTGTAGCCTGACTCTTTTGTTATGTTGAGGTAGAATATATAAACATATATGTAAACTGATAAAACCCCAGGATTAACAAGCAACAAGCAACCAATAATTCAGACAATGCACCAGTTCTCAAGTGTTTTCACAAGACAAATTGGGATGGATTTAATCAGATTGATATTAAGAACTGAAAATGGTAAATAACAGAGTAGTATTCCAGGAATGAAACGAAAGAAATTACAGCAGATATCCCAGCAGTTCGAGGAGCTGGGGACCTCCCTGATTCACACTTTTACAAAATCCTCCTTTTCAACCAAAGGCTTTCCCTTTTATACATGAATCAGCTAACAACTTTTATTCCCTCTAACTAATTGCTTCACATGTCACCTGCCTCCTGCTTCTCTCCACTCAAGCAGTTTTCTTCAATTTTGTTAGTCTCTCTCCATTGATACATGCTTCTCCAATTCCAACCAAATCTGTTGGTGGCTTTTTACCCTTGTGCCCTCTGTGCTGGTAAACCTTCTTGATGGGTGGTCTATCAATACACCCCCCACCCCCCCTCTTTTTCCCTTGAAGAGCCACCTTGTCTTCAAGGTGAAAGTGAGGAAATTGAAGAGTGATAGTGTCGGCTAATTCCCAGGTTGCTTCAAATGGGGCTAAATCCTTCCACTTGATAAGGACTTCTTGAGAGCCATTCACTAGAGTGCGGACAACCAGGACAGATTTCGGCTGAACTTGTAGCTCCATGTCCTCTGTGAGGCCGGGTGGTAGAGGTTGGATAGGAACTGAGCTGTGCAAACTACGCTTGAGCTGAGAGACGTGAAAAAGGGGATGAATTTTGACTGTTGAAGGCAGCTCCAGCTTATATGCAACCTGTCCAATTTTTTCCAAAATGGAAAATGGTCCATAAGAACGAGGACTCAACTTTTCATTGAGTTTGAAGTCAAGGACCTGAAGCGGTAAGGCTGAAGCTTCAAAAACACCTGGTCTCCTGGCTAAAAGTTAACATCCCGACGATGGGCATGTGCCTGTGATTTCATATGGTTTTGGGCATTACTCAGGTTATTTTTCAGTGTGTCCAACATGGCATTACGATCAGCCATTTGTTGATTGACTTCTTCAACCAATGAAGGGTAGTCGGTGAAGCGGAGAAGAGTGGGCGGGTCGCGGCCGTATAGTGCTCTGAAAGTGGTCATCTTGGCGGCACTATGACAAGTAGAATTATACCAAAATTCGGCCCAGGCTACCGACCGTGGCCATTGCTTAGGCTGGTTGTTGCAAAAACAACAGAGATAGGCTTCTAAACAACGGTTAACTACCTCCGTTTGGCCATCGGTTTGAGGATGGTACGCGAAACTGAATTTCAGCTTGGTACCTGCGGCCTTAAACAATTCTTGCCAAAATTGACTGACAAACACTCAGTCTCTGTCGGATACAATTGAGTTTGGAAACCCATGCAGGCGGACAACCTCCAAAACAAACAGATCAGCCACTTCCTTGGCCGTGTATGGGTGACATGAGGGGAGGAAGTGACCCTACTTAGTTAATCGATCCACCATTACCAATATCGTGTCGTATCCTTTGGCTTTGGGCAGCCCCTCGATAAAATCCATACTAATGTCTTCGAATACCTGGGTGGGAATGGGTAAAGGTTGGAGAAGACCCGCAGGCTTAAGAGCTGAATGTTTATTCAGTTGACAAGTGGCACGCCGTTGAACAAAAGTCTGAACATCTCTTTTAATTCCCTCCCAAAAAACCAGATTCGTCACCCGTTTGTAGGTTCTAAAAAATCTAGAATGGCCACCGGTAGGACTGTTGTGGAATTCTTCCAACAACCGCGGAATAAATTTAGAAGATTTGGGAACCACCAACCTGTTTTTGTAGAGCAGACAACTGCGGTGTAGATTGTAATTTGGGTGACTCTGGGGATCGAAAAGCAAACTTGGATGATAGTTCGAAGCTTCGCATCTTGCTGTGCTTCAGCCGCCAGATCATCGAATTCTGAGAAGTTAACTATCGAGACAGCAGTGAATTCCATGTCTTCTCTGCGGGAGAGGGCATCAGCCACATGGTTTGAACTACCTGGTTGATACACGATCTCAAACGAGTACCCGAGAAGCTTAGAAAGCCATTTTTGCTGTTCAGGTGTTTTCACCCTCTGATCGATCAAGAACTGCAAACTACGCTGGTCCGTTTTGGTAGTAAACTTTTGTTCGCTGAGGTAGTGACTCCATTTTTGAACTGCGAATACTATGGCCATTAACTCTCTTTCATATACTGATTTTTGCCTTGACTGATGGGAAAATGCTTTGCTGATGAATGCTATGGGATGCTGGTTTTGAAGTAAGACAGCTCCCAATCCTTGGCCCGATGCGTCGGTGTGGACTTCAAAAGGGAGACTGAAATTAGGTACAGCCAAGAGAGGAACATATGACATGGCTTTTTTCAGGTTATCAAAGGCTTGTTGGGCCTGTTCATTCCACCCGAAGGCGTCTTTCTGAAGTAGTTTAGTCAACGGTTGAGCTATCGACCCATAATCTTTCACGAATCGACGGTAATACCCTGTTAATCCCACGAATCCCCACAACCCTTTGATAGTTTGTGGAACAGACCAAGATAGCATTGATTCAACTTTGGTTGGGTCTGCTTCCACCCTATTCGCAGAAATCAAATGTCCCAAATATTCTAACTTCAATTGACCAAATATATATTTCTTTTGGTTGACAACCAACTCATTGTCGGTCAAGATTTGGAAGGTGTATCGCAAGTGAGTGAGGTGGGCTTCTAGGTTAGGGTTGTAGACTAGGATGTCGTCAAAAAATATCAGTACAAACTTCCTTAAAACTGGTCTGAAAATGGTGTTCATCAAAGCCTGGAAAGTGGAGAGGGCGTTAGTCAACCCAACTGGCATGACCAGGAATTCGTAATGCCCCTCGTGAGTTTGGAAAGCTGTTTTTGGCACATCCTCGGGCCTAACTCTGATCTGGTGATGTCCGGATTTCAAATCCAGCTTAGAAAAAACTGTTGCTCCAGCCAACTTATCTAACAACTCATCAATTGAAGATATGGGAAATTTGTCAGGTATGGTTATGTTGTTAAGGGCGTGGTAGTCAACACAAAATCGCTAGCTTCCATCTTTCTTTTTAACTAACAACACCGGGCTTGCAAATGGACTAGTACTCGGTTGAATTATTCCGAACATCAGCATTTCACCCACCAGCCTTTCCATCTCAATTCTTTTGAGTGTAGGAATATTTGTAGGGGTGTAGATTAGGGGGTTTGGAGGATTGTTGGATGGTTATGGCATGGTCAGTTGGTCTCCTTGGTGGGAGACAAGGGTGTTGGTCAAACAGTTGGTGGAATTCTTTAAGTAATGCAACAACTTCTGGCTCCATGGGTTCACTCTGCTCTTTGACTTTCCTCTCAATGGAACAAAACTCTACTACATACCCTGCACCCTCACTCTGTAGTGTCTTGAGCATGGCTTTTAGAGAGACTACAGTCTTAACTAACGAAGGATCACCTTGCAACACAATCCTCCTCCTGTTACTATCGAACGCCATGGTTAAATTTTTCCAGTTAGAGTACACATCTCCTAACGTGCTCAACCAAGATATCCCTAACACCACATTAGCTCCACCTAAATTAAAGGGGAAAAAATCCTGTGTCAACTCCACCTCCTGGATCCTCATACTCACATTTCTACAAATCCCTTCTCCCCTGACGGTAAAACCATTTCCTACCATTATTCCAAATTGTTTCCCCTTCTCCAAGTTCAAGCCTAGCTTCCGTACCAGCTCCTTTGAGATGAAATTGTGGGATGCCCCACTATCAACCAATACAATCACTGTCTCATCTCCAATCATTACCAGGATCTTCAAAGTTTTATCCATCGTCATACCTACAATCAAGTTTATAGACAAAGCCAATGGATTACCTGTTGGGTTGGCATCATCATCGTTGTCAGAGCTGGGTTCTTCCTTTTCCGACGAGTCTTCATCAGTTACTAAAAGGATCTGTAGTGATCTTGCCCTACAATGGTGCGTGGGACTGTATTTTTCGTCACATTTGAAGCACAGTCCTCACTCCCTCTTGCTCTGAATCTCGGCGTTAGTCAATCGTTAGAAGCTGTCGCCGCGAAATCCCTACATGGGTGTGTCCGCTGGCCTTTGTCGTTCATTTCCTTTGCTTGAAATCAGATCTGGAATGCGTGAAAAAGAGTTGGGTGACCATGCATTTGTGCGCCAGTTTTCTGGGTTGGGTGTGACCCGCTGGTATGGCTCCATTTTAGGTGGTTGGGTCTTAAAGGGTTTGGGCTTATGTTTTTCTAAAGCCCAGTTTTTTTCCTCAATTATGTGGGCCTGCTCAATAAGTGAAAAAAGTGTATTTTGTTGGGCCAAACGCAGTTCAGCCCGAATTTCTTCTTTGAGTCCCTTTAAAAAAATTCCCATTAGCAAATCTTCTCCTACCTCATGCAAGGGAGCTGAATGTTCTTCAAAATTTTCTCTGAATTCTGTTACTGTTCCCGTTTGTTTTAAGGCTACTAGTGCCTCATATGTTGATCCTTTGAAAGATGGACAAAATCTCGCAACCACGGTAGTTTTAAAAGCTTCCCATGAACTGATTGGTGCCCTTGATTCGACCCACTGATACCAATTCATTGCCCGTCCCTCCATGCAAACCGCAATTGCCTCTACTTTTTTCCCTTCTGTGTAACGATTGACTGAAAAATAGCAATTCGCTCTAAAAGTCCATCCGTGGGGATCTTCTCCATTAAATATTGGTAATTCTAATTTTTTTCCCTTTTTTTCCTCCTTAAGGCTCTCGGTTTCCTTATTCTAACCCATTCCACCATTGTCGTTACTGTTGGAGTTTTCCCCCAGCTTTGACTTGCCCCTATCTCTACTATTTTGTGCTTCCTTCTCCTCTTTCAATCTCATCCATTCCCTCATTTCTAGGAGATACCTTTTGATGCTACATAACTCCTCCTTCATCCCTCCTGACTCCTTCTCCATGTTACCCATTTCTTTTTCTAATCCCTCAACCTTCTGCTCCATTCTCGATTTAGGCATTACCCACGCCAAGCTTTGATACCAGTTGATAAAACCCCAGGATTAGCAAGCAACCAATAATTCAAACAATGCACCAATTCTCAAGTGTTTTCACAAGACAAATTGGGATGGATTTAATCAGATCAATATTAAGAACTGAAAATTGTAAATAACCGAGTAGTATTCCTGGAATGAAACGAAAGAAATTACAACAGATAAATTCCAGCAGTTCGAGGAGCTGGGGACCTCCCTTATTTACACTTTTACAAAATCCTCCTTTTCAACCAAAGGCTCTCCCTTTTATACATGAGTCAGCTAACAACTTTTATTCCCTCTAACTAATTGCTTCACACGTCACCTGCCTCCAGCTTCTTTCCACTTAAGCAGTTTTCTTCAATTCTGTTAGTCTCTCTCCACTGACGCATGCTTCTCCAATTCCAACCAAATCTGTTAGTGGCTTTTTACCCTTATGCCCTCTGTGCTAGTAAACCTTCTTGATGGGTGGTCTATCATAAACACGTATAATGAAGTGTCACTTGTCTGTCGTAATTTGCTATGGATGATTTGGCCTTATTTTAGCATTTCTGATGTTTGCTTTTCTGACATTATTTTGCTCATTGGGACTGGTTAAGAAAGTATAGTTGGGAATATATATAAGAGACACCGAAAATAATTAAGCTGTAAACATTATGAAGTGCTTATGTAGCCCTGAAGAAGTGGGGAAGGGAAACAACTTTGTTCTACAAGAATGGGACTGTGGAATTCCTCCGTTCTGTGTTACATATAATGTTCTAAATTGCATCAAATAAGTGTGATGTTTGTATCATTATATTAAGTTGAAACAAAATTGTGGTCAACTGTGTTTTCTTGGCATTTTCTATTTTGTTGGTAAGTCCTTGATGAAGTTTCCATGTCTGTAAGTCCTACCATTAAGTTCTATGCTATAATCATAATACTTAGTTATACATGTCATAAGCTCAGTGCAAACTTACTTCTTGTAGTTTTTGTTATTAGGAATGAGGCACTTCGAGTTGCCTTCATACACGTGGAGGAGACTGGTACAACTGATAAAGTTTCAAGGGAATTTTATTCAAAGCTTGTTAAAGCTGATATACATGGAAAAGATCAGGTATATTGTTTTTTTGACCTATTGTTTGTCCATTGATTTTGAACTTTCTGGTGGACAAGTTTCTGATCATGAATCAAAGCAGCTGATGAGTCTGGTTGATTGTTACTCTTTGTTGATGTGTTTGGTTGAATTTTGTTTAGCTTGACTAAAAGTAGATAACAGGTCTCTGCTTTAGGGACATTTCTCTTTCCTCGTTTGGGAAGGATGACCTAGTTTACTGCTTAATTTCAGATCACCCATTTGCCATATTTGAAAGACATGAATGTCTATTTAGTTGTAAGCTATTGCCTTCCTACTGGTTTGTTATTAAAAACTTTTGTGTCTCACGCACTCAAGAATTTTTCAAGATGCTCAAGAAGAGGCTTGATATGCTTTGGGAGAGTCTGTGGGATGACATCTTTGTGGTTTTTGTCATTAAGCAATTCCAAGGGACATCTTTTTCCTTCATTTGTAAAGATTAGAGTGCTGTTCTTAAGTTTTATTTCGGTCTCTCTGGTGGATTTCTGGCTCACCTGATTTTCTGATATACCAATGCTTTTCCCTTTTAGTAATATTGTTGATTCCTATTAAAAAAAAAAAAAAAAAAAAAAGGAGTTTGATGTCCTTGAAAAAAAAAAAAAAAAAAAGGAGTTTGATGTCCTTGTGGTTTTGCACGTATTAACCTTATTGCACCTGTAAATTTAGAAGGGATTCTATTTTAACATTTAATGTGATAAGATGAACATATATATATATATTTTTTTTTTTTTTAAAAAAGAAAAAGATGCGATTTTATTTTTGGTCGGTGGTTAAAGCATGAAAAGTTTTTACTCAGAACTTGGTGTTTTAGATTGTTGGTAGAAGCTTCAAAGAATGACTTGGATGGATATCAACTTTGGGACAGTTGTACACTATTGCTACATTACTTATATGATGCTGACATTTGTTTTTTTATATCTAAAATGTCAAGTTATTAATCTTGACCTTTTAAGTGTACTAATATTTCTGTCGTTTATTGTAATAGTGTGAAATATGAAATAGTTTAACTCTACTCTTTCTTCAAATGCTTTTCTTCTTGTTTATTTTTCTAAGAAATTCCTACCCCTCTGCTGTAGAGATTTTCTTTATTTTAGTGGGGGACTGGTTATAAGATTTTTATGACTGCAATCTGCTATATTTTTCTTATTCCAATTAATGGGTTTTTGTGTTCATTATGGTTCCTGTTCAGCAGATGTACCTTAAGCATAGCAATTTGTGTGCGTTTGTTTAATTATGTTCACCTTTTTAATATGCTAAATTTAGCTGTTCTAGCACTCGAATTCCATATCATACCGAGTAAGTTTTCTTCTTTTGTAATAATTTCTTGCTTTGCAATTTATTTCATAGAGCATCAAAAGTTTGTTTTTCACCACATGTTGTTCCTCGTGCGGGGAGAAACTACGATTTTTTTACAAGTTATCTGTTGTTTTCATAGAATAAATAAGTTGTGTAAATATGCTTATGTTTCAATTTTCTGAGTTAACTATTGTTTGGATGATAGATGTTTCTTATGTTATGTTCATGTTTTCGTAGGAAATATATTCAATCAAACTTCCTGGGGATCCAAAGCTTGGTGAAGGGAAGCCTGAAAATCAAAACCATGCCATAATATTTACACGTGGAGAAGCTATTCAAACTATAGACATGAATCAGGTTTTTTTCAGTCTCTCCTAAGTTTTCAACTATTGTTTGGTAGACTGGAGGTTATTTTGATTTTTTTGTTCTTGTAAAAAGACAAGCAATGAAAATTTACGAGACCTAAACAATATTTGGAGCTAGTGGAAAATTTATGTTTCTTTCTATATGACTTAATCTGGTTTATGGGGACCATTGGCTCTAGTTTTGTTCATTATATTTTAACACTGTTAATTGAAATGTGGGTAACTCTTTCCTAATTTCTTCTTAAGTACTGATCTAAATAGCTTCAGATTCATGGTTAGGATAGTTAACTTTTGCTTTTGGAGTGTTGAGTCGTCAATTATAGATAGTTTGGTGGTTTTTTAATGTGTCTCTTCATCAAGGTTTGGGGCATATTTTGGAAACGGACACTAAAGGAAATATTTCTAGTGTGTTTTGTCCTTATTTTATTGACCAACTATTTGTTTCTGGACATTATGTAATCTAAATGCTGACACCATAACTTAAAGGATAAGTTTTTAACATATTCTTGTGTTTATCAGCATAAGTTGTGTGCTATGGATGTTATGTTTTGTTGGCGCTACTCTGAAGAGTAGCTAGCCATGTACTTTTTGATAAAGATATGAAATAATGCATCTTTTAAAGCTGAGGTAAAATTATCGTTTTAGATGCTGATGTAATGTTCTGGAATCCCATGGCTTGTATTTTTACAAGTATGCTTATCTTGTTTGCAGTTTAGTTTTTTATGCTTTTGATATAGAAACGCCGAATTGTATAGCTATGATGTGTGCACTTCTTTGTCTAATTTTTTTAAAACCAATTGTAGGATGGTGGACATAGAGTCATCGATTATAGGTTTCAGTAGCTTTGTCTTTGCTGTCATAGTGATTGTTTGTGTCCAATCATTTGGATATAGTTTTCAGTAAATTTGTCCTTTCTATGGACTGCTGCTTGAAAATACAGGCTTAATAACTTCAGGTCTATTATTCTGTGGTCTGATTGATTAAATTGCTGTACAGATTTTAATAGTTACATATTTGATGGTTTATGTCTATTTGCAGTTATGTTTCACACAGAATTCATTTGCCAACTGCTTAGATGTTTCAATTCTATGTTCTTTTAGTTGCTGGATGTACCTTTTCTTTGCTGCATCTTTCCCCGTAGACTTCTAGATTTGTTTGACATTATTGGTCTGAGACCTGGAAATTCGGAATCATTAATAACATCTTATTATAATATGCTTAGTGAAGAATGATATGGTAATAATCTTCATTTGGATTGACTTTGTTCTGTTGAATTCATTTGCCAACTGCTTAGATGTTTCAATTCTATTTTCTTTTAGCTACTGGATAAACTTTTTTGGCATCTTTCTATCTAGACTTCTAGACTTCTTTAACATTATTGTTCTGAAATCTTGAAATTTGGAATTGTGAATAACATCATATAATAATATGCTTAGTGAAGAATGATGGTGATAATCTGCATTTGGATTGAATTTTTTTTTTTTTTTTTTTTTTTTTTTTGTTCTTTAGGACAATTACCTTGAGGAGGCAATGAAAATGAGAAATCTTCTTGAGGAATTCCGAAGAGATCATGGCATTAGACATCCAACTATTCTTGGTGTGAGGGAGCATGTTTTTACCGGAAGGTCTGGAACGCCTTTTCTTTGAACAATGGCTGCTGTGGTTTGGTTGTTCTGCTAATTTTCTTACTTATTATGTTTTGGTCCTATCCATGCAGTGTCTCATCTTTGGCCTGGTTCATGTCCAATCAAGAGACGAGCTTTGTGACCTTGGGCCAACGTGTGCTAGCATACCCTCTCAAGTGAGTAGTTATCTACTTATACCTTTGAAATGACTAAGGTATACACTGATAAAGTTCTTACATAAAAAGATCAAGATCTGTCCCCTCCCTCTTTTTCTTTGACAAGAAATAAAATGACTATTGTTTTTTAAAAAACGAAGTCTCCCTCCCCCTATTTGGGTGGATATTTTATGAGATTTAAAATAAGTTCAGTGGTGGTGACATTCACCAAATTCAATGTTGGGGCAGGGACAGGTTTAAGGTAGCTTCTCTGCCATGTAACTGTTATACCCTATTAAAAATTTGTTTTCAACACATTCTCACATGAGGGGGAGAGGACGAGATTGATATTTTTATGAGCTTCTCCTTCTTGTGATTTGTGGGACATGATGCCACGGGAACTTGATGATTAGAGATTTTTATTGGGATGGGAAGCATCCACGCTGAGATCTTAATAAAGTGGGATGGGAAGGGGGCTTTGGTTCTGATTATGACTGCTGGCTGTTATTTGTTTTGAGTATAAGAGTCTATTTAGCTTCACCAATGCATTTAAATTATCTCTTTTAATTCTTGTGTTATTTTAATCATTCAACATTGAGATAAAGGAATGCTTCTTGTATAACAGTATGGTGAGCTTTGAACTATGAGTGCAGTATCGGAAACTAATATCTCAATCATAGTTCAGACGATAGTCTGACTCATTATGAGGTTGTCGTAACTTCCCCCTTTAGGACTGTCACAATTAGTACTATGAGCTCTGGTTAAAACCCTTGTGCCTTCAGCATTCTGCTGTAGTTCTGTCGGTGACCTGGCAGATTTTAGGGCTTTTTCTTTTTGGTTTTAGATTGAAGAAAAGTTCTTAATATCATAAGTGGAAAATATTGTGAGAATTCCTTGTTACTCTATCCTTCTCCTATTCAAAGTTTCCCATAAGTTAGATCCATCTTCTCCATGTTCCTCTCAGTTTATATTTCCTAAACAAAGTGGCTGATACCTCTTTTAAATGGGCTACCTTAACTTTGATCTTTTGGTTGAGCAATTTATGTATGTTGTTGACTTATATTCAGGGTTCAAATTCTCTTCTTAACAAAAGGAAAAAAAAATTGATGGCTTAATTTCATTTTCATGTAAAATATCTTGCAGAGTCCGCATGCACTATGGACATCCAGATGTGTTCGACCGAGTTTTTCATATAACTCGAGGTGGCATTAGTAAGGCATCACGTGTCATTAATATTAGTGAAGATATATATGCAGGCTAGTGAAAATCTCTCTCTCTTTCTCCCCACATCTTTCTTTTAGTTAATTTTGCATTGATTTAATTTTTTGGTTTTTGGAAACTTTCATCTTCATTCCTTATGATTGGTTATGATAAAGACTGAATATTTTTAATTCATTGGGTATCTTCCTTTTAATTCTTAAATTAGGAATGATTAGTCTTAAAGTTATCAAAGACCTTCCCTGAGTTTCCTTAAAATTTATTAAAAATCTCCCTTCCAACAAATGTTTTGATATATTTTTCAAACCAGGCCAGTGTGCCTTTGTGACCTGATATTATGAAAAAAGTCAGCCTATATCATTCTATTATTGTACAACTATCTCATATTATGAAACAGGCACAAGTCACTCCTTGGAATGGTGAAGGTTTTGTTTTCCATTAGTTTCATTGTGTCGATTTTTGCTTTAAAATGCAATCTTACTGGAATAATGTCTCTTTTATCTGTTAAGAATTTCATGTTTGTTATGTATGTGTCGACTGTTAAATATTGAGGCACATTCTTCAAGTTAGATTCCTGAGGGCTGAGCCATTGCTTTCTTCTGGCTTAACTTTATGATTTTGATCTTATGCTTATTCCTTACTGGCTATGTGGTAATACATTTTGTTGACTTAACTGTTGGCAACTTATATAATGATATAAAAATGAATTTGCTGCAGGATTTAACTCCACATTGAGACAGGGTAACATTACTCACCACGAATATATTCAGGTTTGATATGCTCATTTGTATATTTCTTTCTGTTTAGGTCACAGAGATATCTATTAAGATAGTATATTTCCTCCAATTTCTTGAGATTGCTTCTCTATGTAGGTTGGAAAGGGAAGAGATGTGGGGTTAAATCAGATTGCCCTATTTGAAGGGAAAGTTGCAGGAGGGAATGGAGAGCAAGTCCTAAGCAGGGACGTGTACAGGCTTGGTCAACTTTTTGATTTCTTTAGAATGCTCTCTTTCTACTTCACAACTGTCGGTTACTATGTTTGCACGATGGTGTGGTTACTTCCATGACTTGTTCTAAGTGCATTTTTTATCTATCTTTTTCTAGTGATTTATGCAGTTAGCTGGTTTTCCCATTGCACTAAAGAGTGTTTCTTTTTCTTTCTACCCCCCAATTGCAGATGACTGTCCTTACAGTGTATATATTCTTATACGGAAGAGCTTACCTGGTAATTTAGCATACCAAGCACTGTGTCTTATTTCTCCCTTCTATTCATGTAGATAAAGTTATATCAAATTTCTTGTACAAAAGTGTAGAGTTATGTTTTATTTATCACACCTGAAAGTTAGATTGAAGAGGATATGAACTTGGTATTGTCTCTTACCCAAATTAAGTGTTTTTGCTTATTTACATCACTTGCAGTTTTAGATTCTGCAAAAGGTGAGAATATTGTCAAAATAAAGAGTTGAAAACCTATATTTTTGGTTATTTGATTACTCGCATACTGGACTTAGTTCATACATGTGTACTTTATAGGTTGGGCACTCAAGGCCCTTGGTTATGTTTCATGCAGCGGTTGTTATACATTAATATGTTAAAACTGGACTGCCTGAATATCATAGTATTATTACATCATGTCTTTTTGCTAAATAAATCATCCAATGACTGCATTTATTATTTCATGTTTTGTGTTTCATTTTATTACAATGGAAAGTGTCAAGTCTAGGAATTCTTAGGCACCATGTTTTATTACTTTATTATGAAGCCAATTAATTTGGTGGAAATATGAAATTATGTGTAAAAATGCTGAGCTCAGCCTCAGTTAATGCATCTTGTCAATAAGCTGTATGCTGTTTCAGGCTTTCTCTGGACTTGATCGAGGAATTTCAAGGTATGCAAAGTTGACAGGAAATACATCGTTGAATGCGGTTTTGAATGCACAGTTCCTAGTACAGATTGGAGTTTTTACTGCAGTCCCAATGATAATGGGTTTTATACTTGAAATGGGATTGTTGAAGGTCAGTCCATCTAACACTCTGCAGTGTCATGTTCAAATTACTTTTCCTTGGAGAGATGTTTTAGAACTCATTTGGCTTGTGATGTGAAAATAATTTTCAAAATATATAATAAAAAATAATAATTTAGTTGTATCTCAATATACTTAATATCTGAAAAATGTATATAAAATGTTTTCAGAGTAATTGAAAATAAAATAATATAATATAAAAAACCCAAACCTATTTTATCTAAGAAAACAAATTTTTTTTTTTGAATTTCCTAATTTTACACTAGTTTTTAGGCTTATATGCAAATTCTTAAAAGAATTGTATTAAATTCTAAACAAACGGCTGTTTTAGCCCATAATGCTAAAAAATTGCAGACTTTTCTTGGTTCCCATTGTATAAGACTTTGTCCTCATTGTATTATGATCCTGGGATAACATTATATTTTAGGATCCGTTTGGTATGGTTTCTTCAAGTAGAGCTTATTAGAGTAGAGTTTTGATGAAAAAATTGCTGGTTATTTGGTTAAAATAATGTAAATGAAAGGATTTAAGATACATTGAAAAGATAAAGTCAAATTTCTAAGATGCAGAAGTTTTAATATTTCTAATTAGCTCGAAAAGAGCTTATGGAAGAATCTCAAATTTTGAGCTTCTTCTAGTAGACATAAAATAGTGTATCTAAGATACTATAAGCACTTTTCAGGTATAATCAAACAACCTTAGAAAATTTTAAAATAATGCTTTAAATTTATATAAGCTCTTTCCACTTGTAGATTAGTCCAACCAAACAGGCTTATAGTCAGCTGTGCCTATTAGAGCATATTTTTGAAATTTATGTTATTAATGTTATTGTTTTGAAAAATTTATTGCTTTTTAACTACAATTTTAATTGTTTTTGCAGGCTGTATTTAGCTTCATTACTATGCAACTTCAGTTATGTTCTGTGTTCTTCACATTCTCATTAGGAACCCGAACTCATTACTTTGGACGTACTATTCTCCATGGGGGTGCAAAAGTATGTATGCTATTTTCTGGTCTTCCTTGTTTTGAAGGCCTTTTTTTTTCTCCTTTTCTTTTCTTTTGATCGGGGATAAGTTTTTGTAACAAGTGTACAAATAGTCGAGGAAATCTTTATATCACTCTAGTGTAGTTTTTCTGACAACATATCAAGTTCTTTTGTATTGATTGAGGCCATCTGGTCCACCTGTTCTTTTATTATCTTAATAGTTTCTCTATTTTTTTATTTTTTTTATTTTTATTTTTTTAAAAGGAGTTAACAGCATTCGTTTTGAATTTTATTAACAGTACAGAGCAACTGGCAGAGGCTTTGTTGTCCAACACATAAAATTTGCGGAGAATTACCGTCTTTACTCAAGAAGTCATTTTGTAAAAGCGTGAGTAAATTTTTTTAATTAATTCTGTTCTTTTAACTGGGAGAAAGGAGGTCAGTTATTTTGATGTTTTCTATATATGCAAGTTGAATGGCTTTTGTTTTAAAACCTTCAAACTTGATTTTTACAGGCTTGAAGTGGCACTTCTTCTAATAGTTTACTTGGCATACGGATACATAGAAGGCGGTGGTTTTTCTGCTGTTTTGCTAACTCTTAGCAGTTGGTTCCTTGTCATCTCGTGGCTCTTTGCTCCTTATATCTTCAATCCATCAGGTTTTGAATGGCAAAAGTAAGTTTAGTGGAACTTATCTGCTTCCTCCCAATTTCAAATTAGAATTTGTGCTAGTTGAGCTTTGTATATTTCATATATCACTGCGTTGGTCTGCTCTTTAACGATTAAGCTATCTGCTAAGTCTTATTTACTGCATTGTTCAATGAACAGGACTGTAGAAGATTTTGATGATTGGACCAGTTGGCTCTTATACAAAGGTGGAGTAGGAGTGAAGGGAGACAATAGCTGGGAAGCTTGGTGGGAGGAAGAACAGGTTAATTACTATTATCATTTTCTTTTATAAAAAAACTTTTAAACTAACTAAACGTGACATAATGAGATAGGTGCATAGCTGGACTACATTTTCCAGAAACAGATCAAAAAATCAGAGAAAGTGACAAATTCTCTGTCATTGATAGTCTTCCTCTTAACCAAAGAAAAGCAAACTATACAAAAAATTAGCCCCGAAAAAAGTTCTCGCCAGTTGAGATGTAATAAAGAAGTTTGCTACTCCTTCGAAGTTAAAGCCCAAAGAGAAGCAATTGAAATAAGATTTTATTATGACATAATTTTGTTTTATTCATTTATTACAATAAACATGGTTTTTCATCTATTTTACCATATGAATACGAGTATACTTGCGAATTTATCCATCTTATGTCTTGTAAAATATCAGTTTGTATGAAAAAAGTTGGTATATGTGGTCTACTGCATACTACTATTTTTTTTAATATGAGGAGAGGATGGATATTTTAATATTTTCTCATTGCTAACATTTCCTTGTTTCATTAACATCCTTTGATAAAAATGAATAGCATTCCATATTTTGATATGGAGAAAAGTTTGGTTTTATGTCACTACCAAATTTGAAATTAGTGAAGGTAAACCGCAAATAACATGGTGCTTCTTCTAGTCTTTTAGTAGAAGACTACAAGACTTAAATATTGTACTAGAGGAAACTTTTTCTTTTGAAAGACTTAAATATTGTTTGGGCATGTTTTTCTATTCTCAGCTGCTTTTTATTTATTTATTTTTTGTTGATTTATGCTTTTATTTTTTAGGCGCATATCCAAACTTTGAGAGGTCGTATACTGGAAACAATACTAAGTTTGAGGTTCTTAATATTTCAATATGGCATTGTGTACAAACTCCATCTCACTGGAAAGGATACATCAGTTGCGGTAAGCTTCTTTTCTGTATATTTTTTATTTTTGGCTCACACATATTTTAAGCAAAAAAGGAATCACTGCTTTTTGGAAGGCACTCCTAGCCTAAGCTGGGACATCACTACTGCTGAAAGTTAATTTAATTTTTTTTTTTTTTTTGAATTTTACTGATGTAAATATTATTTTTCCTTAATTGCTCCTTTATGATTAATAATATGTTTGGATAGTAGAGGTTTGCCCTGATGATATTGAACTACGGAGATATGAATTCAAGTAATTTAGGGTTTCAGAACATATGTACTTTGGCTAGTCGATCTTTTTTTCTTCTTGATCCTGACAATCGTTTTTTTGGTCTAGATTTATGGCTTCTCCTGGGTTATATTGGTGTTCATTGTCATGATATTTAAGGTTTGTACCAGTTCTTGTTTAAGTTCCTCCTTCATTACCTGGGTTTGGTGCTTGGGTTTGCATTAACACCTTGTGTCTTTTCTTATTTATTTTCATTGGATTGCAGATATTTACCCTTAGTCCGAAAAGGTCAGGCAACTTCCAGCTAATGTTGCGGTTCGTGCAGGGAGTGACATCCATAGGACTTGTACTAGCAGTTGCTCTTGTTGTGTTCTTCACTGATTTATCAATTGCAGACCTTTTCGCAAGCATTCTTGCATTTATACCTACTGGTTGGCTTATTATATGTGTAAGTTACAAATACTTTACGTGGCATTTTTTTTTATTGGGCATAAAGTTGATTCGTAATCCATAATAATTTTTTGAGAAAAGCCTTGGTACCACATGGTTCTATGCAGTATTCTTTGCCCGACTAAATTTTTATAATCTGTGAGGATTTATTATGGGGAAATTGGCATAAATAACCCCCCACTAGAGAGATTTAATGAAAAGTAGTTGGGCATAAAATCTGACAAAAAGGCCCTCTTGATGTTGTTCTTCTTCTTCAACTAAATTATGGAGGACTTTCTTCCTGGTTATGAAATCCAAGGTCTGCTCATGGAGGTTGCATCTTTGTACCTCTGTTATATTTCTCCTTTAGCTAGTTGTCCCTTAAAAAATTTTGATTGTGATGGGTTGTTGGAGTAACATTTCAATATCTCCTCGATGGAAGCCTAATCTCAGTGTTTTATCAAAGCTGTATCTTGTTCTTGTGATTGGAATATTTTCTAACACTCTCCAAACCTGTTTTGTTTTTATGAATACAGCTATCTATCACATGGAAGAAGATAGTCAGGAGACTGGGCTTGTGGGATTCAGTGCGTGAATTCTCCAGAATGTATGATGCTGGGATGGGTATGATACTCTTTGCTCCAGTGGCATTGATGTCTTGGTTTCCATTTATTTCTACCTTCCAGTCTCGTCTTCTTTTCAATCAAGCATTTAGCCGCGGACTGGAGATCTCCCTCATTCTTGCTGGAAACAAAGCTAATGTTGACACTTGATTGTTTTCTTGCATTTTGAAACATGCACGGCTTCTGTAACTTAGTGAGTATAGATTTTAGTTAGAAATTCTGATGTATGATATTGCATTATGCTAGGATCCAACATGCAGTGATATGTAAAAAAATTTAGCGGTGTAAGTTGAAACTTGCTTCACTTGGTGTGGTTGAGTTGTAAATTAGGATGAGTAGGAGATTTGAAACTATTATTTCAATTTACGTCCCTACGTTTTTTGCCTAATTGAAATGTAATGGTTGTTGTGCCAACTTTTTGGTTCAGTAAATTAATTATTTAATTTTCTATTTGTTCTTGTGACTATTTTCTCAAGGTTACGCTTGTTAGAAGAACTTGATAAAATAATTTTATTGGTTAGTCTTCAAATTAATATCTATCTTGTCTTGTGTGCAAGTGCTGGAGAATGAGCAATGTTGTACGTTTTAATTACTTTTAGAGAGAAATGTAGTGGGAATATAATATATCATGTCCAGAAATTATGTTGTTAATACTTAATAAAGGAAAATCATTTAAGAAATCAAGCAAATCAAGTTTTAATCTTAAATCTAATATAAATTTCGGTAGGGGTGAGCACGGGTAGCGGGTAGAATCGAAACCTATGGGTAGAATCGGAACTAGAATTGGAACTGGAATCGGCATTGTGTGGGTGGGTAGGTTCCGGTTCTATTTTATTGGAAGTGCGGGTTTGGTTCTGGTTCTTATGTGTGGAGGAACCGAAACCAGAATCGAAACTTAGAAAAAGAACCTGAAACAAGTACCCTGTTTGGAAGCTATAGCGGGTATCCGGTTTAGAACCTGTTTGGAATCGATTTTTGGAACCTGTTTTGAAACTGATTTTGAAATCTGTTTTGGAACTTGCGTTGTAATGGAATATTTGTGAATAATGGGGGGTTTCATTATTCTACATATAAAAAAATTTAAGATAGAAAAAAGTTAAATTTTTAGAATAATCTAATTAAATAAATATACAATCATACTTATTAGTTATTACATATAAACTACATTATATTAAAAACTTTAATATATTATAATATATTAATATTAAAGTTTTGATTAATTAAGTGTATAATTGGAATTAAGATTCAATAAAAAGTGTTTTAATGTTATTAAAAGAATTATTTTTGAATAAAATAATATATTTGATTGAATAATAATATATTTAGTTATTTACTTTAATTATCAAGTTCTAAGTATATCTATAGTAAATTAGCAGTTAATTAATTGTATATGATAAATTGATAAATATTAATAAATTTAATTACTAGTTAAATATCATACTTAATCAATTATAACATTATATTATAATTAAATGATTACTTAATTAATTATATTTTTATAACATTACTTAATTGATTTATAGTATAATTAATATAGCATTACATTAATTGATTACTACTTAATTAATTAACTTATAACATTCAGTATACTACTTAATTAAATAATTAGAAATTTAATTAATTATAGTATTACATTATAAATTTATAGTATAATTACTTAATCAATTATAACATTTCATCATAAACATTAGTATAAAACTTAATTAAATGATTAAAAAATTAATTAATTATAATATTATATTAAAGATTTATAATATGATTATTTAATTTACTATAACATTACATTATATCACATAATTAATTATAACATTACATAATTAAATGATTACTTAATTGATTATGACATTATATTATAAATATTAGTGATAACTAATTTACTACATAAACATTGGCACAATACTTAATTAAATGATTAGAAATTTAATTAATTATAACATTATATTATAAATTTATAGTACGATTACTTAATTAATTATAACATTTTATTATAAACAAATTAATTATAATATTATATTAAAGATTTATAGTATGATTACTTAATTCATTATAACATTTCATTATAGTATGATTACATAATTAATTATAATATTACATAATTAGATGATTATTTAATTGAATGTGACATTATATTATAAATATTAATTATAACATTACATTATAAACAAATGATTACTTAATTAAATGATTAAAAATTTAATTAATTAAACATTACATTATAGTTAAATAATTACTTAATTAAATTATGACAATAGTACATTATATTATATTATAATCACTTAATTAATTATAGCATTACATAGTTAAATAATTATTTAATTAGTTATAAATTTATAATATTACATTATAAACATTAGTAATTTATTACATTATTACATTACTTACTTAAATGATTAAAAATTTAATTAATTATAACATTACATTATAGATTTATAATATAATTACTTAATCAATTACAACATTCTATTATAAATATTAGTATATTAATTAAATGATCATAAATTTAATTAATTATAATATTAAATTATAGATTTATAGTATGATTACTTAATTCATTATAACATTACATTATAATATGATCATATAATTAATTATAACATTACATAATAAAATAATTATTTAATTGATTATGACATTATATTATAAACATTAGTAATTTACACAATACTTAATTAAATGATTAGAATTTTAATTAATTATAACATTACATTATAAATTTATAGTATGATTACTTAATTAATTATAACATTCTATTATAAACATTAATACAATACTTAATTAAATAATTAGAAATTTAATTAATTATAATATTACATTATAGTTATATAGTATATTACTTAATTAATTATAACATTACAATTTACATTGTAGTATGATCACTTAATTAATTATAACATTACATAATTAAATGATTACTTAATTAATTATGACATTATATTATAAACATTAAACATTAGTAATTAATTAAATGATTAAAAATTTAATTGATTATAACATTACATTATTTTTAAATAATTACTTAATTAATTATAACATTCCATTATAGTATGATCACTTAATTATGTATAACATTACACAGTTAAATGATTACTTAATTAATTATAACATTACATTATAAACATTAGCACAATATTTAATTAAATAATTAGAAATTTAATTAATTATAACATTATATTATAAAATGTATAGTATGATTACTTAATTAATTATAACATTATATTATAATTATATAATTACTTAATTAATTACAACATTACTATATTACATTATAAACATTAATAATTTATAACAATAAATTTACTACATTAGTATTTAGTAGTGGGAGAATCAAAGATGTTGGTGACAGTTTCTAACTTTCTATATTGTTGTTTATTTGAATGATTTTGGTAAAGTTATTTGATGTGAATTGTGATAAATAATTGTTTGTGTTTTGGTTTTGATTGAGGAATTTTATGTGAATTACGATGAATTGATTGAATTCAAATGTTGCATAGAGATTAGAGGATTTATGAGTTATATTGAACACAAATGAATGAGTAATCAAAATTTTTGTTAGGGGTGTATTTATAAACTTTTAAGGTATTTTTGTCATTTTTTAAACTAATAGGGGGATAATTGATTTTTTATAGGATACCCGGGAAAGGAATCGGAACCTGCATTTTAGGTTCCGGTTTCTTTTTTTGGAAACCTGTACTATGCGATTTCGATTCTCCTGAAAAATACAGGGTACCTGGAACCGCTCACCTTTAAATTTCGGTGTAACATTGATGTGGTAATGCCATTCTGATTGAATATTATCTCAACTACAAAATTGTAATTGAGTTGAAATAAATAAATTAGCTACTTTAGGAACTCTTCTGTTAATCTGTTTAACAAACAAAATATCAAAATAAATAAATTTAAAAAAAAAAAATTAGGGCTACAACACTAGCTGTCAGGGCTCTGTAAATCCTAGAGCGTGTTCATTTTTCACTGGTTCGGTGCCAACAGAAAGATGAAAATGAGAGAGAGAGAGAGAGAGAGGATTTTAAATTGTAATTCTAGTTTGAAATAGCGTAGATTACGGACGTGCCTAGGTTCTATGAAAACAGCGGTAAGAGTGAGTGCCGCGTAAAAGGACGTGTTTACTTGTATTATAAATAAAACCTTCTCTATTTGCCTATCAAACTCTTCATTACCAGACCTCCTCTCATTTCTCAAGCTTCTGTCTCTCACTCATGGCATCTGTATTGTTCATATCTTTTTCTTTTATTTATTTTTTATGTCCAACAAATTGTATAACTATTATGCTCTCTTATATCGCTCTAATTTAATACAAAATTTCGATGATAGTTATTTATTTTTATTAGAAGTTGAACAGCTGCAAGTCTTTTATTTCCTTAATTGTTGGAAAGCATATAGTTTCGTCGTGTAAATTGGGATATTTTTACAGGATCTTCATCTAAATTATTGATTCTGTTATTTCAGCAAGATAGAGGGCGTGCATTGCCCAAGTTTGGAGAGTGGGATGTAAATAACCCAGCAACAGCCGAAGGATTTAGTGTAATATTCAACAGGGCTCGAGATGAGAAGAAGGCCAGCAGTGATGGTGGGAAAACTTCGACCCCCCCAAGAAATGACAGTGTGTACAAAACAAGTGATTACTCTCAGTATTCTCCAAAGGTATGTGTTAGAGATTGATTTAAATTTGATTTACTTGGAGTTTAATTTTCTGATTTTAGAGTTCTTTTTCACTATGGTTTTATGCAGAGAAAGTGGCTATGCTGTGGTTGAAGCCACTTTCATCTTTCAGAGACTTGATATTAGGTGGACCATTGCAATTTCTTGCTTTGTATTTTCTTTTCAAAAATTTCTTTGATTAGTATCAGTAAATGGAAATTTGACATAAATTTTTCGTGGGAGTTATTAACAAACTCAGGCGGTCATTGGTTTTATGAGTTCTTTTGTTGGGTCGTATAAGCTCAAACATCATTTCTCTTAATATACTATGCTGTTATCTTCATTTCATGTATGGCAATAAAATGAGGAAGCCTCAAATTCAGCTAAATGCTATATTTCAACTATAAAATTTCCGCCAACAGACTGTCGTTGACTATTGGTCTAAGAATCTGTTGTAGCAGAAAGCGGGAACTCTCAAAACTCTACAAGAATTAAAACATACAAAGTAAAAAACCCTTTTACGACGCGCTGAGGGAATTCTTAAATCAACATTTATGTGAGTTGATTGAGACATATTCAACAGAAAACAAGAGAAATAGAGACAATTTCTGTATCCTGACTCGCTTTGGCTTTGTAGTAACACAACATGATATAAATATACCTAGAGCCACCCTCTGAAAAGCATGTGGCAACTTAACTAAAAATGGTTAATCAGAATTTTCCATGTCAAAGAGAACTAAAATCCTCAAAGGTGTGAATCCTAAACACTAGAGAGCCCTTGAAGCAAAATTTTTTACACTGGCTGATAATTTAATTATCACTTCCATTTCCAGCCACTCCTGTCTCTTCCACCATTGCAGAATTGCCAAAGTGAGGAAGGGAATCGAGTCCAGATTCAGTCGGAGAAGCAGCCGGCTGTACTGGATGGTCAAATTTACAAGCAGGCCCAAACTTGCAAATGCCATAGCGGCTGTAATGCGAACAGATATTTTGATCCTGGTTTTCAGACAACAAATTATGAGTCAGAGTCATAAAAGAAAGCAGTTGCTGGAATGTGATCAAACTGATGATTAGATTCTCATAGCTGAAAGATTAGAAAAAAATAGCAGGAGTCTCAAAATGTTATAGGAAGCAAGCATATTGCAACACCTGTACGGCCAGTGTCATTTAGGGAGGTACTTTGCAGAGTTTTTTGCAAGATTAATTTTATATAGTCATCCTGTTTCTATTATCAGCTGTATGAATAAATTTCTAAATCTATTTGGTAGCTTCATCATCAACTGCTTTCTGGGATCATGTTACATTCAGAATATTTTCTTACAATGAGGTAGTTCCAAGCAATTTGCACTCTTTAGTTCCTAATGTAAAGTATGAGAGCACCTAGGTGGTCCTAAAGAAATTAAAAAAACAAATAGACAAATAGAGAAATAAAATTTCCATATCTTGAACGCATAGAGAATTGTTTTTTTAGCAGCCTGCCATTTCACATCACTCCATACATGAGAATAGTGTGACCTTTTGAATTTTTTTTACATATATATATCATCATAAGAAGCAAAGCTCAAAAGAAAGGGAAAAAAAAACTTACAGGTCTTAGTGGTAAACCCTTATCGCTGAGAGCACATGGCTGCGACTTTGAGATACGATTCTTTGGATGATGATATTTGCAGTTAGATTTAAACTTACAGTCCCCAGTTTTTAGGAAGAAACTGCAATCAGGTTGGCCAGGTCGTTCCGGGAATTCATCAACTAGCATATGTTGCTGTTGCTGTTGATGTGTATACACATTTGTTTCAATCACTGGGGGTTTCATGGCATATGGTGGGGTTGGATTTATACTCCTTTCTGGTGGATATAGAGGACCCTTGACAAGCCATAAACAGATAAAATCAATGGGAAAAAGTACTGAAAGGTACTTGACTGAACTTTAGAGACAACAGTAAGCAGAATTACTTCTAGTAATATAAACAATAGGATCAACATCAGGGTTATTATAAATAGGATTCAAAAATAAGCAGAAAGGAAATCTGCAAGGACTATGTATGATATCAGATGGTTTAGAAAATGGAAATGAAAATATTAAAAAAAGGATAAACACAGAATAAATGTTACAGCTAGATTTAAGTAATATAAACTGACAAGGAAAAGAGCAATGTTAGTACCTGATACCCATTCCATTCAGCCTTTTGTGATGCAGCCACTTGGCTTGGTGGATACATCAATTGCAGAAAGGGTGCAGTCTCATTTAAAGCCCTTGGAGATGACCAGGATCCTACACTTGTTTGTGATGCAGCTTGAGAAGAGACGGATCCACCATTACCATATCCTGAAGGAGAGTCAGAACCACCTACAGCTGTGGGATCAGGATGGTTAAATCTGCAATTAGATCCATACTTGCAGGAGCCATTACGCATGTAATAGGGGCACTCCTTCTCGCCCTGCAATGATTAAAATTTTAAAATTAGGATGACTTGATCTCAAGCAAGTTTGTGATTTTCACATATGATTAAAGGTAACTCATAAATAGCCAGGATGAGCAAAGATTTGTAAAATTCTTTACACAAACTAGCGACGTCATACCGGCCGAATAGGCAGACCCAGAAAATTGAGCTCTAAAATTGGGATGACCGGTGATTTTGCTCTTGTGTGACTGTATCTGCATGCCTTCCCAAACTTACAACCTCCTGTCTTCAGGTAATACTGCAGATACCTCAACAGAAAAATTATAACACCAAAAAATTGCTACCACACAGCAATTCCATAAAATCATCACCTTCCTACCTCCTCCAAAAGCACAAAAGTGTTCTATAGCAAATAATCACATGATCCTAGAATCACTCAAGAGACAATAAAAAGGGCAAATGATTTACATCAACACATAATTTCGATAGAACAACAATAAAACAATTTGGAAGGTGAAACAATGTGGGAGCTTTTATTTAGTATACAATTCAATTATTATTTCCTCAGCAAGAGAAATAAAAATATTTACATTTTTACCAAGTTTTGAAAAAGAAAAAATACAAGATATTGAACACCAAATATTTAAGATCGGCCACAGCAGCACTCTATGCATTCTATATTGACAGGCCCTTCCAGAGCCATGGCTCTCAAAGAGACGGGAGATAAATAGGATGTCCATGGACCACCTCTATTGGGCCATAACAATAATTCAATAATTTACGACAACCAATAGAAATGAAATGTATTTTCATGTAATACTGTTATTATATTTAACTGAAACTGAAACTGAAACTATAGTTTCATTTTCAGATGATTTCTTCCCGGATGAAACCCAAAGCTACCAGAAATTCTAGAACTGTATTACATGATAAAGACAGTCACCTAAAATCTGCTATAGCAATCAGAAAAGATTCATACAACACATTCGGATGCTTGAACTTGATCGTGTAAAACTAATTAAACCAAAGTAACCAACCCAACCCAAATCATTAATTAATTGAAATTTTCTTTCTTGAAAAAGCTAATGGTCTTATAAGAAGTTAAACCTTAGTTTCACAATTCAGTTTCTTAAAAGAAAAAAGTATATTAACCTTGCATTCTATCTGGCTCTGTCCTGGCTTCTCCATTAACTCTTCCCTTTCCTTCACCTTCTCTTTAGCACCCTTTAGAACAACAGAAATCACAGAGTGAGAATAACTACACATTCCTAATCAGACACTACCATAAATATAACAATTATCTTTTAACTACTCACTATATCACAATCATATTTCAGTTAATCAGCAAAACTGGTTAGCATAAAACGAATTAATTAAGTTCACTAAATTCTCCCACAAACATAGGTTGATGAAAGAACCATAAAGTAATCACCTGGTTTTTTGTACGAGCAGGATGATTAAACTTGCAATTAGATCCAAATTTGCAACTTCCATTCTTCATATAATACGGGCAATCTTCTGCATCTGGTCTAACTGGGTATGGGTACTTTTTTATCATTTGATTTCCATTCTCATTCTCGTTGTCGTTCTCATTCCCATTCTCAACTTCACTTATATTCTTATTATTATCATCACTGTCGCTCCCTTCTTCCTCCTCTTCTTCTTTATTTGAACTCTTCTCTTCGGCCTCTCCCAAATCCAGATTCTCCAGCTTCTGACACTCTTCCACGAGCTCTGGCGTGTGATCAAGATCAGAGGGTGAAGGATCGAGATCAGATTTAGTAGGAGAAGATGGTAACCCTAATTGAGGGTTTGTGTTATCATTACAAAGATTTGGTACAGGAATTGGTTCAGAGACCTCCATTATTTTTACAACATTTCAAACCCTAATTAGGGTAGAGTAGAAAGGGTGTGAAATCGAAGAAATGAACTGAAAAGTAAGTGGAGGGTTTCAGGATATGTATTTATTTGTACACACGTTCTAATAGTTAAATAAAAACAAATGTAGCCATAATTTTTATTTTATTTTATTTTATTTAGCCGGTACAGTTTTTGGTAAATTTATTACAAGTTGGGCAGTTGGAAGCACTTTTGGTCGCTGACAACTTACCTGTTCAACTCCTTACCAGTAACAACACGTGACTTATGACTTTAGTCTTAGACTAAAGAATTCTTTCTCGCCCAAATAATAGTTAAATGGCACTTTCTTACCCATTGTTTTTAAAATACTATATTATTGCCCAAATTTATGTTCCCTTTTTAATTCTCACATCATTGCAACTCCACATTACCATTATTCTCTTTTTCGATCATCCCTCACCAAAACCCCTCAAACCCTACTCCAGTCAATCACCAGCAATCAAACGATTAGAGTTTACATAACCGTCTCTCTCAAGTCAAATTCAGATCAATCCCAACAACTAAAATGCAAGCTTTCACCACCAAAAGACTCAACGATCCAACCTCTTCAAAAACCCTAATAGTTGGATTGAATTTGCTCTCTATTGTCGTAAAATATAAATTTAAATGATAAAATGGCATTTAAAAAATATGTAGATAAAAAAATTGTCATTAAGTGTGGGAAAAAATCGTTAACTCTTAGTCTTAGGTGTAACTTATTTCACAATCAACTCTTTTTCCTGTAAATTTATAATTCTAAAATAAAAAAAAAATAAATAAAGATTAATGGACAATATAAAATAATGTAATCTAATGGATGGAATACAGTAGCTGAATTTTTACGCTCCGATTTTATTCCTGCTTCAAAAAGATGTCTCAATCAAGGAAATTGGTCTACCTCACGGTCAGTAGCGACATGAAGACTTTGATAGAAGGCAGACAGGCAGTCAAAACGACAGAAACACCCATCATCTAAGACTAAAACATCACCTTGACACAAATGGTTAAGAAGGTAACAATGATTGCATGAGAATCTGTTTCAAGATCAAAGCAATTGATAATTAAATTGGCCCAATGAAGCACCAGGGCAACACAAATTTAATCGTTGCTCTGAATGACAATTCACAATTACAACGAAATCCTAACCCACTAACTTACGTTCATTAGCAATGGTTAACACCTTTTTTACACTATCCTCTGGTTTTCTTTGTGGAATGACCAGTCTTCCGCTTGTGACGACTGAAATCTGACACAAACCGGAATGTCTGCCCACAGCCAGCCTCACCGCACACATAAGGACGAGCACCTGTGTGAACCCTTATGTGTTCAGTACGTGCCCATGCCCACTTGAATGCCATCTTGCAACCCTTCCAAGGGCATTTAAGTGGCCGATCATCCAAATGAACTCGCCGGTGCTGTACTAAGTACTTGTGTGAGAAAAACTTCTTACCTCATCCCTTCACTGGACATATGTTTCTTTTGTGCAGGACCAGCTCTGGTTTTGACCCAAAAGTCATGTTGCAACCCTCCAAGTCACACTGGTATTCTGCTTCCTCCTCCTTAATTTTTGCATTGCTGAAACCACCGGAAGCCTTCCCAGCTGAAGCATTCTTCCCTTTCTTTTTGCTAGTTTGCTTTTTATCCTTTGATTTGGATTCTGACTGTTTCATAGGTTTTGGTATTCTTTTTCGAAGACGAGTGCTAGGTCCGCCTTCAGTCTCCTCTTCAACATATGAATCAAATTGTTTGGCATTCTGCACACTTTTATTATTGCGCTGCCTAGTAGTCCCTTGTTTCATTTGCCGAGGGGTCTCTAGCTTCGTCAAATTTCGTTTTCCAGGCTTCATAGTCCAAGGGGTCTCTTGTTTCATTTTCCGAAGCATTTCTGTTTTCACTTGCTTACTTCTAAGAATCCTCCCAGGTTGCCGATGAGAATTATCCACTACAGAATCATATAACATAGCATCTTCCCTCTCAATAAGCTTGGTCTTTTTGCCTCTAGGATTCCTCCTAAGCTGTTGACTATCATCCTCAGCTGAATCATACGAAGCAGTATCTTCCACCTCCATGCATTTGGCTTGCTTGTCTCTAGGAGTCCTCCTGTTCTGCTTATGAAATTTATGCTCCAGAGAATCTTCTGAAACTGCATCTTCTCTCTCAATCCACTTGGCTTGCTTACTTTTTGGAATTCTCCCATACAGACGATGAGAATTATCCTCCATTGAATCATCTGAAACTGCATCTTCTCTCTCAATCCATTTGGCTAACTTGCTATTCAGAATCCTCCTATGCAACTGACGAGAATTATCCTCCAGTGAATCATCTGAAACTGCATCTTCTCTCTCCATACATTCGGTTTGCTTGCTTTTTGGGATCCTTTTACGCTGCAACTGAGATTTATCCTCCAGTGAATCATCTGAAACTGCATCTTCTCTCCCAATATATTTTGCCTGCTTGCTCTTCGAAATCCTTCTATGCTGCAACTTATGAGAACCATCCTCCACTGAACCATCTGAAACTGCTTCTTCTCTCCCAATACGTTTGGCTTGCTTGGTTCTAGGATTTCTTTTATGTTGCTTACGAGCAATATCTTCAAGGTAGTCATCTGAAACCACATCCTCTCTCTCAATATATTTGGCTTGCTTGCTCCTTGGAATCCTCCTATACTGCTTAAGAGAAGTCTCCTCAGGTAAATCATCTCTAGCAATAAATTTGGCTTGCTTGCTCTTAGGAAGCCTCCTATACTGCTTAAGAGAGTTCTTCAGTAAATCATTCAAGACTTCAACTTCTCTGTCAATACGTTTGGCTTGCTTTCTTCTAGGAAAAGTCTGTTTCTGTTGATGAGTATTATCCTCCGGTGAATCATATGAGCTTCCATCTTCTCCTTCCATAATACTGGTTTGCTTTCTTCTGAGAACCCTTCTCTGCTGTAAATGAGAGTCATCATCCTGTGAATCATCTGAACCTGCATCTTCCGTATCAATACATTTTACCTTCTTCATTGACCTGCTCTGTGCTAGAATTTTCCTCTTCTTACTTAGCTTTCTTGTCACCGATGTAAATTCAGTTGGGCAAGTACTTTCAGATTTTCTCTCAAAATTCTCATCCACCGTTGCCCAACCGCGGAAGCTTCTTTCCTTCTCTTGTTCTTGATCCTCAGACTCCTGTTGTGTTAGAAAGGGGTGAACCTGATTTGACATCCAAACTTTTCCACACCATTTCCCTGCCACAAACTTTCTCTGCCTGCCAGATCGTCTCCCATAACTGCATGTTGTGGGCGAGCTAGCTGGAGAATTACGGCCAAATGCATTATATATAACAGAATTGTATGGCATCTGTTTAGTGTAAAGAGGAGAGCGACTGAGGTTGGCACTATAAAAGAGATTAATTCCCAGCTTTACAGCCCAGTCCCCATTCCCAGGCAATGCATCCTCACTATCCAGAGCCAAATGGATCCTCTCCTCATCCTCTTTGGTGGCATTCCTGAATGAGATATCATTCCAGAGAAAATTAATTCCCAATTCTTCAGCCACTAACTTTGCTTTAGCCACTATCTTGGGATACTCTGCAAGTGTTTTTACAGATAAATCATGAATTATTAAAGGAAATAGAATCCAAAACTGCTCTTTTAAGAACTACTGACTACTTAAGTGGAACATAAAACATGCACAGGGGGTTATCTTGGTAGGAAAAAATAAATACCCTCTTCAGTAATAAAGAGAAGTAATATATTCATTGTAATCAAATATTAATCATGGCCTATCCTGCATATGGTAGAAAATTCAAGGAACACACATTTCAAGTGGGAGTGGCTGCTACATGAGACCAGTAATTCCATACCACAGAGTGATACTACAAAATAAAATGTAACGAATCCTGTTAATTCACAGCATATTGCAACTTTCTTCCTAAGCATCATCTCTACTTCTGTGTGATGGATCATTCTTGCTTCCATGTGCTCACAAATTCCAGATCACACAGGGTTAACTACGAAACTAAACTGTCAACTAATCAATAAGAGTGTTAGAATCTTAATCTTAAAGTGGTCCTATCATTCCACAAACTAGTGCAGACCCAGCCCTTTAATAAGACAACATTAGTGAAACGAACACAAAATTTGCCTTATCACTATGGAATCACTAATATAATTTGAAACTTTACATACTAAATATTCATAAATAACTGCTCTTCATTCTATCACCATTAAATGATTTTTTAAAATAAGAGTGGGAAGGGGGGCAAGGTTCATAATAAGCTACACCACAACACACCTGGATGACAAAGAAGCATTATATGCACCCCTCCAATTGAACGAAGTTGCTGCTCTACTTCCACAGCATGCTCAAGACAGAAGACATGCATTCGAGAAGAATCTTCATCAGATCTTGGCGTAAAAGGCATATCTGTGTTCTTCACTGGTACAATGGCCTTGCTAAATTCCATATTATCAGCACCATGGAAATCTGGAGAGAAATTTGAAGCATGTGACACTGTCATTGTACCTCCAAATAGGCCATTCAAATCATTTGATTTGGAGAAATCGGGATTATCAGTTTCAAATTCTACAGAGCAGACAGAACCTTGAGGACTTCTATCTTTGAAATTGTCTCTTCTAAATCCAGGTACCCCGAAGCAGTCAATAGCCTGGAGAGGAGCTTCATCCTGACCATCAACTCTTGTTAACGAGAGACTGTGACACCCAGTTGCATCACCATGAAAATCTTGCTCATATTTTTGTTCCGGTGATCACTTTGTCATGCTAGTTTCATCAATATCAACAGAAACATCTGGTTTGACCTGATCTTCCTCAGAATCAGATGAATTTCCATAAGTCATAGCTAACAGGCCAAGGGCAGAAGTTTCTCTCTTTATTTCTGTATCAGAAACCATTCCATTACTTTGATCTACCATTTGAATTTGGTGAAAAGATCGAACAGGAACATCATATAAGCTATGTGCAGTACTCTTTCCCGTCCATCCTGAATATTTCAACAAAGAAAACAAAATGTCCAAAACTAAGACTTGCAGCAAGGGAAAGTGGAATCATTTATAGAAAAAGAGCCTTCACAAGAGAAAAGAACAGAATGATATCTAGGTCAACTGTAGAATTAAGCGGCTTCCATGACTGAGTCACACCCATGTATATATCTATATAACTTATTGCAATGCAGTAAGCAATCTGTTTCAAAAGAAGACAAAACCCTTGATCATACCCATGTATAAAAAGTTAAATGGTTCTATTTTTATTTTTCTTATAGGAAAACAAGCAATATGTTCAAAGAAATTTCTAAAGCCCAGACCAAAAATCACTGATACAACTAATAATTATAATTATGTGTATGTGTATTGATCAACATGATAAGTCTTTTATGTGAGGATAAGTGTGTGCCTGCAGGTGTGCATGTTGGAAAGAGGCATTCCAGGACAATCTTCGATGTAAATAACAATTTAAGCCACCAACTAATGTAGAGGACCGGTAACCACTCCCAGGTTTTCTCATACCAAAAACCTTTCATGTATAACAGGAAAGAAATTTTACATAGGACAAGTCTTCTTTTCCTTAATGCTTTCTTAAGTTACATATCTATCATATGTCAACCACTATGTAAGATCGTAAGAGAGGAAACAAAAAAAGAAGAATTGCAACAGATAACCTACTTGGACGAGAATTCAGCTCAGAAGTAATTGCATCCACACCAGCTACATTGCACCCATCACTAGTTACTCCAGAACCAACAATCCAATCATTAAAGAAGCTACAATCAGATGACATGAGATATCTAGCAGTCGGTTCTCGAGGTTGAATGACAGCAACACAAGAAAAGCTCAAAATTCCACATGTGGCACAAGAAAACAGTCTCTGATCTGACAACCGATCACCTTGAATAGTTTCTTCTCCTTCATTCTTTGTGGACAGCATGTGAGAAGTCCAAGTGCATATATTATCAGCTCCATTTAATAAGGAGTTTCTTTCGCACAAAGCAGTGAATTTTCCTTTCACGGAATAGAAACCTTTCCCAGGCTTGATTCCATTATTTTTGCCTAGCATGAAATCACTAGAAACTAAATCTCTAGAGGTTTTAACTGCTTCTTTGTAACTGCATAGACCAAGAGCCATCCTGGGATTTACTCCTAAAATATCTGAAGAACTTTCAGGTAGAAGAACTATAGAAGATCCTTTCCCGAGAATATGAAGAAGTTCACTATTGTGTGCTACATCCTGCACAAATAGTTCTTTAACCAATGTTTCTCCTTCATCCTTTTTCTTATCTTTTAGTCGAGAACTCCGCGGTTTAGCACTAATGGCTATAGGAACTCTGCATTTAAGAAAATAAGACAATTGAGAAGGACTGTGATTAGTTGCAAACTCTATATTCATATGTGCAGTACTTCCAACATTTGAACAAACAATTTTAGCAGAATTTTTAACTCGTTAAAGAACTACTGCTCTGCAAATTTCTATCCTTTATAGGGCGTAAAGAATACCTTTTTGTCATTGATACAAAGAAAAGCATATACCAAAGGCAGGCTAATAACAAGAAGGAAACAAAGGAATCAAATTTCATAAGCAAGTTCAATAAATTGTAACAATCTCCTCCAGCAAGTATAGCAAAGCATATCAAATCCACCAACTCTAGGTCTGAATTAGACCAGTCTGAGACCGGCAAAATGCACACTAAAAGGCAATGGCAAAGGTGGTAGAAAAATACAGCCAGCAAAGTAGTCAGGAGAAAAGTTAGAAATTAATACAGAACATACCTTGAATGCAATGCTATAGCAAGATCATAGAGTAACTGAAAATGAGAAACCATAGGTGGATAATTGATTGAAGCTCTTCGAATAGCAGCAGCTTTAGCAATGTTTAACCATTCAGGAGTTGCAATATTGGCTGCCTCCCCACAATTAAATCCTTAAGCCAGAAATTCAAAGAAATGAAATAAGATTCTTCATTTAATAAAAAAAAAAATTACTTTAACCTAAAAGTAACTTCTGGAAATTTTCAAATGCGCCTTACCATGACTAAACCCCATATGATAGGCCCTTGGAAAAGTGACAACAAACTCTCCAGCATTTTGCACTAACCTGATTTGAAGAAACTGATGCAGTAAGAACTAAATAGATGCATTCATGCCTCAAATCAAGACATTAAGGGCTTGCTATAAGAAACTTTGTGTAATATAATTGTAATGGGTTGAAAGATCATTCCCAAGTTGTAATTTGAGATCTTCTACTATTCAACAGAAGAAAAGAGATCACAGATGAATTCAAGGGAAATCAGAAAGAAATTTTTCTCTTTAGACTGAAACTTTTGCTTGATTATTTCTCTTACAAACTATCATTTCAACTTATACCAATAATTTGATTGAAATTATTCTTAAATAAATATGATCGAACTGACTTTTAAGCTAATAAGCATCAAAGACTCTGCAGGTAACTATTTATGCTACAAATGCAACTCAAGGAAAACAGCTAAATGCCAAAAGATAGCAATGAGAAGCAAAAAGCAGGGAGAAAGAAGTACCTGCAGCATGGAACCCCTGCACTAACAAATACTTCAGGAGACATCATCGTTGTTTTTTCACCAAGAGTAGCAAAAGTAACTGATCAAACAAAATAAAAAATATAAGTAAGTTGATCAGCACATCTAAAAAAAAAACATAAAGTTTTAGTATCATGCCCTAATTGTTAGTAAGTTGCTTCTCTGTTGAACTAAAGTAACACATTTATAGTTATAAACATGAACAGAGCCCTCCAAGCCTTTAAAATCTACCCCCATCAGCAATGCAAGGTATTCTCAAGAAACAGAGCACACTCTGACAATATTTAACAATGCTCTAAACCTAGAATATGAAATTTAAGCATTTAGAAAATAAAAATTTAACTGAAAGCAGTAACAAACTCACCAAGAGGATTGATTTCTCCTCCATAACCCTGAACTCTAACCACCTCCTCAAACGCATTGGCAGCGTCCATGGGCACACCATACCAAGTCTTACTAGCACCCATATGCAAGTAATTCAAGCTATGCAAGTCATGATCCTCCGCGTGCCAAGCGAACCAACTAAACATCATGGCGATATAAACCATAGGTGAAGTAACTCCCGGAATTTCCTCCTTCATAAACCTCAACAATGACCCTTTTGCCCTAGAAACTCCCCTCATATTCCACGCCGTCTCACCAACCGTCACACCTTCCCCAACCGCCTCCCGGTTCTTCCGAACCGGCATGAAAGCCGAACCCGGCATGTCGTTAGCATATTCCACAGAAAACGGTTTGTCCACTGTGGCTTTCCAGTACAAGCTTTCGATTTCCAGAGCAGAAAGTGGAGTCTTCTTGCTGCTGCATTTCTTCAAGTAAGTTTTTTCAAAATTCTTAGCTTTGGTTTCAAATTGTTGGAAAGTATAATACTCGCCACTCTGCCAAACCGGTTTCTGAACCGGGCGTGGTTTTCGCGGGCAAAACCCGATCTGTTGCTGGCGGGTAGTAAATGTGGGACCGGAGGTCGAACTAGAAGTTGAACTAGAACCAGTAGCTGCAGCACGCTCGGCTAAGGACCGATTAAGGTTAGAAATAGCGGTTTTTTTGGGAGCAGGCGGCACCGGTGGTACGATTTTGCAGATGCCATATTGAGAAGCTTCTCTCTCGATCTTGAAAATGTATGCAATTGGATCTTGAAACTCGGCCAAAGTAGGGTGAAATTCAGGGGCTAAAGGTAGGGTTTTGAGCCACGGAAGTACATCGTGTTGCTGAGTTGGCTCAACCATTTTTTGGGGGATTAGTTGTTGGTTTGGGGATGAATAATCATGGGAAAGTCTCCTCCATTGTGGAGACTAAAAGAGAGATTCTTAGCTACTGCTTCATCTTAAGAAATGAATAAAAAGATGAGTTTTTTTATTTATATCTATATATATGATGGAATATTATATAAGGTCTCTCCTCTGTTTTGTTTTTTGGGTTGTTATTACAGAGGAGATGAAATGGTGAAAATGAATGGGCGAGTGTGAGTGTAGTAGAGTAGACATGTGAGTGGGGTTTTAATCTGGGTTTGGACACGCTTATATAAATGACAGTTTTTTTTTACTTATTTACGGTTCTGCCATTTTCTTTTTATTTTATTTTATTTTATTAAACAGCTGGAAATTTTATTTTATTTTTTTTCGCGCTTTCTATTTCTGGATAATGAGCATTTAATTTTGGGTGTGTTTTACGGAGATGAATTATTATTTTTGCAGTTCTACCCTTGAAATCTGGTTAAATTACAAAGTAATTTTTTACTATGTTAAAAAGTGGTGGTCAAATGAAGTCAATGGAGAAACCGGCGGATTGATTTTGATCTGACCCAACGACAGATAGAGATGTCTGTGTCTGTATAGTGTATACTTTATAGAACACGTGTCAAATGCGTAATTGGATGACTTCTCATAAAAGTGGGCCAGAGTTTAAATCCAAATTATAATTATTAATAGAAAAAAGAAGTAGTGTGCACATAGTACCACCATTAATTCCTGTTCCTTCCTATAGAATCAATATCATCACAATCTGCAGTTGCTCAGGCAGAAAGAAGTTACAAGACATGTTTTATATTAATTTTTTTAAGATCAATTAAAAAAATGATAAAAAGAAAGCATAACTTAGAGCATGTAAATCAGTGCGGGGATTAAGGGTAAGGCCCCATGAAAAAAGTATAGAGTAAAGAGATCAATTGGATTTTATTTCTTCTTTTGGGTGGTAATCAATTAATGTAATTTTGAGGGTGGGTTGATGGGCTTGATCTTGAAATTCAAGTGTAGGCAACAAACAACAATTTGAAGTCAAAATGGCGGAGGTTGACATGACCATTCATACAGATACAGATCCAGAGACAGAGACAGTCTCACAGCTGAGTTTGTTTATGTTTTTCCAATTTTATTACAAGCTTAATATTTGCTGCAATTGCCGGCCTGCCCTGCCCATGCTAAGCCTCGTGGAACCAACCTACTCTAGTGGTACGTACCCATTCTTAACCCTATTACTTATCTCTAGGTCGCCTACATAACTCGGGAGAACGATTTTTACCCATCCGGCGAAACTATACTTGTTCGCCTATCAAGCTTTAAAATATTATTTAATCATCATTCTATTAATATTTAATTAAAAAGATAAAAATATCTTTAAATAGTTTATTATAAATTAAAATTTAATTAAATTAAAATCTTTATTTAATTATTTATTATTTCAAACATAAATATATCTTTTTCTTTATTTATTTAATTAATTAAGAATATTAATTTTTCATGTTAATTAGTAAAATAAAAAACATTATATTATGAAAAAACATTATAAATTTAATAAATTATTGAATAATAAAGATGTGATATTGATGACATTATAAATAAATTATTATTAAAGTTATTTAACTTTAAATAATTTCATAACATTACTCCTAACTTTTTAGGTGGGATTAATTATTTTTTTTTGACTTTTTAGCTAATAAAAAAAATTATAAAGTCAAATATTTAAAGATATTTTTGTCTTTTTAGTAAAATATTAACGAAAAATATAACAGAATTTAACAAATGGTAGGAAAATGTCAATTTAAAACTTGAAGGATGAGAAAATGTCATTTCTCCAAACTTTGGGTGGGAAAATTCGTTCTCCCTTCCTTAAAATATAATTTTTGGGTTTTAAAAATAAGAAATAAAAAAAAACTCAAAAAATAATATTTAAATCGTGTTTTAGTTATTGGAAACCATTTTCATCCAATTTGTCTTAGCATAACATAATACGTTGGTAATTTGGAAAATGGTTAAATTTGATGTAATACTGAATTATTAGATATTTCTTTATTTGTTTTATGAGTAATAAAACAATAATTTTATAAAAGGAATAAAGATATGAACAAAATAGAGCATAGATTCATTAGGCTCCACTGCAGCTGCAGTTGGTAAATCATTAATATGTATTATTAACAATATGCCGTTTCTTTAAACAAGGTCAAGTGGCAGTTCAAAAGTACAAACAACAACAATCCAAGATTTCTTTTTTAATTCCAAGAACAAAAAAATAAATAAAGTTCCAATCATTAATCATCCACATGCACTACATGCAACATTTGACAGCCAACCAAATACATAATTAATAATAATAATAATAATAATAAGGATAATATATATTATGTACAACTCACATTTGCATAATACAGTATACATAAACAGCCACGTAGTTTTTTTTTAATATATGGCCTCTCCTAAACCCTAAACCGTTGCATTTACATGAACGAATCAAGAAGCCTTTTTTAACCCATCAATGGAATTGTATGCGTTATGTCTGGGAACATAGGGTTGACGTGGCACTCAGTTAAGTGCGTAAGGTCAGACTTCAGAAAGAGTCTACTGCCATTCTGACACAGCTACTTCATGTGATCATGGTGGCACCCACAGCTTGCTTCTGTCAGAGTAATGGGTACACGTCAGGCCAGTAAGGAGTTGTGATGATCCCGCGTACCCAACCCCTGCAGCAAATCACGTGAATTACTCTAAACGAAGGATTTGCACGGATCATCCCACCAACTTACAGATTCAGTGATCATTACCTCAAGGCATCTCACTATAAAATGGGAGCTCCTCCCTCATTAAGGGGATTTGCACATTTTACTCTTGACAAAGCTCTCTCTCTCTCTAGAATAGACAGTCTTTGATACCTTATATCATCAGTGTAAAGTTAGTCGTCTAAAGCGACCTGACCTTTATCATTAATAAAAACATCAGTGGATGTAGGATTTGCTTCCTTAGCATCCGAACCACTTTAAAACTCCTTCCTCACTGCATTTACTTTCATTTTTCCAAACCATTCACGTGTGTCTTTTGGGGTCAACTCAACATTTTAAACGTGCGTTTTGTTGGTGTCAAAATCACGCATCAACAGTATGTATTGGTATATAGTTTTCAGGGTTCATCGATTTATTTTGCTTTGAATTTTGTTGATTGGAGTCGATGTTCTTGCGTTCTGAAATTTATGCATGCCAAATGGGCGGTTCGTGCACAATTTCAACAACTAATGTGCATCATTTTCAATTAATTAATGATATTTAGTGGTTTCTTTTGGACGGTTAAGTGCAATATTAATGTTGAGTTTTAGCTTATATGTAATGGGGCAATATTGTCTGTGTCAAGAAGAATGTTTAGGAGAGGTAGCTTGGCCATCAAGAAAGTTTATCTTCTTTATTGACTTCTTATATTCAAACTACCTTGGGACCACATATTACAATTATGGCTAATCTTGAAACTTTTTAGGTTCAAATTACCTTGGGACCACGTATTACAATTATGGTTAATCTTGAAACATTAAACTTGTAGAGTATTCAATAGACCCTAAAGATTAATTGAAGTGTTCGTAAACTGGCTCAAACATCCCGGTTATTTGAAAAAAAAAAAAAAACACTATTTTTATAATATAATTCGAGAGGAAATCATTAACTACCCCTAAAATTTTAAAAATTGTGAGGCGGATGATAAGTTTAATGTTTTTAATTAATCTTCCCCTAAAGTTTAAGAAATCACCTTACTTATATATTTCGTTAACTAAATGATTTGAAATTTTTATCCTCTTTTTTGCCATTTAATAAAGAAAAAAATTGTACCTTAACTAATAATATTCCAAAAACTCATTTTATATATATTAGTCTAATAAAACAAACCAAAAACTTTTTTCTTTCTTTTTTTTGATAATCAAAGTATCCGGGTCAGCTTGTGCGTATCTCAATTAATCTCCAGAGTCTATTGAACACCCTACAAATTCAATGTTTCAGGTAAGCTACAAATGGGATAGGTGACCCCAAGGTAATTGGCATGGCCCATCCTCAAATTTAAAAAAAATAAATATTAATATGTACAATTTCTGGATTTTAGCCCACCTTAACAAAAATATTAATAGAAAAAAATATTAATGTACAATTAGTTTTTATTTTGGTGCACCCTAACAGAAATTTCTGGATCCGCCCCTGGAAATTGGATATTATTTAGGGTGTGTTTGGTTGGGGGTAATGGGGGATTATTGAGGTAATGTCATATTATATTACTTAATTATCACGTTTGGTTGTCAAGTAATATAAGATTTCGATAATCTTTCAAACTAATAGTGATTACTGTTGGTAATATAGGAGGTAATTACCTCTATTTTCTTAAGTATTTTAAGATTACTTGGTAAATAATCTTAATTTTGTTATAATTTTACCCCTTAGGGTGCATTTGGATCAGGGCATATAAAATAACAAGAGTAATCTTCGTTTATTTTGTAAGATTCTGATGTTTGGTGTGCAAGTAGTGTTTACTGTTGGCAATGTAGTAGGTAATCCGATACCCTCTCCCACCCCAACTGGGATTAAAAGATTACCTAGTAATTTGATTTTTATGCTTATTTTGCCCTTAATTAAATACCATTTTGGACTCAATTGCCCTCAAATGTCTACCAAATAACAATCATCCAGCCCCCCTACATTTAGCTAAAACACTCTAACCATAAAAAAGTTAATAAAATACCCACAGCCACCCAAGACCACTGTCGACCATTACTCACTATAGCTGCCTGTTGGTGTCAATCGCTGTAATGGTAAATGACTGGTGGGATTTGGCTAGTTGTGCACTAGTAAGGCCTTTTCCAGCTAGATTTGGCAGTGAAATGGTCATAGATCTTGCTGTAAAACAAATCCATAGCCATAAATGGCTTTGTTAGCGCACAGTTGGCCATATATGGCCAGTCGTGCGCCATTCCATCGACTGTCAGTGGCGGCCGACAATGGTGGCAGGCTACCAGCAATGGCTTGGGGTGGGTGAGGGTGATTTTGCTACAAATTAAAGTTTTATATGGTTGGGGTGTTTTAGCGAAATTTCAAATGTAGAGAGTTAAAAGGAATGATTAAAAAAATAATAATAAATTAATATTTAAAAATGAGGACAATTTAGTAATCTATCTAACTTACGCTCCCATTTATCTTCCTAACCAAACATATTATTCACTAATTTATTCGAATCAACCAAACACATTTTCTAAACATTTCCAGTAATCTTCAAGGTGATCTATCTTTTGGTTAATATAACATCCTCCTTTAATAAAACATTATATGATTCAAACGCCCCCTTAGTAATAAAATTTTTGGACAAAAATACCCTTATTTTGAAATTAATTCACAAATATATTCATGGACTATTTTATTCTTATATAAATTTTTTAGGACATAAATACCCCTGTACTTTAAAAAAATTACCCAAGGATGGTGGCAAGATCTAGCCACCACCACCAACAACTAGCGGTGGCGGTGGGTGGGGGTGACTTTGTTACAAATTAAAATTTTATATAAGCTGGGATGTTTTAACAAAATTTCAAATGTAGGAGGTTAAATAAAATCATTCAAAAAATAATATTAAATTAGTATACTAATAGGAGGGCAATTTAACAATCTTTATAATATATCTACCAACTTATCTTCCAACCACACAGATTAATAAAACATGCCTACTAATTTATTCAAACCCAACCAAAAACATTTTCCTAAACAATAGCAAGAGAAAGAGATGAGACTATGCCAATGCATGCATGTAGCATTTTGCCAGAATGCATGCATGTAGCATGTTGCTAGAGACGAATTCTTCTCTTATCTTCAACTAACTATATCTATACAATTTCATGAATATATAAAGATGATGAACGATGAGATGACCATGTAAGAAGAAAGAGAGTAAAATAGTTAAATAATTGGTGGAGCAGTAAATAGAAAATGCAGATGCAGATGCTTGAGACGCATGCAGTTGGGAGCTAAAGGTACTAACGTGTTTAATATTTGTGATTTACAAAGAGCTTCAAAGTTAAACAGGATGTATTTCGTAGATATTACTCCCAACGTGCATAGATCACCCCATTGGAATCTCACAGGTGCCAGATTATTTGGATCGCGATTCCAGAAGGTCAACCGTTTCTATGTTTTTAACAAATCCAGAAGATCCCCTTATTTTTTCAATAATTTAATGAAATACTTGGTAGGTTCTTTGTTTAACACGTTCACAAACACAAACACAAACACAAAAACGAAATACTAATTTTTCACCCACGACATTGGCTCCAATATATTTTTATCTTGAAATTATTTCCACCATTTTCGCCGCTTTATGCAGGTGTACAAGAGTGCTTCCAAAGAATCCAGCGACGCATTAACTAGTGGTAGGTTTTTTAATGATCATGTGTTGTGATTGCTGATAATTAATTTGAGTTTTACTAAGACGGTTTAGATTTTTCAGAATTTCTTCATCCTATATATTGACTGCACATTCATGGCTTGTATAATATCAACCAAAATCTGTTTACCCATTGTTGTTCTTATCTGCTAATAGCTTTGCAATTTGAGACAACAATATGGAAATCCAAATCATTTCTACACAAACAATCAAACCATCTTCTCCAACCCCTGACCATTTAAGAAACTATAAGCTTTCTGTTCTAGATCAGTTATGTCCTGAAGTTCACTTCCCCATCATTCTCTTTTACTCTTCACCAGGCAAAGATGCCACCAAAACTTCTCACCACCTCAAGATCTCCCTCGCGGAAATACTCACCCTCTACTACCCTTTAGCAGGACGCGTGAAAGATGATTATACTGTTAACTGTAACGATAAAGGCGCCCTCTTCATTGAAGCCAAAGTCAGCAGCCAGATGTCTGACATCCTTAAACAACCGGAAAAGGATGTGATCACGCAGCTGCTACCATACAAAGCTCATCAAAAGATAGTTGGTGATCCCGTCAATCTGAGTGTGCAGGTCAATTACTTTGCCTGCGGCGGCGTTGCAATTGCAGTTGGGTTTAACCATAGGATTGCTGATGCAACAGCCGCGGCAAACTTCGTTAAAAACTGGGCTAAGCTTGCTAATCCCAATATCAATGAGGAAATCAAGAATGTGATATTTGATAGCACTTCTTTCTTCCCTCCGCAAGATTTAGTAGAATTAAGGAAGAGTAGTCTTTTCCAAGGTCAATATGCATCGACGGACGCAAACGTTATATCAAAGAGGTTTACATTTGAAGCTACTAAGATAGCCGCTCTAAAAGAAGAGATTGGTAAAATCGCAGACTCAGTGGATCGTCCAACACGTTTTGAGGCAGTGTCCGCAGTTATGTTGAATGCTATAACCGCAATGGCTAAAGATCCAACACATTTTGTGGGATTGATTCCAGTGAATCTGAGAAACAGAATGAAGCCAGAAATTCCGGGGGATTGTATAGGGTGCGTGAGTCAAATGACAATGACAAGTTGGTCGAACATGGAGACCGGAGTTGGTAGTAATAGTATAGCGGGAGATCTTCACGAAGCTATAAATATGATGGATGATAATTTTGTTAGAGAGTTTCATGCATCTGGAGGGTACTTGAATTTCGTGAGAAGTTTACCAGTAGTTGAAATGGTAAACAATAATATTAAAATGAAGTCGTTTGTGATAACTTCATGGTGCAGACTTCCATGGTATGAAACAGATTTTGGTTTGGGAAAGCCATTGTGGATGTGGGTAACCTCTGCGGCGAGGAATGAAAATATTGCCATTCTCATTGACAACATCGATGGTAATGGAATAGATGCATGGGTTGGTCTGTCAAAGGAAGAAATGATCAAATTTGAACAAGATCCTGGCATCAAGACTTACGCTTCTTTCGATACAACCATATGACTTGGTCTTTCACTGTCACATTTCAATTTTCAACTAAATAAGTGAGTTATTGTCTTTGAAAATATTTATGTTTGTACTTTATGTCTGTGAGAATTTGGGTATGAATTTAATGGACAACAATAAGGGCTGATAGATCCCAACTATTATCCCAATCTTATTGTACCTTGCCTATGCTAGTATGATTTTGTCATATAAATGAAATTTCAACTGGTAATAAAATCTATAAGCACAACTCTTCTCTTGTTTGAGTAGAAACCTCCATGTTAAATCCAGGGGTCTATCCATCTTCAATTAATGATATGATATAGCTAAATCTTTGACTTAATGAGCACTTTACCTTGATCGATTAAACTCGCATTTTGCATAAGGTTTTCTTTATAAAAGATATATTCTGCAGAATAGCACAAAACAATGAGGTTGAGTAGAGACTAGAGAGTATTTCTAGTTTTGTTTCTCCGGCTAGTTAGATTGTAATATCCTACCCAATACGGACTTCCAATAAATACAACCAGAAAATAGAGTTGTTGAAAGATGATAATGAGCTCATTTCAGATTATAAAAATATACATTAACTTTCAGGCTGGATTGGCTTGTGAAAGCTCAAGGGAAACTGGGCAATGGTCACTCCCATAAAAACCTGCAAACAATTTGTAATCTTAGTATTTAGAAAGGCATCAAGAATCAAAAAAGAGAGTCACAAGATGGACATTGGCACAATATGAATTAGAAGTTTTCTGTTAAAGAATAAATCCGTCATTATAATTGCATTCTTGGCAAAACATGAATGCATTTGACAAACAGGATTCAATTAAAATTTGCAAAGTAAATGAAGTGAAAGATCAAGGAAATAGGAGCAAATGCAGTCTCATCCCAGTGACAAACTCGCATTATATTGAGCAGTCATAAAATCTATGCACAATAAATGAATCCATCACAAACTAATCAAAATATCATCTTGCACCTATGAAGCCTACCCATAACCCAATAACAGGGTCGAAACAACCATGGTTCAAATAAGTAACAAAAATTGACAGAAAATTTTCATCTTTTGTGTGCCATAACCATAAGGAAGCAATTCATGCAATCCTGCAGAGCAATGGTGTCCAAGATCAGGCTCTTCAGATTTATATTCCTGTTTTCAACTAATTAAGTGGGTAATGAGATGATTATTCTTTCTTTTTTGGATAAGAATTGGAGAGATGATGTTTCTAACTTATTTCATATTTTTAAAACTAAATTCAAGGATTTGTATGCATAAACAATTATTAGAAAGGAGATTATTTGCACCTTCTAACTCAATTCCTTGCCCGTGCATTTCACATGCAACAATTCGATTTTTGAGTTCTTCTGAAACTATGAAATAGTCTATTCTCATTCTTTTACCTCGATACCTGAAAGAAAACCATCTATCAGTATAACTCCAGCCTTAGATTGGTAAATTGTCACTCCCTACTAGAAATAAGAGATTATCCTACAACAGGTCACTAATCCAAATCCAAGAGTGTCATTTGGGCACCAAATTACTTACTTTCCAATTGGATGTCCAGACCATGAGAAGCCACAATCCATATCCTTTTCCTTGTGTAGGAATCTGTACGCATCTATTAGCCTACCCCTAAAGCATGATCCACCAAACTCTTCAATTTAAGAATGTTTTTCAAAGGTGGAAATATGAAAATTGAAGGATTTATAACTCTAAGAAATTACATGGAGCCATGACCATGGTACACATTTTTTCATGAGATAAATTCACATACTCTTTCAGTACAGCACCAAAACGCTTCCTCTCGGAAAGAGTAAATCCAGGCTGCCCACGATCCTGTATTATGAAGAAATCAAGTAAAACAAACTGTTACAATATATGGGCAAGAACAACAAACTATGATTAGAAGTCTCTGGAAATCCAGTGCCCAGTTGTTATCATTAAATATACAATGTGTCAATTCTTTATCTTGATTGGGAATTACGCAAGACCATGAAAAAGGTGATAACAAAAATAGCAAAAAATGGCCTCCATCAACAAAAATGATGGTCATCTTTTGTTCTCTTGATTACTTATCTAATTATTTTCGTCCAGGGATGATAAACCACTTTTTCAAAGTAATAACTAATAATGAAAAAAAATTAAGATGGTAAATTTTTAATGTGGAGTGTTAAGTTGTTACATGGGAGCAAATCCTTTCCTGAGAACAACCAAAACCTGCATTCATAGGTGAAAAGCACAAGCTTTGAAAAGGAAAGGTTCCTACTAATTTCAGCAGCTACTCTTTTGCAATTTTATAATTCTAGTATTTTGTTGTATTTTCAAGTTTATGATGATGAAATATGTCACTATTTATCAAAAATGTGTGGAGGATAAAACAGAAAAAATGCAAGTTTAGTTTGGAAAGCTTCTATGAGAAGAGCAACACCTCTTTATTTGGAGGAATGTAACCATTGAGCTTTGCAGCACTGAAAAATTCAGGATGACTCACATCAATTTCTTCATGGCTGCAAAAGAGAAATGAAAAAAGAAGCATAAGTTCCCGAATGACAATGCTGAAGAATTCAAAGAACAAGCTTCACAAAGTAAATTTTAGATTATGAATATATTTTAAAAAAGTTAACAGTAAAGTTCCATAATTAAGTGTGGAAAGTTGAAAAAAGTTCTAAAAAGAATAAGGTGGTCAAAAAATGGAATTGTTTTGCTTCTAAGTCAATAGGCTGCTGCATGTTAGGCAAGAATTTCTTCACTAACTAATGGAGCCAAATTGTCATGCTTTCTTTTATATACCATGAATTAAAGAAGTTGCATACAAACGTGGTTTGATTTTCCAACATTTGCAGAATTAGATATCAATCCTGAAGCTTGTGATGGCATGATCTGTTATGATAGTCACAGCCAGAAAAATAAAAACGAAAAGGCACAAAGTGCAAACAATCACCGGACCCATCACGGGTGGATCCAGAGTCTTGGATTTGGGGGATCAGAGATGATAAATGCAATTTTAGGGGTAACCTTTGAAATAAATTAGTACAAAATTTTGAAAAAATTTCTAAATTTGGGGAGCCTATGGCCCCCAACAATAAGGAAGATCAGCCCCTGCATCCCATGAAGGGGAAGAAAACTAGAGACTCACCTTACATTAAGATCACCACACCATATAAGAGGCTTCTCAGAATGTTGTGTAACAAACTCTAGCATCCTCTTATCCCATTTTCTTCTCCTTTGAAATGAATTTTCCTCCTCTTTCCAACCATTGTTTGGTGCATACGTATTCAATAGACGGAAATTTTCAAATTCAGCTAATATGACCCTGCCATCTGGTTCATGCTTTGAAGCTAAAAACAACAAGAAGAACAGTATAAACTAAACATTCCATGCTGGAGTTTAAAAAGAAAAAATTAGTGACACGAAAGGGAATTCACACCCAAATTATATAAAAAAGATTTCTCCTTGCTTGGAAATTAGAAGTAGGGTTAGCATCAGTAGTTTTTTTAATACATAATTAGGAAAAAACATGTCATTACTTAACAGTTAACACTACATAAGATGAACATACAAAATGATAGATTTTAACCAAAATACCTGCTTTATCGAGCGAGAAAGAGACAATTTTTGGCTGAAAACACTTCTTCACCAACAATGCTGTCCCTGCATACTTTGAATCTGCAAGAGACCACCAAATCTGATAATTTCCAAATGGTGGACTTGAAAGAGCACGAATCAATATCTGCATAAAACAGAGAAGGTATTATCCACAACATAAATATTAGAAATTAGGGTCATACACACACACCCCGTATGGCATTATATTAGGGAGGGTACTAAAAACCAGATATTCAGTAAATAGAACCCTTGTGTACAACAGGAATAATATTAGCTGCTAGTTCAACACTCTTAACCCTTAGCACAAAAAACAGGAAACTCATTTATATAAAAATGCTAACATTTCAAGCAAATTCAAGTCCACATAAAGTACTATAGGTTGTGAATATAAAAAACAACAAATCAGATATGAAAACAAGCAAAGAGAAAAAGAGGATTACCTGTTTTTCCTCACGGGAAGGTTTTGTATCATCTTTCAGTTCTCCAGGGTTTTTCGGTGAATCCTTTGAACCAGCAGCAGGCATTCTCACTTCCTACAATTAGCATGCATTTTGAGCACGCACTTACCACATTTATTGCTTTACAATTATCACATGACCAAATTATAATGCATATAATCAGACATACCAAAAGAAAATTACAGGTATTTATGAAAAGTTACAAAGCAAAACAAATGAATAAGCCATGAAAAGACCAAACAAATAATTCACCATTTAAGATGCCAGGTACCCATTTATGCAATTCGATGAAACACATTCGTAAACCCAATCAATTTGCTTTAAGTGCAGAAGAGAAACAAATAGAGCAACACAAACAAATCGTTTACAGTTCCAGTCTCAGCTTCAAATACAGCAACAAAATCACAAGCTACAGCTCCAGAAGTAAACAACTATGAGAGTCCCGTCGCACCAAATGACCCAAAAATCAAACACGCATGTCTCATTACACAATCACACTTCAAACACATAACGCATTAATCAAATAAAAGTACATCAACAGAGGAAATGATAAAAAAAGACAGACCTGTATAGCAATAACGTCAGGATCAAAATTAGTAACAAACTTAGAGAACTCGGGCCAGTTGTTCTTGGCTCGAAGAAGCAAACTATTGGCGTTCCAAGTTACGAACTTCAGTGGCTCTTCTTTTTTATTCTCTTCTTGTGATGTTTCACAGTTGTTTTCACCATCTTTCTTTGAAGGCGAAAGAGTAGGTTTCTTGGCTGATCCTTCCTTTTCTATTGGTTTAAAAAATCGCTTCATGCTTTTGCTCGTCCAGCAGCGTGATTCAGCTGTCTATTGTTGTTTCTGCTCTTCTTCTACAATTAAACCATCACTCATTCGCTCCACTTCTCCGTATCGAATTTTGCGATATATAATATAATTATTAAATTGAATGGGCTGTAAAAAAGTAGCCCAACCCAATTTTACTTGGGCTGAAATTAGAACTTAAATCTCTAACCGGTCCAGAATATTTTTTGTGGCGCTAAACGGTGGATAAGTTGGTGACACAAGACCGTTAAAAACACAAGAAGAGAGTCTTGAGAGATCAGTCTCTAATGGCATCTTCAACAGCAACTTTCTCTCTTTCCTTACCCGCGTTTTCTTCTTCAACATCTATTAACTCTCAAAGGAGGATTTCCATTTTTAGCGGCAAAGCAGATGGAAAGACTTCCTTATCATCTTCTTTATTTGGTAGCAAAATATGTGTTAACGAAGCAACAAGAACCAAACCAATGAGCCTGAGAAGTAGTAGAGTCACTTGCTCGGTTTCTTCTACTGTTCTTCCATCCGCTCTTCTCTTTGACTGCGATGGAGTGCTCGTTGATACCGAGAAGGACGGACACAGGATTTCGTTCAATGATACTTTCAATGAAGTATACACTCTCTTGCTTCTATTGTTATGTTTTTGTGTCTTATATTTTTTACTAGATTATGTATTGGGTATTTGGGGAAGTTTTCAAACATTTTCAAGTGGGGTTCTGTTGATCGTTTGTTTGGTTGCTGAGAAAAATACTGAAAAGATAACACTAGATGTTTTTATTATTATTTAAAAATAGTAATAATGCAATTGAGTCAAATATTTGTAGTCGGATTATCAAAAATGAAAAATAGTTTTTGAAGTTAGTACTGAATTTCACTATTTTTGGAACCTAAGTTTTATTATTTTTGTATACATTAAATTAGTTTTATGTTCCTCCATTTCCCTTCCGTTTTGGAGGAGCAGGGACTTTGTTTACTTTGGGTTGAGTGTTGGTGTGAGTAGTATGAGGATAAGTTAGAATTTGTTTGATTTGATTTTTCTTTGAAGGATATTTTTTGTAGGTGCTTAATGCTTATTGCATAATTTGCTCAAATGGATTACAACATGGTATCAATTCTGCAGAAAGAATTAGGTGTTACCTGGGATGTGGATTTGTATGGCGAGTTGCTTAAAATTGGAGGTGGAAAAGAAAGGTATCTCGTCTCCTGAAAGTTTGACAGTTTTTTCTATTTATGTTTGCTTCATGAAATCGTATAGGACACTAAAGATAGATTGATATCTTAGAATCCTTCTGATTCTGATCATTGTAGGATGACAGCATACTTTAACAAGACAGGTTGGCCAGAGAATGCACCAAAGAGTGAAGAAGAAAGAAAGGAATTCATAGCTTCTCTTCACAAGAGGAAAACAGAATTGTTCATGGCCCTTATTGAGAAAAAGTTGTTACCACTTCGGCCTGGTGTTGCAAAGTTAGTTTTTATCTGATCTCCTGCTTATCTATGCAGCATTAAGTACATGATATTTGTATTCAATTATAATTTATTTATTATTTATTTTTTGTTGGAAGTCTAAATGTGTGAGGAAGGAAATCCTTAAAGCATGATTTTAGGCCCCAGCAACCCATATTGGCTGGTGTCACTGATATGCATTTTGATTTGGTCCACATCTACACTCCTGAAAGACATGATTTACTGTCTTTGATTTCTTACCTTGTCAATAAATATAGGGAAAGTCAGTGAGTTATTGCTTCTAGATTTTGTGTTCTACCACATCCAAGGTATGCAATAGATCTATCAATGTGCATTTGTTGTTTATAATATGTTCAACTTTGGGAATGGACAATATTAGAATTTCTTATTAGTTATGCTACTTAGAGTGTTCAAAGTCAATCATCATACATTTGGGTGAGACATGTCTTTATGCTCAAGTTTCCTGGAGCTGAATCCAATTGGATACTTTTCGGAGCATTACTAAAATTTTAAATATGAGAAACTTTTTGCAGTTGACATTTTGATGTTCTATTTTAAATACCAGTAAGGTTATTCCTGGGTAGAACATGGATCTGAGGCTCTCATAGTAAACACATGTAATTAATAGTGTGGCATCAACTTAACTCCAAGAACTTTTATGAATGGGTTTGGAACCTATGAGAGTTCAAAAGTCATTATGATCGAAACTGAACCATCACTATTTTGAGACCATTTCTTGGGAGAACACAAATTTTGGAGTCATTTCACGAGTCCAGGCAATGAGATGACTTGTCACGCATGTTTACACCACCTTGAACCCCAAAAACCGAGCCAGTGAGCTCTGGACCTTCTATTATGATCTGATGTGAGATTCAGATCTCACACATTAGCTTGCCAGCTATGATTGGAAAAGGAAATGGTTCATTTAAAGTAGGTGAGTGATGAAACCTCAATAGTGCTGGCATATGGTAGGAGAACAAGGCAGTAATGTAGTGGATTGAAAAGAAGCCGGCAGGAAGTTTCCTTGGGTTTAGGCAGGGACAGATGGCAATAGAGGAATGGGTAAGTGAGGGATTCTGTTATGGAGAGAGAGAGAGAGAGCTGGAGAATAAAAAGGGAGAAGAGAGCAGATGGTAAGAGAGAAGAAAATAGAAGGGAAAATTGGGAGGAGGTAGCCCTTGAAGTCTAGCATTTAGGGAGGAGCTGGCCCTCGAAGTCCAGCAGGCTGTGTTCATTTTGTTTTGTTTGGTTTTATCCTTCTTTTGTTAATCTTACTTGTTAATGTTTGCTGAGCTGAAGTTGTTCTTGGCTTAGTTTAGACCTGCTTAATATCAATATATATATTCTGGTTGTTTTCTGGGTTTGTGCAGTGTTCTTGTGTGTGTTTCTGGGTTTGTTTATTGGTGACTGTTACTGTTTTGGTTGTGTGTATTTGAGATACTGGAGTGGGTATCTATCAGTGAGTAAGTTGTATGATTTGTAATAAATATGGATTTCAAGATGTATGCTGTGCTCAGTTATCTTATATATTCTACAGGCTGATTGATCAGGCTCTGGAAAAAGGAGTCAAAGTTGCTGTATGCAGCACCTCTAATGAGAAGGCGGTATGCATAATCAGGTTCTACAACTGTAATTTCTTGTGTGATTAAGTAACTGTGTGTGGAGATGATTTACTGGCAGCTGTGGGAATTGTTTGTACTCTATACTAAATTTTTTAATGACGGTTTGATAGATTGGAATTTCACTGTTTTTGTAAAGCCAACTATTACATGGCATGGTTTTGATGGACATTTTTGGATAACTTTCAAAGAGTCCAACAAGTAATCGAGGATATTATAATCCAAAACACATTATTCTCGGTAACATTTTTTATGTTGAAATTTAAGGCTAGGATAAGAGTTTGTAATATGTGGTTATGTTAGGTTATTGGTGAATTTGGATCCACTTCTTTTGTATGACTGAATTATATGCACTAATTTCAGGTCTCTGCAATAGTTTCATTCCTTTTGGGACCAGAGCGAGCTGATAAAATCAAGATATTTGCCGGAGATGTGGTTCCTCGGAAAAAGCCTGATCCAGTAAACATTTTTTTTACTCTCTTGGTATTTGATGTAGCTAGGCAATGTCTGGAAAACATGAACATAATAATGTTTGATTTTGTTGTTCACACCGTTGATGGTGCAAATTCAACCTTGATATAGTGACCATAAAGCCTGAATAAGAAAGTGGCATGCTCTTAGACTTAAAAATTAAATTCCTTCCTGTCTCGTCATCTAAGTGTTCATGAAACATAATAGATCCTTTCCAAATAACTTCATATATAAGAAGTATGCTTTGTTTCCATGTGATTTTAGAGCACCCCTCACTTTGTCTTGGTTTAAGTTTAATCTGCTTTGCTTAAATATAAGGATTTGTTCTAGGCTACTGAATTGTCTATTTTTACTGACAGGCCATCTATATATTAGCATCCAACACTCTGGGTGTTGATCCTTCAAGGTATGATAGCTCGGCATTACCGATATTTATGTTACTGTAAACAATCGTTTAGGACTTTTCTTGAATAAATAGTTCCTGGATCAAGTTCAGAGATCTCCATATGCATTCCCATTGCTTTTTATATCTTAACTCCTCGGTGAGCTATTAATCAGTTCTATACATGTGCTCTATATGCTTACATTGTCTGCTATTGACAGTATATTTTCATGTAAAATGTTTGCTATTCCTCAGTAATAATAATGCTCTTTTTTTCCCCACAGCTGTGTTGTGGTTGAGGATAGTGCTATAGGACTAGCAGCCGCTAAAGCCGCTGGAATGAAGTGTATAGTAACAAAGAGCGGGTAACTTATTTCTTTATTAATACAAATTTTTGCTATAATGTCAAGTCTCCTGCTGCGGTGTTTTTTTAGTGTATATGCATATCATGAAAATGATCAGAAACCTTGGAGGAATCCAGAATTATATGTCAAACTTTATAAGAATGTAACATGGTTCCCCAATGCTCCTGCTGATGTGGAGAATCTGTGATTGCAGTTACACAGCGGATGAGGATTTCTTGAATGCAGATGCAGTCTTTGACTGCATTGGAGATCCTCCAGAAGAGAGGTTTGACTTGACTTTTTGTGGAAGCCTTCTTCAGAAGCAGTTCGTTAGTTAGCCATATAATTCTCTGTAATTGTATCGATTCTATGGAATGTGTGTTTTTCTCCTTTTCTAGTTTATGCCAAAGTCAGTCTATTGCTTGCGGCCTGATTGAGGTCTAAACTCACGCGAGTGTAGATATAATTGTAATGCTGCAAATGGCATCTCTAAGTACTGCCTGTGGTTCTAAATGATGATAATTAAGTTACTTGTGTATGCTAGATTAGTTGGTGTATTACTTTTCCGAAAACAAACATAATACTATGGTTTATCAGAAACATCAGCAACATTATCCCATATGAAAATTGAGCTAGAGCTTTGTGGTCCAAAGTCTTCCTCCATTGATTACGGGTGAGGTTGAGTTAAGTTGTTGGATGTTTCTTTCTCCAGAAAGCATGCTGAATACACTTGAATCTCAAGCAAAGTGAGCTCAATAGCTTGGCAGGTTCAGCTCGTTCTTATTTTTAATTGCTTAGGCCAACTAAACTAGTTAATGTAGTGGTTTAATTTGTCGAGGAGAAATTTGGATAATAGTAAATCATGTCAATGACAATATATAAGGTTTACTATGTGAAGTGATGGAGAAAGTAGGTAATTCAGTGAGCTTAATGCTTTTGTTTTAACTTTTAACCGGATATTATAGTTTCCGATAATTGAAAATAAGTAACAATGATAGGCATTGAAGAAAGCAGAAGCATATGGAATGGAGATAAGATAGAAAAGGAATAAAGGGACAACAGAGACAGTTGGGGTGATGAGCATTGAGGGAGGGAATGGTCTCCTTGCGGGGCTGTCCAACCCAACCAGTTAACATGTGTGGTCCTTAAATTTCGGTAGAGAATATAGACATAATTATGCCTTTAAAAGTTAAAACTCAACAAACAACTCCCATTCACACCAAATTTGTCAAAAATAATTAAACGCAAAACACTTTTCTCCAAAATTAATGGAGGGTGGGTTGAAAAATGAATCACCATAAAATAAAGATTGCAATGTGATGTTTGTGAGTTATTGCCAGACTGGAAGACATTAAAGTAAAGTAGTTGAAATAATGGACAAATCGTGTTTATTTTCTAAGGGAAAACAACCTAAAATAGGCTGTCAGCCAGCTTAATGAATGAGAAAGAAACCAGTCTTCTTCTTCCTGGCTTCATCTATACGATTGCAAACAACAACAGGTAAGAAGGGTTGTCGGCCAAATGCCAAATTGTCATTGACCCACTTCCATTATTCAATTATTTCTTACACGATTATCTTGGACACACCTAACGGCTAATTACTAAAGTGAAAGGGACTTGGCTAAGACAATTCCAATTCTGTTTTGTTCTCTTTTATCAAATCACCCGTGACTAACTACCGTCCGATAGTTTAGCGGTTTGTTTGAGACTTTTGAGTGTATTGCTCAAGAGATCTTGAGTTCAAATCCTCATGATTACTAATAAGAGGTAATCACTGGAGGCTTACTCAGTCGTTAACTTTAGGACTTTAGAGACTAGTTGAAGTTTGCGTAAACTGAGCTGAACACTCGAATACCCAAAAAAAAAAAACAAAAAAAAATTTGACCCGTGACTCTCCTGTCTCAAAGAAATCTCATATATTATAAAGTAAAGCATGTAACTTAATTAACTCAAACATGCAGTAAATAATTGGAAATTGAAAGATGATCTCATGTTTTGATTAAATAAAGAATAATAATTGTAACAAAATATGGTTAATTGTTGTGTTTTTTTCTAAAAACTACCTCAGTGTCAAGGCCAAAGCCATCAACATCCTTCCTAACATCAACCAACTCAGACATCTTAAACAATTCAACCAATGGCTTTAAACTGTACAAATCATTCGCTGAATACTTATCGGCTCGCCGTGATATCGCCACGTGCAGAACACAAATCCCGCCGGCCTTCAAGGTCCGTTCGATCTCCCCAACAAACTTCCACGGATACAGGGCGTGGTCAAACACATTCGAGAACTCAAAGTCAAACGTCCCGTTCTCAAACGGCTGCGCATGAAAGTCTCCTTTAACAACAAGCGGCGGATACGGCACCAAGTCTATCCCCACCGCGTCGGATACGCCCACCGCCTTAAGCGCCGCCACTTCTTGGCCGACGCGTGCGCCGATGGACAATGCTTTAGAATCATTGGAAAGGAGGTTTCTTTGCTTTAGGCTTTGGAAGAAATTGGCGAAGACACGGACTTTGCGGTCCCAGTCACGGGTGGTCCAAATCTTTCGGAGTTTGGGGTTGAGGGTTTTGTTTAACTGACGTTGGATGTACGTATCGTAGGATGAGTAACCGGGTCGGATACGGAGGTCGTGGGAGGAGCTTTTGGAGGGTGGTGTTGGAGTTAATGGAAGGGTGGTTTTCCGGTGATGGGGAGTCTGGGAAAAGGCTAAGAAGAGGAGAAAAAAGAGGGAGAAGAAGAGAGAAAGGAAGAAGGGTTTGAGGAGGAGGGGTAGTTTGGGAATGGTGATTGTCGTCATTTCTGCATGAAAATTGTGTATGTGTTTTGGGTTTGAAGTAAAGTGAGAGATAGGGAGGACGAGGAAAACGTTAATAAAGAAGAAGGAATTGAAGAAAGGAGAATAAATTAAAAAGATTTTGAGCCAGCATGGTCATATACTCCTATGTGGAAGTATGAAACCTTTGTTGTCATGTTAATAAAAAAAATCCCCATTTGCAGTGACATTTGGTCAAATTATGTAGGTTTGCTTGAGTAAATTAAAGATCATAAAGCAAAAAACAGGGTCACAAGTTGGGCAATGGCTTAAATTAATTCCAATTTGCGTTATATCTTAAAAACATAATTAATGAATCTCTATCTAGAGTAGATCAATATTTTTTTTTTTTTTTTTTTTTGGGCAATCGGGAGTGTCTAGACTAGTTTACACGTACTTCAACTAATTTTCTGGAGTCTTGAAGTTGACGGCCGAGTAAATTCCCCCAGTAGTCATCCCTATTAGCAATCTAAGTGGATCGAACTCAAGACCTCTTAAGTAATACACCTAAGAATTCTAATTGACCGGGATCACCCAACGGTGATTTTATATAGATCAATCAGGTCTTACAATCACTGTATAAATACATAAACAGTAGATAATTTTTAAGAATCACAACTTGTACCGAACATGTTATAATTGAATTAATTTGGAACAGGCATCAGACAAATTTGAGCATGTCACACAACGGATTTATTATCTGCACATGGCACATGCTAATCATTGCAATCATACTTGTCCAATTCCTTTCCTTCCATTTTAAGACGTTTGACTTTCCTTTTCACCGTCATGTTTGCTTGATTTTTAAGCTTTTTTAATTACATATCAAACATCCTCCCACATGCAATTGCATTGGAGAATTTATAAAATGACTAGTTAATAAATATTTATTTTTATCGTTTATTTTAACATTAAAAACTTTAGGGTAGAAAAGTTCTTGTTATTATTATAACTATAAGAGAATTTCTATTAATTGATTATAACTGAAAGAGGAATATTGATATAAATGTGATGTTTTTATAGATTAATTATCAAAACATTCAAAGTGAATTAGATAAAATGTATTACTTTACAATAAACATCGTTGAGAAGTATAGAATATCAGGGAACTTGTTTTCCATGTTTTGTTTATAAATAAACAAATGGGAAAGAGAAGAAGAACCAAGAAGAATGAATTGAAGCATGCAGTTTAAAAGACAATATTAATTAATTAATTACTATAAAACCTACGCACTGCATGGGGCAGTGAATCTAATTATTTAATTTATGTACTCCATCGATAGAATTACCAGACTTGAAATCCTAACCTATTAATATACAACACCTGCGCAATTTCTTCTTCTTTATGAAAATTTGATTATCTTCTATCACAAATTTTCTTAAATAAGTATGTGCATAAAAATTAAATTAATTCCACCAGCAAATTGTTTCCTAAATACTTCTGCTATGCAACACTTTCTCACATTATCCACCAACAATTTGAATGGATCCTTTAATTTCCAGGACAGAGTATAGCCTTGAATTTACAAGTCAATAATATTATGTTTGCTCTGCTTTTTTCAAGAGTGCTAAGATACTGGTGAATTTGGGGAATCCTGTTATGAAAATACTTTCTATGGATTCATTTCTCGAAACAAGTTGAACCGTGATAGACAATTCCCAACTCATTGTCTTTGCCATTACAGCAACTTGGTTTTTCAATTTAAATTCCTATTAAGATCTTCAATCTAAATTGTGTTTCCCTAATTATATATATACATATAAACAATCACCTTCACCAGATCATCTAAAGGCTAAAGGCTCATAGAAAACGTACCCTGGGAAGAAATTCTTAGTTGTATATGGACCTGAATTTTTTTTCTTTCTTGTTGAAAAATGAAAAACACTTCTTGTTCCAAAATAAAGCATCAAGATACAAGTGAAAGCATGTGCTTCTTAAAATAATAGCTTTACAAACCTAAATTTAGGATGGAGAAAAGCGACTTACCCTCACTTGCCTATAGATTATTCTTCAAGTAAACAGGAGGATAGTGCTCCGCCCAATCTAGCCATGGCCACGGCCTTTATCTTATTGGACTTAGCTGCATCCAGCAATGGGTCTGCCTCCAGGGCTTTGTTGAAACAGAACTGGGCTTCCCCCCATCGACCCTCAGCAACGAATACCAGACCTAGATTGTTAAATGCAGGAGCGTAACCAGGCTGAAGTTCAAGTGCTTTAGTAAACATTGCCTTGGCAGACTCATATTGTCTTTGCTGTCGGTAGAGATTTCCAAAGTTGGAAAAAATTGCGTGTGCCTGATCAGGTGTTGCCAATGCCAAAGCCCGCTTGTATACATCTTCAGCTTGTGATGTTTCATCTGATAACTGCAGTGAGATGCCTAGTGATGCAAATTTACAAGTATCAATACTTCAAAATGCCACCTACATAAAACATAAAATATAGGTATTATGCAATTATCATGAGTTCGAGCGGTACCGAGATTTGACCATGCATAGCTGCATTCTTTAAAACGGGCAACTGCAGCCTTGATGTACTTTTGGGCAGTTTTAAATTGCCGGGAGCAGAGACTATGAAGGCCAAGCTGGTGCCACCGTACAGCATCATCTGGATCCTCTGCAACTGCCTGATTAATATTGAGAAAAACAATGAAGTAAAAGATGCTAATTACACAAGAAACAAAAATTTAGCAGTATTTTTTCTTACCTTAAAAGCAAGTATTTTGTTTCATTTAATAACATTTAAAAAGTAAAGACCAAATACTACACATGATAGTCAAGAAGAAAGATAAAATATAATTGGAACTGTAACTGTAACTGTAACTGTAACCATAATAGAATATATACAACATTTATTTATTGAAAAAAAAGTTAATCACACACAAAGTTGCATCAGTAAATCATAAACCCAAATTCATATAAAATTTTATACAAATATAATGAGCACTTAAAGGATTTTTCTTTCCTCATAGCAAACTACCATATTTTCATGAATAAACATGCAATATATATACTAAAAAAGAATCATGTGAAATAATGTGTTACGTATCCAATCAGCCAAGGGTCCTACAACAGTTTCAAATTTCTTGCACCAGCAGACCCAAAGATGTTCATTCAGGTCCTATTCACATAATTTTCAGAATGATTCTGGTAAAAAAAAAAACAAGTACCTGCTTTAAACTGTATATAGCACGCCCTTCCATCTCCATCAAGTCATTTTGCTCTGTTTCAAAAGCAGCCGCAATCTCATGATGAGCTTTATGAACTGTTGCAAGTCCAGCCCATGCAATGGGAGGGTCTATCTGAACAGTATCTCCCTCTCTTAATATGGAAGCCATTTCATTCCCTGCCCAGGAAAGCTGGTCACTAGGTTCTTGAGATCTTTCAGCATCCTTGATACGGTGGACTGCAACTGCATAACGAGTAGACATACAATTGGGCTCTAGTTTTGCTGCCTACAGAGCAATATCATAGTAAGTGAAAATTGCTTAAGCTTAGTAAACACAAAGTTAAGTGAGTTGCAAAACCTATTCACATACAGTGTATGCATCAAATACTAAAACAATAATAAGTTTCACAATTAAAAATGCTTAACATTCAACTTGGAGCATTGAATACTTTTTGTCTAGAAAAAACAAAGATGAAAACTATTCCATCAAATGTTAAAGGAAACAAACAAACAACCTCAAAAAAGAGGCTATAAATGATTGTAGCAATAAGCCGTGAGCACCTTCTCCAAGCAATTGCCAGAACTTCTGTGGTCACCAGTCATATAATATGCATTAGCTAGATTTGCCCATATATGTGCTGCTTTGGGATCCACTTTTAATGCTGCTAGCAAACACTCCTTTGCAACATTGACAGCTGCAACCTGATCCGAACAAGCACTTTCACCAGCATTTGCACCAGCTCCTGACAATTAATAAAAATGCATAGCAATATAGGTTAGTTTAACAAACTAATAACAACAACTAAGACGAAGCAAATTCTAGAAGAAACTGAATTACATCAACCACAATCTTCAAAATGTTTCCACTGAGCTTTATGACAATGAGGTCAACAGAATTCATGAAACATGGAATTAAAACTATATAAAACATACCTGCAACAACTGAACCATATTTACACAAAAGAAGGGCGGCATAGTTGATTAAGGCAGCAGGATGATTTTGATCTTTTAGTATCAGATCTTGAAAACATTTTTCTGTTAGCTCCAAATTTCCACTGGAAGATAGAAACAAGAAAACATCAAGGAAGAAACCCAACAGAAACTTTATTCTATTGTCTCCCAAACTACAGATAATCTGAAAAGGTTGCATTACTGGAAAAGCTAAGTAAAAGGCATATTATATTGATAAACTCATGTGTACCATAACCACAAAGCAAATTGCATAACCATGACTGAGGACTCATGCTTCTTCACATAAAGTCAGTCCATAGTACAAGTATTACCATTTTATCAAGTGAAAAATATTTAGAAACTTTCCAGTTATTTAATGACAAATTGAAGCTTCTATAAGGGAGATAAACATGCTTCATAAATGTGAAGTTAATGGAGATCGAGGTGCTGACCAAGTTGATATTCCCAAATATTCTCAAGATCCTTTGCAAGGAATTGGCGGTCCAATGACTAGGGAAAAGACAAAGAGGATTGATCATGGAAGTGCAATACAAAGAGGCTGTACTAGAAGACTCTAAGACTAAATTCGAAGATTTCAAAGCTTCACCAAGGATGGTCTATTATCTTTTCATGCAAGGGGTAGATCAAGTTGGATGCAAGGATTAATTTAGGAATTAATTTTCGTTTATTTAATCTTGGGCTTTTTATGTTTTAATTATCATTAGATTCTTTAGTCTTTTATTTATTTAGGCCCAGTTTGCTTGTACTTAGGCCCAACCCATTTTTCAATTAGCTAGGGTTTTCTTTTAGGGTTTGTTGCTTATAAAAAAGGGGCGGCCATGTTATTTTTTTGAGACAGATTATTATCAATTGAAGTTTATTTCAGAAAGCTATTTGTTTTGCCTTCATGATTGAATGCTTGAATCTCGACTTATCAAAGGGAGTGATCAACCTTTGTGGCGTCTCAAGATTAGGGTTTTAAGGACTTAGTTTCTTTAGGGTTCTAATTCGATCATCCTCAACACGTTCCTAGCAAACCAACTTGTTCCTATTCGATTGAGTTCGAAGGTTCCTAGCCAACCCTCGAACTCAATGGAATAGGAACAAGTTGGTTTGCTAGGAACGTGTTGAGGATGATCGAATTAGAACCCTAAAGAAACTAAGTCCTTAAAACCCTAATCTTAAGACGCCACAAAGGTTGATCACTCCCTTTGATAAGTCGAGATTCAAGCATTTAATCAAGAAGGCAAAACAAATAGCTTTCTGAAATAAACTTCAATTGATAATAATCTGTCTCAAAAAAATAACATGGCCGCCCCCTTTTTATAAGCAACAAACCCTAAAAGAAAACCCTAGCTAATTGAAAAATGGGTTGGGCTTAAGTACAAGCGAATTGGGCCTAAATAAACTTTAAATAAATAAAAGACTAAAGAATCTAATGATAATTAAAACATAAAAAGCCCAAGATTAAATAAACGAAAATTAATTCCTAAATTAATCCTTGCATCCAACTTGATCTTCCGAATCTACCCCTTGCATAAAAAGATAATAGACTATCCTTGGTGAAGCTTTGAAATCTTCGAATTTAGTCTTAGAGTCTTCTAGTACAGCCTCTTTGTATTGCACTTCCATGATCAAGCCTCTTTCATCCTCTTTGTCTTTGCCCTAGTCATTAGACCGTCAATTCCTTGTAAAGGATCTTGAGAATATTTGGGAACATCAACTTGGTCAGCACCTCGATCTCCATTAGAAGTTCACAACGATGAAAAAGTTTTGACCACAGTACACACATTTGAAGTAGATAAGCTAACAGTGCAATTTTATACCTTTGAAGGTAAGCAATCCCAAGGTTTCCAAGGCAGTCATGGTTATTGGGGTCCAGAGCCAATAAAGATGATAAAACTGATATAGAACTCTGAACAACATAATAAAGTCAATATCAGAACATGAAATGTGAAAAACACGAATGTGAACAATAACAACAATTACATAATATACCTGCAGACGGCCAGTTTTTAGTAGTAACAACCCTAAGGTATTCCATAAAAGTGCCTGCCTTATATCTGATTGCATTGAATCCTTCAGTTTGGAAAGAATTTCCTCAAGCTCTTCAGGTTCAAGTTCTTTATCCAAACTACTTTCCCCCGAACTACTTTCAAGTAGAATGCACTACACAGTGGATATAACAAGTTATACAAATCAGCAACACCAGATACAATCATGTTACTTCTAATTTCAAAATTCAAAATATCAAAATAAGGAAGGGAACAAATTAACAGATAACAAACTTTACAGATGGAAATATACAGTAGATTAAAATAGATTACTGCACCTGTGCATGATGAATTTGGACCAATGAAAGCAAATCTGGCCTAGCAATTTCTGCCTCACAGCGGAGAAGAATCTCTTCTGCCTTCTCATATGCCAAAATAGCCTAAAAATATTCCAGTATTAAGTCAATGTAAAATTGATTTGACCAAAACAAAGAGAACGGTGATATTCAAAAGCTACCTTTTGAGGCTGACCTAACCTTTGATACATCAGGCCAAGCAGAAAATGAGCATGGGCATTTTTCGGCATTTTCCTCGCTACATGTACTAAGCCCTACTAGCATGTAAAGAATTTGAGAACATCAAATGGCATCATCAGTATTCTAAAGAATGTATGACAAACTATAAGGATGAAGAAAATATAGCCTATCCAACACAATTACCTTACTCAAAGATAAGTGGAATAGATTATCCAATAACTATACAAATATTGAGTTATGTAGTCAAACAGAAAATAAGATCAAAAGAAGAAAGGTTTGGTGTAAACGGTGTTTCAAGAAAGCGGACACAGTGACTTCAAATCTATTTAAAATTCATGGGTCGATAAACCTTCTACTAACAAACCGGTAAACGACTAGATGCACCATCATATATTTTTCATCTCCATAAAATATCCAAATTACATCTCTAAGACATAAAAAGCAGAATCAAAAGAAGCACACACAAACTATCAGAGACAAAGTCATGAACAAGCAATTTCTTTTGTCACTATTGCTGAAGACTAAACACAGGCAAAGAGTGAATGCAACAAATTAAAAACGAAACTCACCGTTTTAAGACTGCTTACTTTTTCTTCACGAGAAGAGGTAGTCCCTTGACCAGGCTGATCCCCATCCCCATCACCTCCATAATCAAGAGAGGAATCTAACCTACTAATTCTTGAGCGACATTTACCCAATTTGTTCAGTTTTTTACCTTCTCCTTCTGCTAAATCCGTCTCTTTTTGACTAGGATTACTATCCTCATTCATCAACCTACGTTTAATGAAAACAAGCATATAAACACAAAAGTGCAATTTAGCCCCCTAATTTTTCTATTTTAAAATTTATACCTTCCGAGACTTGAATTAGATATCAAACATTAGAAATATTGAGAGGAACTGTAAAAGAGTGAAATTACTTAGAGAGGTCGGGAGCTGAGGGTTCGCCGTCGGTTTCCGGTGGATTAACGTTGAGGTCAGCTAAAACGAACACCTTAGGGGGCTGAAGAGTGGTGGAGATATCATCTGTGGAGGTGTCTACGGTTCCCACTTCTGCTTTTACGGGGAGTTTGGGTTCCATTTGTCCAGAATCCAGTGACACAGGATTGAGAAACAAGGTTTTGCTGTAAGTGTGCTAGCATTGGCCTATTGGGCTTAGACCTAAATTGAATTATGTTAGGGCAAATAAAATTTAGTATAGAACTATAGATATTTTGATTTGACCATTTCAACCTTTAGTAAAGTATTTTATTCTTCCTAAATGAAACCAAATTGTAGTACTAACACTCACTAAGTCACTATTCTACTGTATCTCTTGGCTTCACAAATAGGAATTGATTATAACAGGAGTAAACAACTTTGTCCCACCCAAGGTTTGCCTTAATAGCACTTTCGCACCCAAAAAGTTTCAAAATACCACTTTACTACCCAAACATTATTTTCTGTTAAATACAATGATATTCATTGTAAAGACGGAAATACCCTTCTCTCTTCGTCATCTCTTTTTAGCCTCCATCATAACTAGAATCACCCCCACCTCCTCCTCCTTCTACTCCACCACCACCACCACCATCTAGTCTATTTTTTTTTTAATCAATCAACCCACCATTCAATCAATTACAATCAATAGTCAAAACAAAAACAACTCTCCAAAATCCGACAATGGAGGTTCATCAGCTTGTGCACAGGGGCAATTGCACAAGCGTGGTGCACATAGGTGTGGGCTGTTGGAAATTGGCTTGAGACTTTCGTTAAGCAATTGGTGGGCGTGGCTTAGAGCTTTAGAAATCCGTCGATAAGGGGTCACCGGCAGCCAGAAAAATCAAATCCACACACACAGAACACTTCTACAACTTCCAATTTCAAGAATGAACCTCCAAAATACCATAATTTCATCAAACGAGCAAAAACCCCAATTTTGCAAAGAAACAAACCCTAGAAAGGAGGGCAACAATCGGTGAGTGAACGGTGTTGGGGGGGGGTTTTGGAGAAGGGGTGCCGGTCAGAAGAATGGTGGTGAGGGGGGTGGTTTCTAGTGAAGGAATTGATTGAAATTGGCAAAAATCACGCGGCCACAACAGTGGACTATAGCTAGCGATTAGTGGGACGAATAGGGAGGGGGAAAGATGAGTTTCATTCAGGAGGTTGAGGGAAGTGTTTTGGTGGCATTGAGGGCAGTTGTCGACGTCAGAAAGGGCCAATAAGACTTGGGTTGGTTGCAGGGGGATGGAGGATTTTGCAGACAAAAGTTCGATTTCGGTTAGATCTTGGACATATTTGCTGGGGAATGACTCAATGGATGAAAAGGGTGAAGAAATCGATGGAAAACAGCACCCAAACGACTAGCGGCGGTGCCGACTAAGGTGAGGTTTTGCAGAAGATAAAGAGATTGAGTTGATTTGGGTGGTAGGGGGGTTTTGTAGAGTAGGTTAATTGACCATCCCACCCTTACTTAAAAAGGACTTTTGACTATCATACTCTTCTTTACAACGAAATTTACTAACATAACTATACTTTGAGTAATAAAGTGGTATTTTAAAACTTTTTGGATAGAAAAGTGTTATGAAGGCAAACTGATGGGAACCTGGATGCTTAACACTCAACACAACCCAAACAGAATATAATATACCCAAACAGAGCAATATTCCAACACAGTTCAATAACAATTGAAAAGGCTGTTAATAGGAATATACCTCTATATTGATTGATAAAAGAAATGAATAACAATGGAAAGAAATGAATAACAATGGAAATAAAGAACAAGAAAGGAAACAGGGATGAATGTAAAGATAACCTAGCAATTCGAGAAGCTAGAGGCTTCCCTTCTAATATCTCACTAAAATATTCTCTATCCTTTACAATTTTTATCCCTCAATTTATACTTACAAACGTCACACCAATTTCATTGTTATTGTCACGGATAACCAACTCTCACTTGTACACCACGTTATTTTGTCCTTATTTTTCCTTCTGTAAATTTGAGTTGGATGAGTTTGGGTGAAGGGGTCTTATCACAAACCTTGGGTGGGAAAAAGTCGTTTACTCTATAATAGAATTTAATATTGATCTTTTTATTTATGAATGTTAAATTTTGAGGAGTTGTAAATTTATCCTATCTAACTAAGATCACATTAATTTCCACAATCATAAATTTACCATGATTATCAATTTCACCAGAGGAAATGATTCATACCAAGATCGTCTAACCAAAGGACAAAAAATAACAGTGGAAAAAGAGCCGAGATATTTGAAAGTAGAAATAATATCATCTTAACATCATATAGCGGATGTCTCAGGAATATCATATCATACCGCCCATTTTCTAAAAATCTAAATCAACATAATACTTCTTGATACTGACATGATCCTAAAGCACCAACTTTATACACTGGATGGGATCATAAGAATCTCCATCGGATGATCACCAAAAAAAGAAAACATCTGAAGGAACCCAACTATCCCAGATCATCTACCTATCCACCTTTCAACTTCCATTTAACAGTACAAGAGGTAATCGTAATGGGCAACAACATACAAGAGAGATACAAATGGAAGATATAATCTTCTCTTCTCAAGTTGCTGCCACTGTGATGGGCGAAGCATCTGCGGCCAATGAACCAAATGATGACAGCAGCCACCCTTTCTTCTGGGCATACTCAACATAGAAACTGAATTTCTCCTTTGCATTTGGAATGTCAAGGGCCAGATCATCGAGACCATCCTTGATCCTGGTAAACCCTTTCGTCATCTGATTGATAGTGATTAACCCTTCACTGAAGCATTCCTGCAACAGGTCAAGCATCCTATCATTCTTCTTCTCCATAGCCATAACTAGCGCCTTCTTCACCACCTCATGGTTGAAAAAAGGCATTCCAAGATCACGGATACACTGGCAAGCTTCACCTACAACGCCCCCACTTTCATACTCTTCTAGGAGCTTCATTATCTTGTCCTTTGCATCCTCCACGGCCCAGCCAGTCCCACCTCCCCAGCACCGAAGGATCCTCTCACCAGCATGACGGGCAGCAATGAGTGATCGAGCCATATGCACAGTCTCACTCCCACTACAATTTGGTGGCAACTTGCTGCCAATCTCTTCTAAATTCAGAGGAGCCAGGACATCATCAATCACAGCCCTCGCCAGAAAAAGAGCAAGCTCATTTGAAGCATCCAGAATGTCTAATGCTGTATCTTCTGCAGATTCGAGTAGCAAGACAAAGCCATTTACAATATCTTCAGTTGAAAAGATCTCAATGTGAAGAGCAGAAAGCAAAACTGATGCCATTTCTTTCTCTCTATTCTTTCTGTCCATAGCAAGGGTGATCAGCTTCTTCAGGAATATTGGGTTCAATTCAGGAGCCCCCAGATCTTCAAGACTTCGGATGAGTTCAGGAATGTCATCTGAAAGAAAATACTCATGAATTATGGTCACGACTTCTTCCTTGTACCGCCTTACCTTTTCACTTTCTTTTTGTACATTTCCATCTTCACCCGACGATCTTGTGAAAGAAGCATCAAGCCATCCTTCAGAGATGGCTATGGGAATAAGCGATTGGAACAAGGTTTTTGCAGACGGAATGTCAAGAGCAAGGTCATTGAGACTCTCTTCTAACCTAGCAAACCCTTTTCCCATTTGACTGGAACTAATCAGGCCTTCCTCAGCAGCTTCCTTCAACAACTTTAATATAAGTGGCTCAGCTGTTCGAATCTCCATGGCAAGAACCAAAGCCCTTTTCACCACTTCATGATGGAAGAATGAAACGCCCAACTCCCTTATGCACCTACATGCTTCAACAGTATCACCACTCTCTACATATTCCCTCAACAGATCAGCAATCTTTTTCTTCACTTCTTCAACAGTGATGTGAGTGCTACCTCCCCACCTCCTCTCCACAAGTTCAGCGTGATGTGGAGCCGAGAGGTAGCTCTTTTCTGCAGTTTGGATAACCTGAAATCCCTTGGAGGATTCAGGAAGTGTCTTCTTTGCTCTTGTGAGGAAAGCCGGAGGAAGGATATCATCAACCACAGCACGAGCTACAAATAAAGCAAGGATAGCAACTGCATCTAGTATGTCGACAGCAAGGTCATCAGCAGATTCAAGAAGAATGACAAAGCCATCCCTAATCTGAGCTGGGCTAATAACATCAGCATATAGTGCTGAAAGCAGAACTGAAGCCATTTCTTTCTCCTTATCATGCCTATCCATGGCCATGGAAACAAGCCGCTTTATGAAATAAGGATGATATTCATTGGAGCCAAGTTCTCTAAGGTCAGATGCAGCCCCCTCCACATCACCAGCACTGAAGTATTCCTCTATGATGGTAACAACAGCTTTTTTGTAATCATCCATGGGGTCTGAGATGGTTGCTCCCACAAGTTGATATGGTTCCTATTAAAATGAAGGATAAAAGAAGAGAAATATATGATTAACAACAAATCATCAATGAAAATCTTTTATGAGTAAAACAGGTAAAATCCATTCCACTAACTAGTTACCAGCACACAAACATGCTAAAAAAAATACTAAAAGACTAAATTCCTAGTACTAATTGAAAAAACATTAATAAAGAAATGATAAATCAGTAAGAAAAAACAATTACCTCTCCACTGTCATAGTTAGGGTCATTCCTGTCTATATGAGAATCCACATTAGTGTCAAGAAGTTTGCCCCACGTTCCCTTGCCACCAGCACCATCTGTATCCATAAGCCAAAAAGTTCAGGAGCCAATCAACATCAAATGAATAGGAAATGCTCCATTTGAGCTAGAACATTCATGGATGCTACCAATACAAGTAAGAATAAGGAGGCATAAAAAAAATAATAATAATAAAAAGCAAACCAGCACCATTCACCATCATCCAGTAAAGTTTGGGTTAGCCATAGGAAAAGAAGTCCAACCATACATATATTGACATACGTAAAGTTGATTTCTCAACTACTCTCTTGCTTGACAATGAAAGATTATATAAACCACATAGTCAATTACTGTAAACAGCACACGGTTTGTTTTCTGCAGCTTCACAGCACTTAAAAGTATTTTTTCTTGTTAATGCACTACAAGACAAACTAACATCAGGCATTAGATAAAAACATTTAATCCAAAGAGAAACTGCCATGGAAAAAAAGGCGAGCAATAGAATTTATTTAAAAAAAAAAAAAAAAAAGACAAGGAAAATTATAAACCTAGAAGTCTAGAAAGTAATTATACAGCAAAAAATAATTGAACCATATAAATTCTATTTGTTCCAACTAACAGTCAGCATGTAAAGTGTTATTACTTGAGAGAGGTACCCAGAAATTCATCAAGTTCCATAAATCAAAGATAATTGAGAAACCATGCAAGTTGTCCCAAATAAATATGGGGAAAAAAATGATGTTTATAGTTGAAATCAGAATCACCAATCTAAGCCAGAAGATTATCTAAAGCCCTTCTCTCCGGCACTACGATAGAGGAGAGAGAATAATGAACCATATGCAGAACCACTTACGAACACAGTTAAACAATTCAATTGACAGTTATCAATTCTTTTTCTTTTTCTTTTATTCCAACCTTTATAAATGATCAACAGCCAAGTGCATGGAGCATCCTGAAACCCCTCTAACACTAACACAGAAGAAAATAAAAAAATTGTTTTCATTAAGTGAAGATGATTGATTCAACACTTGAATCGCAGGCCAAAAGATTATAGGTGATCAAGACCAAGGTCCACTTAACTCTCCATATTATTGCTAAAAATTCATGAAAACATTCCCAAGTATCTGCTTCTACTAGATGTAGAGAATTAACTCTTTTTATTTTGTAGAGCAGCTGTACAGTCACATAAACTCTAATTAAGGTACAAATGACAGGGCCAATTCAGCGCATTTGAGTCAAGCAACCAGCTTAAGCTTTCTCTCCATGGAACTCGAAAAAGAGAAAGAGAAAGAGAAAGAGAAAGCAGGTCCATTAGTAGGTCAAAAGACCACCAAACATTTCAGCCATAGAGTTCATGGCTTTTACAATTGATGTAACATAAATCTTAAATTTAATTCCAAAATAACATGACCCATATATCTTATTATTGTTGATAGTAAGATAAATCATTTCTATAGTTTGTATTTAGCTATATAATAAAAATATAAACAAGCATAAAGAAAGACACCACACCAGCATCCCTGCACCACTTCAGAGGATAACAAGCCCCCAAAATAAAAAATAAATACATACTCATAATCAATCATAAAGTAAGGACGTTGCTTGTTGGCTCCTACTATGAGAAAATCTCTATAATATATTTCTAAATGTTATAACTAAACCTGACACATTTCAGTAAAGAAGATCCGACAGATACCGTTCCCATTCATGCATTCATCAAAATGACTAAACAATTAGAGTAAAAAGATAAATGGTTAAACTGGTTTAAATGCACTCACCCTTCTTCACGCGAACACACTTTCCAGAGTGTGACCTACGCATATGCCTTACCGCAATTCCAGCAGTGGGTGCTTTACCAGCAACAGGAACTTTCAACTGATGGTCAGACAGCAATGATGATGGAGACTTCGGAGACGATGATAAAATCTCCAAATTTTGGCTAGCAATTTTCAACATTTCCCTCTGCTCGTCAGTTAGAAATCCCTCATTTGACGCCATTTTCCATAGCCTATCCAAACACATATACTTACTCAAAGATAAGTGGAATAGATATCAAACTAACAATATTGAGTTATGTAGTCAAACAGAAAATAAGATCAAAAGAAGAAAGGTTTGGTGAAACGGTGTTTCAAGAAAGCGGACACAGTGACTTCAAATCTATTTAATTCATGGGTCGATAAACCTTCTACTAACAAACGTAAACGACTAGATGCACCATCATATTTTTCATCTCCATAAAATATCCAAATTACATCTCTAAGACATAAAATGCAGAATCAAAAGAAGCACACACAAACTATCAGAGACAAGTCATGAACAAGCAATTCTTTTTCACTATTGCTGAAGACTAAACACAGGCAAAGAGTGAATGCAACAAATTAAAAACGAAACTCACCGTTTTAAGACTGCTTACTTTTCTTCACGAGAAGAGTAGTCCCTTGACCAGGCTGATCCCATCCCCATCACCTCCATAATCAAGAGAGGAATCTAACCTACTAATTCTTGAGCGACATTTACCCAATTTGTTCAGTTTTTTACCTTCTCCTTCTGCTAAATCCGTCTCTTTTTGACTAGGATTACTATCCTCATTCATCAACCACGTTTAATGAAACAAGCGTATAAACACAAAAGTGCAATTTAGCCCCCTAATTTTTCTATTTTAAAATTTATACCTTCCGAGACTTGAATTAGATATCAAACATTAGAAATATTGAGAGGAACTGTAAAGAGGTGAAAATACTTAGAGAGGTCGGGAGCTGAGGGTTCGCCGTCGGTTTCCGTGGATAACGTTGAGGTCAGCTAAAACGAACACCTTAGGGGCTGAAGAGTGGTGGAGATATCATCTGTGGAGGTGCTACGGTTCCCACTTCTGCTTTTACGGGGAGTTTGGGTTCCATTTGTCCAGAATCCAGTGAACAGGATTGAGGAAACAGGTTTTGCTGTAAGTGTCCTAGCATTGGCCTATTGGGCTTAGACCTAAATTGAATTATATTAGGGCAAATAAAAATTAGTATAGAACTATAGATATTTTGATTTGACCATTTCAACCTTTAGTAAAGTATTATTCTTACTAAATGAAACAAATTGTAGTACTAACACTCACTAAGTCACTATTCTACTGTATCTCTTGGCTTCACAATAGAATTGATTATAACAGGAGTAAACAACTTTTCCCACCCAAGGTTTGCCTTAATGACACTTTCCACCCAAAAAGTTTCAAAATACCACTTCTATCCAAACGTTATTTCCTGTAAATACAATGATATTCATTGTAAAGACAAAATACCTCTCTCTTCGTTTCTCTTTTTAGCCTCCATGATACTAGAATCACCTCCACCTCCTCTCTTTCTGCTCCACCACCACACACCATCTAGTCTATTTTTTTTTAATCAATCAACCCACCATTCAATCAATTCCAATAATAGTAAAAAAAAAACAACTCCAAAATCCGACAAGGAGGTTCATCGCGTGTGCACAGGGGCAATGCGCACAGGTGTGGTTGTTGGAAATTGGCTGGACTTTCGATGCAATTGGTGGGCGTGGCTTAGAGCTTTAGAAATCGTGATAGGGGTCCCACAGCACGCGGAAAAATCAAATCCACCACACAAACACTTCTACAACTTCCAATTTCAAGAATCAACCTCCAAAATACCTAATTTCATCAAACGAGTAAAAACCCCAATTTTGCAAAGAAACAAACCCTAGAAAGGAAGGCAACAATCGGTGAGTGAGCGGTGTTGGTGTGGGGGGGTTTTGGAGAAGGGGTGCCGGTTAGAAGAATGTGGTGAGGGGGTGGTTTCAATGAAGGAATCGATTGAAATTGGCAAAACATGCGACCACAAAGTGGACTATAGCTAGCGATTAGGGAGAATAGGGGGGGAAAGATGGTTTCGTTCAGAAGGTTGAGGGAGTGTTTGGTGCACGAGGGCAGTTGTCGACGTCGAAAAGGGCCAATAAGCTAGGTTGGTTGCGAGGGATGGAGGATTTTGCGACAAAAGTTTGATTTTGGTAGATCTTGGCAATTTGTTGGGGAATGCTCAATGGATGAAAGGGATGAAGAAATCGATGGAAAACAGCACCAAAACGACTGGCGGCGATGCCGACTAAGGTGAGGTTATGCAAAAGATAAAGAGATTGAGTTGATTTGGGTGGTAGGGGGTGTTTTGTAAAGTAGGTAATTGACCACCACCCTTACTAAAACTCTTTGACCATCTATCCTTCTTCACAACGAAATTTACTAACATAACATACTTTGGGTAAAAAGTGATATTTTGAAATTTTTGGATAGAAAAGTGTTATGAAGGCAAACTGATGGGAACCTGGATGCTTAACACCAACACAACCCAAGCCAAGTAAATATACCCAAACAGAGCAATATTCCAACACAATTCGTAACAATGAAAAGGTTGTTAATAGGAATATACAGTAAAACCCTTTATAGTGATACTTATATAGGAATAAACTTACATAGTCATAAAAAATTTTTATCCCAATTTGACATAGTTTAAATAAGAAAAAATCCACATTGTAATAAGTTATAACTTTCTAATTCCGTTTTAAGGAAAATTGTCTCCACATAGTATAATTATCTGTATATTGCAAAAAAAAAATATTGTATGTTACATTAAAAAATTAAGAAAATAAAATATTATCTAAAGTTGTTTGAGATAATAATTTATACTTAGAGTTGTTATCACATCTTTTAACTTGCGGTACATTAACGCTAGCATGGGTATTTTCTTGTTAAAGTTAAAAAATTTCTGTTTTTCAAGCATGTTTAGAGCTTCTTGACATGAAACTTTTGTATTTATGTACTATCATCCTCAAATTATTTCTTTCTCTTCTTGTTTAATTGTAGAGATGATTTCTTCTTTTGTTAAGTAACATAACTTGTTACTTATTTGGATGATTAAGGAAGACATTAATAATTATTCGATTAGTGTAGTAAAGTTGTCGAATTGATCATTCAATCTACAATGACTCTTTGATTTCCTCATCTACTTCATTTGTAACTTGCAATTCATCAACATTGAGGGTTCTATTTTGTAATTGTTTAAACAATTGGCAATTGTGTGGCTTCACATCAATTGTCATGCAGTAACTGTCTTTACAATTCCAACAAGGACAGTTATCTTATTGGTTTCAAAACACGATCTTCTATCGTTTCAAAAGTAGGCAATTGAAACGCTTAATTAAACTCTAATATTATTAAAACATGAATTGAAATCCTAATATTGTATTACTAAAACATGAATTATGAAATAAGAAATTTTTTTAACTACACCTCTATTAAATTATAACCTCCTAATAGTAATAAAATTAGTATCCACCATTATGACTATGAAAATGTTTTACTGTACCTCTATATTGATTGATAAAGAAATGAATAACAATGGTAATAAAGAACAAGAAAGGAAACAATGGATGTAAAGATAACCTAGCAATTCGAGAAGCTAGAGGCCTCTCTTCTAATATCTAATTAAAAATTCTCTACCCTTTACAATTGTATCCCTCAATTTATACTTACAAACGTCACACCAATTCCATGTATTGTCACTGGATAACCAACTCTGACTTACACACACCATGCTATTTGCTCCTTTTTCCTTTTGTAAATTTGAGTTGGATGAGTTGGGTGAAGAGGTCTTATCACAAACCTTGGGTGTGAAAAAGTCGTTTATCTCTATATAGATTTAACATTGATCTTTTATTTATGAATGTTAAGTGAGGAGTTGTAATTTATCCTATCTAAATAAGATCACATTAATTTCCAAATCGAATCTAATTAAATATTTACCATGATTATCAATTTCACCAGAAGAAATGATTCATACCAAAATCGTCTAACCAAAGGACAAAAATAACAGTGGAAAAAGAGCCGAGATATTTGAAAATAGAAATAATAATGTGTCTTAACATCATATAGCGGATGTCTCAGGAATCAATCAATAACGCCCATTTTCTAAAAATCTAAATCAACATAATACTTCTTGAACTGACATGATCCTAAAGCACCAACTTTATACACTGGATGGGATCACAAGAATCTCCATCGGATGATCACCAAAAAAAGAAAAACATCTGAAGGAATCCAACTATCCCATATCACTTACCTATCCACCTTTCAACTTCATTAACGGTACAAGAGTAATCGTAATGGGAAACACATCCAAGAGAGATACAAATGGGAGATTAATCTTCTCTTCTCAAGTTGCTGCCACTGTGATGGGCGAAGCAATCTGCGGCCAATGAACCAAATGAAAACAGCAGCCACCCTTTCTTCTGGGCATACTCAACATAGAAACTGAATTTCTCCTTTGCATTGGAATGTCAAGGGCCAGATCATCGAGACCATCCTTGATCCTGGTAAACCCTTTCGTCATCTGATTGATAGTGATTAACCCTTCACTGAAGCATTCCTGCAACAGGTCAAGCATCCTATCATTCTTCTTCTCCATAGCCATAAACTAGCGCTTCTTCACCACCTCATGGTTGAAAAAAGGCATCCAAGATCACGGATACACTGGCAAGCTTACTACAACGCCCCCACTTTCATACTTTCTAGGAGCTTCATTATCTGCCTTTGCATCCCACAGCCCAGCCAGTCCCACCTCCCCAGCACCGAAGGATCCTCTCACCAGCATGACGGGCAGCAATGAGTGATCGAGCCATATGCACAGTCTCACTCCACTACAATTTGGTGGCAACTGCTGCCATCTCTTCTAAATTAGAGGAGCCAGGACACTCATCAATCACGGCCCTCGCCAGAAAAAGAGCAAGCTCATTTGAAGCATCCAGAATGTCTAATGCTGTATCTTCTGCAGATTCGAGGAGCAAGACAAAGCCATTTACAATATCTTCAGTTGAAAAGATCTCAATGTGAAGAGCAAAGCAAAACTGATGCCATTTTTCTCTCTATTCTTTCTGTCCATAGCAAGGGTGATCAGCTTCTTCAGGAATATTGGGTTCAATTCAGGAGCCCCCAGATCTTCAAGACT